GGGTGGGGAACAACACAGCTGGCAAGTTAGCCTAGAGCCAGAGCCCCTTCTTTCTGATCGTCAAAGCCGATTTGTCAACATTGCTAGTGCTAGAGTGCTAGAGAAAGAAACCTGATTCGATTTTTGATCAAGTAAGACCTAGAGATCATGTTGAACAAAATCATCATCAGGGGAAATACAAAAAGGAATAAACAGAACATCAAACTCATAGATTAGGCCTACTTGACTATTTCCCATGAATTTATTACTGGATCCCTAATAACGAGAATCCTGCTATAACGGACATTTCGCACCGGTCCCCTCCCTCTCGTTATAACAGGATCCCACTGTACAATCATCATTGTACACATTACACCACACAGATGACCAGTCCCATCTTCCGAATGCCACCTTCTGCGTCCCATCTCTCACCTTTTGTTTCCCATGTTAGATCTATCGTATCTAATTTTCGCAGGTCCCGACTAAAATTCTGTAGATTCTAAGCGCGCCTCGTTTTCCTTCATCTCACGGGATGGAACGAGTGAAGCAGTCCAAAATATAATTTATATGTAGATCTACATCACTGTCCTCAATGTCCACATCAGATGCTGATTTCAACAGTCTGGATCTTAACGTTGTATCATATTTTCACTAGATCTAGATATTAGATATAAAATCTAGCAAATCTGTTGGTACCTTCTCAAAAACATGCTGGTAAAATGAATCGGGGAATGCCGAACGAACCTTGATTTTGAAAATACGTGCCCCTAACAATTCAGTGTTATGTTAGGCGGGCATACGAGCGCCTAACAACTTCCTTAATAGTAGGAAAGAAAAAGCAGCAGTTCGCTGTTGCAGTTCAGGCACAGTTATGACACTTTTATGAGCATGACATTGTCATTGCCGATTGATGAATCAGCCCATTTACAATTGGTCAATTACAATTCTACTGTGCATAAGAACATGGTTAACTAATGTCTCCCCTTTGGGAATGGCCTAAAGAAACTTCAGTCAGTAACACTGCCTGGGGGGGGGGTTGACTGTAGGAAACTGTGTTTTATTATTGGTAGCGTCAATTGCCACAGAGTGAAGCGGTGTCAAGTCTGAAAACAACACTATCTAGTCTTTAGCATTATACATAATATGTGTCTAAAGGGTCAATTAATTTGTTCTCAACTAATTTCATTGGATGAGCATCTAGTCTAGAGCTACGGTACCAACTTTGCGTGTTTTCAATGAGACGTAGGCCCAGATCTAGGCTAGCCTTAGCCTACTCTTTGGTGTAGAACCAACACAGGCAATTCTAGATTTAGAAGTAGAAGGTGACAAACGCACACAAACTCAAACAGAAATTCACGTTATATCGGGGAACATAAATCGGGGGACGGGGGTCAGGAAAAGACACACACACTCACAGTACTCACACACACACAGGGACAGAGAGGCGAATGCACAACACCGAGCACTCGAGCACAATAAGCTAGATCTACCCACCAACGCAAAAGAGCTCCAATTTACTTGGTGGCAATTGACAAAAATGTCAATTTTTGTCAATTGCCACACCGCGTCACTCGGTGGCAATTGACACTAGATCTACCTTTATTATTAGAAAGACCAGACTTCAGTTTAGGAGGCTAAGTAAGGCCTAAAAAAACATCGAAGTGGCTACCCGTACTTAAGTACGGCTAGACTGAGAGTCTAGCCGTACTTAGATCTAGGTTTGGCCCTATCGACTCAAGCCTGTTAAGTACACAGGTCTCATATTAGATCTAGATAGATCTAGATTCTATCTATAATTATTCAGGTTCAAATACATGCAAGTCAGTAAGGCACCTTTGATTTTGTCTGAAATACAAATACTTTAGGCATTGCAAACTAAAAATTTCATTTACAATTCAGCCATCAATATTAAGTACGGCTAGCCTGACAGTCTAGCCGTCCTTAAGTACGGCTAGCCTGGCTGTCTACCCGTACTTAAGTACGGCTAGACAAGAAGTCTAGCCGTACTTATCTGAGGCCCTATTAACATTAGAAAACAGGAGGTTTAAAATACATGCACTGTCATTAAGGCACCTGGTTTCATCTCAAATACAAATACTTTAGGTACTGTACACTAAAAATGAATATATTTACAATTCAGTAGGCCTATTTTTTGTAAATGGTCAGTCTAGCCATCATATTAAGAGAATAAGTACGGCTAGTCTAGCCGTCATTAAGTACGGCTAGATCAAGCCTCTTCCAAAAAACATAGAAAACAATCAGAATAAAAACCTGGAAGTCATTCGTACGAATCAAGTGTCAAACAGAACTGTAGACTGTAGATCTAGCCGTGAGACGATAAAGTTGAATGTCGGGATTTGAGAGAAAATAGAAGTTGAAGCCTCAGATTGTCAAGAATCGAGTGTCGTCAGTGGCTGAGTGTGTGTGTGATTAGCCTTAGCCAATGCGCCAAGCGATTGTCTGTCATTGTAGGCTACCATGGCAAGGGAGGTTAATCAAACAGAATTTTTGTTAACCGGCACAACCGTGTTCCGTCCTGTGAAAGTCTAAAAGTATGTAACTGTCTTGACAAGTTTTAAAATAAGCCCCCGACGTGAATAAAGAGTAGTGGTTTATATATATCCATGGCACCCGAAGATGCAACAGCTTGTTGTCGTCATTGTAGAAAATTATTGTAAAAATAAAAATTACTCCTCTTATGCTCTCAAAGAAGCTCAACATTTTGCCATTTTTTGTGTAACCAGATCTTAATAAATTAATGAATGAATAAATATTAAATAATTTTTAAAAAATAAATAAATATCATAACAAATAAGTGTTTAGTTCTCAAATTGTCAAAATACACACTATTATTAGTAGATGAAAGTATATCGTCTTTCTAGAAAATGAATAGAACCCCCCCCCCCCCCACCCAGGTCAACAGTTAATCCAGCAGTCTCTTGGGAGAAACAGTTTTATTCATTATGTGTGTAAAACATGCAACCAATATTTACCCCATGACCATCATCATTATAGTATTATTATTTTGGGGAATCATTGCAATATCATGGACAGCTCAGAAAGTGGCGATGAGAGTAGAAACATTAGTAGAAGTAGCCAGCTAGAAGGCAGCAACAGATTTACTTGTAGTAGTAGTAGTAGTAGTAGTAGTAGTAGTAGTAGTAGTAGTAGTAGTAGTATGGTAGTTAGTTTGTAATAGAAGTAGAAGTAGTAGGCCAATATAGTAGTAATTGCAATAACAATAATATTGTAGTACATAAAAGCAAGTGGTGGTGTTAAGGCTATTTTCTTTTGATAACTTGTAGAATCAAAACATATAATATAATTTACTGTTGTGAAGCCACCGACCAAATATAATCTACTGTAGGCCTACTTATGACTCTTGGTGAAGATGGCGGATGCAAAGTGTTTTCTTTTTGTTTAAAACTGAAGCGGTTTGCTTTAAGACGTAAACCACTCCATGTGAAATAAGAAGGTTATGATGATGTACTTTTAAGAAATAATCAACTACAGATCTTTTTTTGGTACGATCTTGGTTGTTGTCACCGATCCAGCATATTGTACGGACAATCCTACTGGTTCCGTACACAGAACAAAGTGACAGAGACCAAAAATATACAAAAAGTATTTGTAATGAAAATGGCGTCGTCATCTGATGGGAAACTGTCATGGGCAGCAGTCAAGACGTTATTGACCACTTCCTACCCCAGTTTCACAAAAAATGACTTACCAGAATTCACAAGGCTGATAATAGATAGGTTTGTTGGTTTTGACAGCATAGATCTAGATCTAGATCTAGCTGCTCCAGGTCATTTGTAGAGTTTTGTTTTTTTGTTACCGACATCCGTGCTCGATTTCGATCCTTGCCTTGGACTTGGACTTGTCCTTACCTTGAACTTCTTATTTTAATTGAAAGTATGAAAATGTTCGTCACAGGCTCAGTTTGTCACAATTTCATTTAAGTATTTGATTATTGATGACAGTCATAATTACAGCACTTTAATCAACACTGTAATTGTAACTTAACTCTTATCCTGCGTCGGGAGGACTTCCGTAACCAGCGACCACTATGAGACAGAGTAGGGGAAGGGGTAGAGGTAGAGGTTTGGGCGCTTTTTCGGTAGTTCCCACCCCGCAATTTTATTCACGAGTTTGGGCCACAAGAGTAGGGGGCTTGCCCCCCTGACCTAATAAAAATAGGAAGGGGGGTTTCATGCCCCCCTGAATTTTACCATAATTTAATAATGTTTTGCAGTTGTTAGGTTTGATATCTTAGCTCACCGCGAATCAAACGTATAGATCTAGATGTAGATCTAGATGTAGGTCAGGCTCAAATAAGGGGGGTGGGAACTACCGAAAAAGCACCGAGGTTTGGGGGTAAGTGTAAAGTTAGGGTAGGGGTAGAGGTAAGGGTAGGAGGTGGGTCAGGGTTGGGGTGAAGGTTAGATCTAGATCTAGGTCTCTTCTTTATTGTGTTTGTTGGGGTGGTCGCTCGTTAAGGAAGTCCTTCCCCTGTGTCTGTGCCCAGATGCGTATATCTTATCAGCAACCGATTACGTCGGACGTGCCAGGCAGGCCGCCGGGGTCACTCAGTGTGTACTGTTGGTGTACAGCGCGCGCGCGCGCCGGGAAACGTGTATTTTCGCCATGAATACCGGATACCGTGGGAGTGTGTTAACCGATGATGAAAATAACGCTCTATCTTTCATAGCTTTCTATATTTATAGAGTGTTACAAACACATGAATAACCCCCTCTCACAAGCTGATACTGATAAGACATTACGAGTAGTTACGCCCATTCGAATAACCTTTCTGGACGCTCTTGTTGTTATGAATGACCTGAGGTTCGAAAGGGGATAATTTAGGTCGATTTCCTAATGTTTTACCCTCAAATTGTTCTTTGTACCTGCACAATGGTATTCAAAACTATCAAACAAGCTTATTTTTTATCTTTTATCAGGTAGATCTAGTATCATTTCATACAAAATCAAGCTCATTTGAAATATTTTGTATGAGCAATTGCCAAAATGTGAGACTCTCTTGAGACTCAGTGGTGCAAAAAAATTTTTCTTACCAATTTGACTCTCTTTTCTGTCAGTCACAGATTGACATTTAGTGCTCATATTCCTAGAGTATCAGAGCAAGGAGATGTGCGGTTTTGGAGACATGGGTCTATTGGTTTGGCAACCACTGTATTTCTTGTATGTAACAGTGATGACAATTACAGATAAGCAGCAAGGCAAATTATGGACTTTAAATTCCATTTGTTTAGTAAACAGAGACTTTGTACACTATGAACTCCATTCATAATGGTAATATGAATGACAAGCTTTGTAATATAATGACGCAGTGCACAGAACATGTCATCATTGTTATGTACAAGAAAGGATACACATTGGACATTATCATTGACAACACATCACAATAGTGAAAGGCTGTACAAATACAGTTATCAAAGCCTCAGTACCAGAAAGACACATGTGTAAAACAATTTTTAAACTAATATGAGGCAAAAGCACAAAATTAATTGAGCTGACCTGTACATAACAGTGATGACAAACATGACTTGTACATAACAATGATGACACAATGTACAGGAAAAGACAAAAGTCTTGCCTCCAGAGAGAAAAGCGCACTTTAAGAATTAAAAAAAACCCAGGAGAGGTTTCTTTTGCTTTGAAACAGATATCAGGTCATATCAAAGACAGTGGACGATAACAATTATGTTGCTAATTATGACAAACAGTACTCGTACTTAACAGTGATGACAAAACATACTGGGAAAAGGTAAAATCATGCCTACAAAGAACAAATTTGCAACAAGAGATACACAGATCATTAAAGGCGTATTTTGCTTCTAAATGAATCTTGCATGTATGAAATATATGTTGAAAACTTATTGATATTAGCAATGATGACAAATATTACTTGTACATAACAGTGATGACACAATGTATTGGAAAAAGGTATATATCATACCAACAAAGAACAAATGTGTATTTTTGAGTTAGACAGGTAAACAAGGACATGTTTGTTTATTTGTTTGAGTAAAGAGAGCACACATTACTTTAAAAATGTTTGCTCTTAGGACAATGTAATTTCTAGTGCGTCAGTCAGTCTTGTACGGCTGCATGACGACACCCCAAACGTCATCACTGAGCACAAAAGCTAAATCTATAACCACAGAAATGATCCATCTCTCGAAGTTTGTTCACACATCACACTCTTGTTCCAGGAATCCAGTGTAAACACCGCAATTTCACTAAAATATTCAACAGAATAGCCTAAAAACACGCAAAACAGCCCAGTACGTCACATTCAACGCAAAATTCTTGTACGTCACCGGACGCTGAAGGCAATGACTACTTTCGTTTTTCTGTTTCCGCCGTTGCTTCCGTTGTTCTGGGGAAGCGGGTAAGGGGAAGTCACTCAAGAAAACAATTATATCCGGGCACTGTTGATGACCCATTCAAAACAAAAGTGGGCGAAATTCGGACTTCCGGCACGTCGCAAATTGACGACAATAACGGCGAATGTTAAACAGCCGACCGAAATCCTAGATCTAGGAACCCGATGTTCCTTTCGCGCATGGCGGCTTTGGAAGTATTGAATAAATGACGATAGGCAAAAAGATTTAACCAGCTACGGTGATTCTACTGAAAAATAATGGTGTTTTCTGAAACACCTGGTCCGTGACGACACGACAGACGCACAAGTAATCGGAATTGTTCATCTATTTGCAAACAAATAAACCGATTTCTTGAGCAAGTTAACCTTTCTCAATGACAAATAGCATAGGAACAAAGCACACGTAAAAAAAACCCACCCAAAAATACTAAATTTTGGACATTCTTGGAAGTTTGCATTGGTGTGCTCAAAATGACACTCCAGGAATCACTAAAAACGAACATTTTTGGCACAAAATTTACAAACTCAAGATTATAAAGCTGACATGGGGTCTGAAACTGCTAATGCAGGTTCTACATCCTATATTTGACGTGTGTATACGTTTTGGAGGAATAAATACTAATGCATCACATTTTATGCACACTAATGTAAGATGTGTGTGTTTTTTCCCACGTTTTGGCAATGGCTCGTATAGAAAAATGGAAATCTTGTATCCTGACTATCCTTTCGAGCTTCTCACGTCTAAGTGGGTCAATTTCTTCTATAATTTCATTGAACGAACATCTGGAGCTACCAACTTGGCATGTTTTGACTGAGACGTATGCCTCGATTATGAACCAACACAGGCGGTTCTAGAAGAAGGCCACAAATGCACACAAACTCAAGCAGACTGACGCACACATACTTGACCTGCGTGAATGGGGATCCGACTCGGGACCCGAATGACACGTAAGAGGATGCGCGCCGCGCATATGCTGAGCCAGGGGCTACACTGATTCGGGACCAGAACGTAGGCGAGGTGCCGAAATAGGCTTATCGGGCGACATAAACCTGGCTCCCGCAGGATGAAGGTTAAGTTCTTTATTCTCCTCCTTCAAATTTTGTTTGTGTTTAGGAAGTGGCTATTCTCATGCGGGGTGAGAATAAAAATACGATCTACCTCTCACCCCGGGTGAGACTTGCCAGCGTAGGCTATTCTCACCCGGTGTGAAACAAGACCTGTTTTTCTTCATTTTGGAATACTGTCTATCGGTGTGGACGATCAAATTGATAAAAGCCAAGAAAAAATTACGTTATAGCAGCACAAAAGTAAGCTACTTGATCGTCTTCAAAGATGCTATGGCTATTTCACTTTTCGAATCGAGCAGAACTACGCGGGTCGCCATTTTGTTTTGCCCGGAAATTCTCGCAAGATCTACCCCTCCCCTCTCTCTCTGTCTCTTTCTGAATACTGTCTATCGGTGTGGACGATCAAATTGACCAAAACAAAGTTAAAAAATTATGTTAAAAAACAAATCTAAATTAATTTGGTTGTCTACAAAGATGCTATCGCTATTTAACTTTCCGAATCGAGCCGAACTACGCGGGTCGCCATTTTGCTTTGCCCGGAAGTTCTCGCGCTACTCCTCTCTCTCTCTCTTTCTCTCTCTCCACTGCCCAGAGAAAAATGTAAGCTTTTATTTTTAGGCTAACAGTAGTAATGGAATGTTTGTTCACGGCACAGAATTCTACAATTTTTCTATTATCATAAAGTAGAATTCTGTGTTCAGGGTGAACGCAAAATTGGTTGGCCTAGATCTAGGCTAAAACGGTGAACGAAATCTAGCATCTTTGTACACAATCAAATTAGCTTACTTTTGTGCTATAACGTAATTTTTTCTTTGCTTTTATCCTTTTGATCATCCACACCGATAGATAGTATTCCGAAATGAGGAAAAACAGGTCTTGTTTCACACCGGGTGAGAATAGTCTACGGTGGCAAGTCTCACCCGGGGTGAGAGGTCGATCGTATTTTTATTCTCACCCCGGGTGAGAATAGCCATTTCCAATGTAAAGATAGGTCGGTAAATTTATAGTATAGAAACGCTCCCGTCTCAGAAAGGGTATTATTTTGTAGCTTATTAGGGGTTTTTTAGGGCCCTGAAAACTATTTTGACATTGAAAAATGTCGCAAATGGTTAGTTTAGATGTTACGGCACGTTATTTCAGGGGGAAGGCCCCCCCCTGAACCACATGCGATTAAACGTAGAAAGACGCAAACTCTTTTTAGGTAAGGCGCCCATCTTGTTGGACGTCAAACCAGTATACCCCTCCGATCACGTGACTACATCTAAGTATAGCCAACCGCACGGCACCAAAGATGGAAGTGTCTATGTATATGATGCTTAATCTACACCTTTCTCTCTGAAGTTTTGATGGCTGAATAGATAGCGCGTCTGCGTTTGAAGTCGTGTTATGATTTTTGGAGCGGTTCGATCCCGATCCCGGAAAGTTTTTTTTTTTCTCTTCTCCTCCTCCGGACCGACCAACAGTCCCATAAATTATAGGCCTAATTTGTTGAGTTGCTTTGAAGTTGGTATTTAAAAAAATATATATTTGTGATTAAAATATTTAAAAATGCATGAGGGGGTGAGGGGGGGGGTGGTAGATCTAATCTAGATCTAGATTTAGATAGATCTAATCCTCCTGCGTCTTTACAGCAATTTTCGTGCGGTCTTCCATCATGTCCAAGTAGGCCAACTGTCTAGATCTAGATCTAGGAAATCCGAAATATTATCGAAAACACGTCGTTCCATGTGGGTATCCCAGGAAGTGATGACATCACAGTACTAAAATTAGCAGCCAATCAGAAAGATGCGTCTTTTCTACGTTTAACGGCATGTCTCTGAACCACCCTGCCCGCCCTACTACACAGCTATTACGTACTCGCTCGTCAGGGGGAGACCTCCTGAAACCCCCCTAATAACTACAAAAGTGTGCACTATCAACAAAAAAAAAAGCCAAAAACCTAGCTTTAACTTAAAAAACTGATGTAGATCTAACATTCGTCCGACGGCACTAAAGTGGTGATGGAGCTGACTTCGGTAGTGGGTTTGACGCGAAACGGGAGGGCTTAAAAAAATACTGATAGTTCTTCTAAAATGTCAGTTCAGCTCAGGCTTGTGTTGGTCAATATTTTTGCCTTTTTTTGTAATCGAGTCGCAGCAAATTTAATTTACTCTGTAAAATTTCAACAATGAATGCTCTTTCGTTAAAACAATTGAAAAATAAAATTCAATCTTACAATGAATGGATCATTACTTTACTCTTTTTGAGAGTGTCAGTGATAGGCTTATCTTCCATCATGATCATGTAGGGCACAGTCGAGGCCTGTGACAAACTGGGCCTGTGACAAGCTGGCATGTTTCCAAAGGAAGGCCATACACAGCCTTATATAAATTAAATTACTATAGCAACTCGCATTCATTACATACTCTTTTTCTGACTCCCATTTAGTCTTGAGTTTGTTAAATTTCTTAGTTTAGACTAGAGTTAGGCTTGGAAGCTTGATATTGATTATAATATAATGTATATCAGATCCAGTCCAGTGTACTAAAATCTAGGCTGTCATCTTGTGTGACGTTAGACTGGAATACCCCTCCGATCACGTGACCAGGCCTACATCTAAATATAGCCATCCGAATGGCACCAAAGATCATGTAGAGAACCTTTGATGACATCTGACATGACGCTTTGGTGCGATGTTTTTCTAGGCATACTGATAAAGTGATATTGATATGATTATGATGCGGTCCTCTGATGATGCTGCTGCGTATTTCTTCTATGTATTGTTTATATTATCGTACCGGGGGAGGGGGTGGGGTTAATCTTCCGGCGTCTTTACAGCAATTTTCGCGCTCTTTGTTGTCTTTGCGTTTACCGTGCTTCAATTTCAAGCATCAGTACCGGAGTTCCGAAATGTTATTGACATATCGTAAACCTTGTAACCAATCAGTATAGCATGGCTGATGGGCTGCAGTCAACCGCAAGTGTGAAATTTTACAGTGCAAAATACATCGATACGGATAATACGTCAAGCCACCGTCCCATGATGTCGTTCCATACGGTATCTCCAAAGATTCTCTACTACCCGATCTTTTATATCTCCATGGCCTTCTAAAAATAGTCTTCTGGTATCCCAAGATGTGATGACATCATATTACTAAAATAAGCCGCCAATCAGGCAGGTGCATCATTCTACGTTTAACCGCCTGTGTTTTTGTGTTCTGTGTAGGCCTACCCAAGAAAGATCTGGAATCCAGAACTAGATCTAGAATCTGAAACCTGAGTCTGGAGGAATAGTCTCTCTGATTGTAGACTAGCTTTTAAGTTACTTAAGTCAAGGTCTGTTACGACAAGTTACGACTAGATAGATCTTTTTAATTCTAGTGACGTCTAGATTAACTTGAAAAGTTATAGGTGAATTGTCTCACTCTTTGCTGTGTGAAGTGTAGGCCATAGGCTACAGGAGTAGAGTGGTTTGAAACAGTCTCCTCAGTCTCAAGCTGATTATATAATGTTCAACCTCGTCTTAAATTAATTTACATCACTTTAATTTTAGAGAGTTACAACTGTTGTAAAGCGTTGTCCTTGTTACGGCTTTTCAGAATATAGCCTAGAATTTTTCTGCAGGGCTTTCACACTGTGCTTCTTGTAGACGTAGTAGTAAAGAGAAAAAAATACGCTTTTTCAATGTTAAGGTCTGACATCCTGCCCTACACAACACAAGAAACCATCATTTAGGCTAATAATTTTGGTGATTTGTTACGCGTCAAGAACCCTAAATATCTGAAAAGTGTTGCACGTGCGTGGGAGAGAATGTTAGAATTATAATAACGCAGACAGAAAAACATTGAGGAGATTTGAGTGGAAGATCCAAGCAAAATGAGTAAAGTTAAAAATACAGTGGAACCTGCTTTAGTGGTCACCTGTGCTACTCACTGCTACTGATCTGTGGCACCTTGGCATTTTTCCATCCTCTGTGATCCCTGTTCAATGTGGCCATGGTCAGTCATTTTAGTGACAAGAGAGCTTCCAAGCCTGCTCATAGTTGCTTTCTAGTATTCCGCTAACTCAGCCTCAAACTAAATGTATTGTTTATTCAACCAATACAGAGAACAAGCTCTTGTGATAAATATATGGTGGTAACAATTTTGATGAAAATGAAATTTGTACATAAAGGAAGTGCCTCTCAATGACCATCAAGCAGTTGTGCCACCTTTAACTTTAAAACATAGGAACTCAATTGCATTTTTCATTTTTTATTTTTCCCTGTAACAGAGAGGAAGAAATTTTGAGCCACGATGAAGAGCATGAAGCGTTCTACTCCTTGTTTGTTGCACTGGCAACAAATGCTCTCTGTTCAGTTTCGGATTCACGTAAGTCTAGTTATTTATTTTCTCAAATATTCGACTTAATGATTTGAATGTCATGTGTTTTTAACATTAGATAGTGGTACTTATCATGTTTTCAATTTTGGGGACCAACTAAGTTTTTACATTTTTAAACATAGATGTTGGTTTCGAGCATGGTGATCCATTATGGTTTGTACTATAGTTGTTTATTTATGTTAATGTTTGTTTATAAATCTTGTTTTCCCGTTCATTTTGTATCTTTAACTCTTCCCGCCCTTCGCTCCCCTGGCCAAATGCGGTTTCCGCACAGGAATGACTCAGTTGTCATTTCTCGTACGGTTTTATTAAAGGGTTCCTACTGCTAATTTCTGCAATATTTTGCGACCTGTGAATGTATTTGTGTCAAGATGGAAAGCTTCACAGCTAGTTTTGTTATTTGTCAGCTTTTTAAAGAGAATTTTTCGATTTTTTTTTGGTTTGAAGGGTCAATCGAATAAAGCAAACCCGTTTGTTTACAATGCCATCAATGGCTTGGGGCAACGGTTCAAGCAAAACGAAAGCCCCATAAAGCTTTTCGTTGGTCGACGTGACTGATATAAGCTTTTTTTATTATGACTGCATTGTCAGCCTCACTAACTTAGACTTTCAATAGTAATTTCCAACTTAATGAGAATAGCAGTGACAATACTGACAACGGTGATGAAACAGCAGGCGTTGTACTCTATCTGGGGTAGTTGGTGAATCGTGCATCAGTTATAACCTGCCCCCGAAATCTAGATCTGGTACTAGCAATGTCAACAAACCTGGTACCGGTACAACTGCTAGTTCTAGAATCATTCATCATCATCATTGCCTTTCACCCCTGGCTGGGTATAGGCCTTTCATTTACATTTATCTCTGTCCTGGGCCATCCTTCCCTGCTAGTTTTAAGTGAGCTTCATCTCTCATATCCCTTTCCACACATCTCCTCCATGTTTCCCATGGCCTACCCCTACCTCGTGCTCCCTGTGAGTTCCACTGCAGCCACTGTCTTGTGATGTTTCTTTTGTGCTTTCTGAGGGTGTGTCCCATCCATCGCCACTTTCTTAGTCCTATTTCTACTTCTATATCCTTCTGTCCTGTCCTTTCCCACAGCTCTTCATTTCTTATTCTATCCTGCCTCTTAATTCTTCGGATACTCCTCATTCATCTGTTGATGAAAGTCAGGACTTAATTCATCACTGTCTTTGTTGTCTTCCAAGTTTCGCAGCCGTAGAGGAGCACAGACTTGACATTGGAATTAGAGTCGAATCTTGGTGGGCAGTGAGATGTTGCTTGCTTTCCAGATATTTTATAATTGGATGAATGCTGACATTGCCTTGGCAGTTCTTGCTTTTACATCTGTACTAGATTCATGACAAGGGTAGAATTAGGAGCACCCCCCTGGGCGGTGCCCCTGACTGAAGTGTCTTTGGGCCATTCCTGAAGGGGGGATTGTAGCATACATGTCCTTTCGTTCAGCAAATTATTAGAACGCATGGAAAGGCAGCGAGTATAATTCTGTTGTAGCTTATATGAAGAGAAATACACACACATAAGGCCTTCCAGGACGAGACATGACATTCGTATATTCACTCGAACAGCTTGGCGACTTTTACCTGAACTCTCACTCATGAACTCATGTACTACACATAACAACACACAAGGTTAGTCGCCACATACCTCCCCCCAGCACAGACGTCTCATGGGATCATTGGTAGCCTGTGGGTGGACGCACTTGACATCCAGCACGTGACGTGAGTTGTGGGTGGTGAACAGTCTCAGTATATTGCTCTCACCCATCGGTGTTCCTAACGGTAGGCTTTGGTTCCCGTAACACCGGAGGACGGCCGCGTCGTGCTGGTTGCTGTAGATGGACTGGTTGGGTAAGGTCTACCTGTGCAGGCTTGAGGCGATCTACTGAGATGCGTTCCGTGCGGCCTCCGATGTCCAGAAGGAAGGTCTTTTCTCCCGGGACGAGAACCATGTAAGGACCTGTGTATGGTCTTTGAAGTGAGCCTTTCACGGTATCTGTGCGGATGTAAACATACTTTGCTGTTAACAAAGATGGTGGGAAGAATGTGACTGGGTCACTGTGGTGGATAGCCGGTCTAGGCCTTGTGAACTGTGCTTTAGCTCGAAAAGTTGTCAGAAAATCTGTTGCTGACCAGGTAGGTGCTTCAGAGGGTAAAAAATCGCCGGGAACGGTCAGATACTGTTGACCACAGGACTGAGGAAGTGGACCCACTATATCAATATTGATGTGTGAAAACCGCTTGTCGGGTACTCTAAATGTCTCTAGGGGAGCACGGGTGTGTTTCTGGATTTTCGACGTCTGGCATTCGTGACGCTGTTTCACCCAACTGCTGACCTGACGTCATAGGCCATGCCACACAAACTTTTCAGAGATGATCTTGACTGTAGCCTTAACGCTTAGGTGTGAAAGTTTGTGTGCAGACTCAAACACCTGGCGTCTGAACTCTGGAGGCACAATGGGCCGAGCTTTGCCAGTTGAAATGTCACAAAGGACTTCGGGACCTTCGTCGCTCAACTTCGTTTTAATGACTTTTATGCTTGTGAAAGCTGAAGTGTACGCCTGTATATCAGCTGTACTCGACTGCTGAGCTGCTGCTAAGGCTGCAAAATCTATGCCGAGTGAGACTGCATTAGTTGTGATCACAGCACGTGAGAGATAATCCGCAACAATGTTTGTCTTCCCGGATATGTACCTGATGTCAGTGCTGAATTCCGAGATAGCAGATAGCTGTCTTTGCTGCCGGGTTGACCACAATTCTGTAGTTTTTGACATTGCAGAGACCAATGGTTTGTGATCGGTGTAGATAATAAATTGCCTACCTTCCACCATGTACCGGAAATGGCATGTTGCAAGGTGTACACCTAAAAGCTCTCTATCAAAGGTGCTGTATTTCATTTCCGGCTAACGTAGTTGCCGGCTGAAAAAGGCGAGAGGCTCCCAACGATCATTCTTGTATTGCTCGAGGACAGTACCGACTGCCACATCAGATGCATCACAAGGGATAGCGATTGGGCAGTCTGCGCACGGATGAACCAGAATAGATGCGTTTGCCAAGGCTTGTTTACCCAAGAGGAATGCCTGGTTCATTTCATTGGTCCAACTTACAGCTTGACAAGGCTTCTCTGTTTTCAGAGCGTGGTAAAGTGGATGCAAAATCGCAGCGATGTTGGGAATGAAACGATGGTAAAGATTCAGTACACCCAGAAACTCCTGCAGCGCTTTGCCTGTATTTGGCTTAGGAAACTCCTTAACGGCGTCAACCCTAGAGTTCATAGGTGATGAACCTGACGCAGAAACCCGATGTCCTAAAAAATCAAGTGATGTAACGCCAAAAAGACATTTTTCCAGTTTAATCACCAATCCATGGTGTCGCAACCGCTGAAAAACTGCGTTGAGGTCGTCGACGTGAGACTGGGCTGATGAACTAGCAACTAGGATATCATTCAGATATACAAATGCACAATCTAGGTCCTGAAGCACTGTATCCATCAGTTGCTGAAATGTTTGTGCTGCATTTTTTAACCCGAATGGCATTCTAAAAAATTCCCACAAACCAAAGGGTGTGATCACTGCCGTTTTAGGTACGTCCTTGGGCGCCATGGAGATCTGATGATATCCTCGAACAAGATCAATTTTAGAGAAAATGGTCTTACCAGTTAGACGAGCAGAAAAGTCCTGAATATGGGGTATGGGGTAACGATCTGGGACTGTAGCATCGTTCAACTTGCGGTAATCTCCACATGGGCGGGAACCTCCGTCGTTTTTAGGCACAACATGCAGAGGCGATGCCCAGGGGCTGCTTGATTTCGGTATTGTGCCCATTCTCTCCATCTCAAGGAACTCCTTCTTTGCAGACGCGAGTTTGTCTGGTACCAGACGACGAGCACGAGCAAAAACAGGCCGATCTTTGGTGGGAATAAAGTGTTGCACACCATACTTGACATCGGCTGAGGAAAAAGTAGGCTTTAAGAGTTCGGGATACTCGTTGAGAATCTTGCGGAATCTATTGCTTGATGGTTCTATGAGGGCCAGATCTGGGCCAGTAGAAATGGAACTGACCAAGCAAGAGATAAGGGAGAAGGTTTCTGCCTCAATTAGACGGCGTCCTCGAACATCAACTAATAAATTGTGCTGCCGGAGGAAATCAGCCCCCAGTAAGGGTCGCTTAACATTGGCTGATATCAAACGTGCTTTAAACACACGGTCACCGAAATGAAGAGGAATAACTTTGGATCCATAGGTCGCTATGGTTGTTCTGTTGGCTGCTTGCAAGGGTGGACCTGTCGCACCTGACGTTCTGTCAGCCCATGACGCTGGTGTCACAGAGACTTGGGCACCTGTGTCTATCAGGAAACGTTGTTTAGACTTAATGTCCGTGACGAACAGCTGAGTTACTTTACAATCTGTCGTCGGTGTTGTAAGAGTTGTTGTTGAGCAACATTGCGGACCAACTGTCGGATCTTCTACTTCTACTGCTGGCCCGCTCTCCCGTTTCCCTGATGCTTTTTGTGTTGGAAATTCTTAAAGTGCTTGCATGGACTGCTGCAGTGTCTTGCGTTAGATCCAAATTTTCGATGGAACCAGCAAATAGCATAAGCTTCGGAAAGGTCTGAAACAGAATCGGTAGGTCGTACCGCTGTATAGACTTTCAAATTTGGCGAAAGGGAGTTGTACAGGTTATCCGCTTCTTTCGCTAATGCGCGGTAATCTGTTTTGTGGTGGGAGTTCGCCAGAGGAGCTCTAATAGGTTCTGGCTGCAGCTGTAAAAAAATATGGCGAAAAAGAAAACACAGTTTGTGTTCTCCCAACAAAGCTAGCATTTTTTCCATCATCTCAGAGGGCCTGTTATCGCCCAGTTCTTTTATGCTTAATAAGGCTGCTGCTTTTTCTTTCTCTGATAAACTATAGGCCTCTATAAGGAAAGACTTGAATGTGTCGTATTTTTTACTTGAAAGAGGTGAGGAAATTATGGATAGGGATCTTGCTGCTGTAGCTGCATCAAGCGCCGCTACGACGTAGTAGTATTTTGTCTCGTCAGTTGTGATCCCACGCAAAGCAAATTGGGCCTCTGTTTGTGCGAACCACGCGGAAGGACAAGAAATCTAGAACGTAGGAAGTTTAAGTGCTACACTTTCGATTGCCATGATTGTGAGAAACGTATCGCGTTTACTAGATTCTAGGTTATGCTAAATTAAATCTAGATCTCTAGACAAGGTTACCTTAAATCATATCGGGGTCACCAATGTAGCATACATGTCCTTTCGTTCAGCAAATTATTAGACGCATGGAAAGACAGCGAGTATAAATCTGTTGTAGCATGAAGAGAAATACACACACATAAGGCCTTCCAGGACGAGACATGACATTCGTACATTCACTTGAACAGCTTGGTGACTTTCCCCTGAACTCTCACTCATGAACTCACGTACTACACATAATAACATACAAGGTTATTTCTTGTTCATGCACAGTAGAATTGTAAATGGGCTGATTCATCAATGTCAACCTCATAACTGTGCCTGATCTACAACAGGAAACTACTACTTTTTCTTTCCTAATCCTTAGTTTATCATTTTCCTCTACTTCTTTTGTATGTTTGTCACACTCTAGTGACCCGCTATTTCCGTGGTGCCTTGAAAGTCGAAACAGATTTTGTGCTGTTGAAGCTAGAGAGGTGAGCAGAGTAAGCCTGATTCCCTGTAAAGACTTCTCTGTTGACATCCACCCCTTGGCGCTCATATGACCTTATGTGGTTGCAGGTACAGTAAAATCTCTACTAAATAAAAAAAAATAAAAAAATTAGGAGCTGATTGCAGGTATAGGCTACTATCAGTGGAGACTGGGTTGTGGCTGACTAGTATTTTGTTTACTTTCATTATTCCAAAATTTATAACAAGATCTTTTCTGGAATACCCACGTGTGTGGTATTACTGCAAAGGTGATTTACATATATAAACATTTCTGTTGAGTATTAGTCTGTATTTCATAGGTAATGGTGACAGCAAGCTAGATAATGCTCATTGAACGAGCCAATTTTATTATTTTTCAGTTATTATCTCCCCCCCCCCTCCCCTTTATTGCATGATAATTGCTCTGACATAAAAATAATAAATGACATTTATATAGCGCGCAACCCCGATTAAAGTTCACAGAGTCTGAGCGCTTTACAATACAGTACAACGTACAACAGTAACATAAAACGTTGTGTTGTGACTAAAAGAAAATCACTCCAAATATTCATCTTATTCATTTAAAAACAGAAACGACTTAAGCTGACATTTATGAATCAAAAGATTTTAATCTCTCTTAATGTACTTGGTAAAACATTCCAGATCTTGGGGCCTTGGTGTTCAAATGCCCTTTCACCCATTGTTTTAAGTTTCATAGATGGTAAAATAAATTTCTTTTTTTGTCAGCTGATGACCTTAAACTGCGAGTTGGAATGTACAGTATTAACAGATTTGATAAATATGATGGCGCATTATCATTCAAACATTTGTGACATAGGGTGGCCAACTTGAACACAATTCTTTTCTAAACAGGAAGCCAATGCAATGTCTGTAAAAGAGGTTTAGCAGAGTCTTGCTTTTTTTCCCGTAAAACTAAACGTGCAGCATTGTTGTGGACAGTTTGTAGTCTTTTACCTTTCTCCAGTGACATAATAGAAAGAACCATGCAACCCATCTTTTGTGATAACTTATTCAATTACCTTTCCAGTAGTATCAAATATATACTTTCTCTGAAAAAATATGACACCAAAATCAATTTGGACAAGATACCCTATTGTAAAAGGTGCTCCTGAGAAAATTAATTCCAGTGTTTTGGGAGGGTCAGTAGAAAAAAAATTCCAGGCACAAAGAGTTAAGAAAAGAGTAAAGAAATTCTGGGGAGGGGGTGATGTTGGTGAGAACATTTTTAAGCCTGTGTGAATGTGCTTTAATTTGTTTTGCTAGAATTGAAATGGGCATAGGTGAATACTGAAGAAAAAGTTGGAAACAGTTGATGAAATAAATATTGTGTTTTTGTTTCAGTTTCGAAAGCAAATTTGGCTCAGTGTTCAGCAGCTGCCAAAGTCCTGCTATCATTTCTTCTGGACAGATTGGAAACTCCCAACAGAGCCTGTGCAATTACTCCAGTAAGAATATTTTCTAATTTGATTATAGTAGTAGAGATGATGCCGTAGAAATTTATTATATGTGAAATGTATTGTGAATTGGTTGATAAGATTTTTTGTTATTGAAAATTTGTTCTATTGTTGGCAAGTTTTTTTGGTGGGTTTATCTGTTTGTATGATTAAAAGCTTACATATTGTGAACTTGTTTTCTGAAAGGAATTATATATAGTATTTCTTCAGTGTTTTTCTGTGCATTGGCCTGATATGATGTGCCTCAAAGTATTCAACACCTTTTTGATATTCTGTATTACAGAAGTACATGATGATTCTCATCAACGGACTCTGCAGAGGGGGATCTTGCTTGTCTCGCTCTGATGTGGTGACCTTCACTTGCTTGTTTAAACCAGCAGAGCTTCCTCCTGGTGACCTTGACACTCAAGACAAAGGTAAGGCAATGACCAATGTGTTTTTTACAAGATTGTCTTAAAACTTTATGTGAACAAAATGCTTCCACGCTTTGGACTTTTCCTTAATAAATGCTACCTGAATTGTCTGTGGAAAGCATTTATAGTTGTACAAACATTCTGTTGAAATATGGTTGTTACTTCAAAACTTCAAATATATTTGAATATATTCTTTTCAATGATTTTTTAATTTCTGGCACTGTCAGGAAGTTGGTATGTCTATAAAAGCGTATATAAATGGTGTGAGAAGCACTCTTCATTTTTAAAGTATTGATGCACTGTTAATTTTGAACAGCTTTTACTGGGGATACAAGTGTGTAGGTAGTTTGTTTTGAGAATGTATTGGCGTGAATTTTGCCTGCTAATTTTTAGATCAATTATCTTTTTAAATTCCTTTTTCTCCATTATTGCTGTAAGTTTGAAGACTAAGCTTATGTTGTCTCTATGCTTAATGATGGCAATGTTGTTCTACAGATGGAAGTCAAGAAAAAGACAAGACGAAAGAAAAGCTGACAAGACTAGACACTCAAACAGACCTTTTTGATCAGATGACATCAGTTTTTGCTGACATTTCACCTGTGTTGGCATCACCACCGAAACCAGATCTTATGGCAGACATGACTGAGAGGGAACCCAAAACACCAGTTTCTATATCATGTAAGTTTTCATCAAAATTTGTGTATGTTTTCCTAAGTATTCTATTTTACTCCCCATTTTGAAATTGTTTTGAGCTCAGATTAAGAGGGGTGTTTCAACATTATTTTTAAAAAACATGATTGACATTATCAAAGAATGATGAACTGGTCTGCTTGCTAGTTATGTATTTGTCTTTCTCGATAAGCGGAATATCATTATTAAACTCAAAAGGTCCGGATCAACAACAACAACAACAAAAACAACAACAACAACAACAACAACAACAACAAGCTCAAAAGGTTGATGGATTCATGTCTTTTGAAAGCTGTTTTTACATTAATGAAAGAACAGAAGGTATTTTGTTTTGAATGGATTATTGATCATGACAGAAATTGTCATGTAAATCTACAGTCCCACAAAATTACAACACCTTTTGGTTGGATTATTCTTTAGGGGATCTTATCCGCGTCTTCTTCCATTCAGTGCTGTAATTATTTAGAACTCCGTTTACGTAGTGCTGACATCAATGAATGTATTCTTGGACTTATACTCACTTTGGCTTGAAATCTTGTTTTGTAGCCCACACTACAGATAGTCCAGAGGACTGGGGTACAGCTTTCGCTCAGAAGAACACAGACTCTCTGCTGAAGATGAATGGAGCACAAGTTTTGCTGGGAGCATGTACTCAGTTGACCTTCCTGAGCAAATATGTACAGCGTTACAAAGATGCCCTGAATGGAACTGCCTTCCTGTTACCTGGAACATTGTCACAAGCCCTCACAATGAGAAATGGGTATGAAAAACAGAATGGTACTCTTTTTTTTTTTCCATGTGATGTTTTGCAGAGACAACAGACATATACCTCATGTGTGTGGGGGTGGGAGAGGAAGAGGTATAAAAAAGGATCAACTGTTCATGAATAGCAATGCAACCCCTCTTATAATGGAATTTCTCACATGAACATTGTGTTTAGATTTGCATGCATAATACTTACTTTGATAGCTTTTTTTCTGCCTTTCTGCTTTGCCCTGGGCTAAGAGGTTCACCTTTTCAATTTCAAATCTATGTCTTGTATTGTTGTGGATTAAACTGCAATAGAACCATGTCATGCTGTGTGGCATTGGAGCTAACTGAGTACATGATGATTTTAGATATTGAAAGCCACCGTTCATAGTGTCATATATGCAGGCAAGGAAAATTCCATGAAATTTTAGATTTATCTTTCATGTTCTCAAGCAAATTATAGTTTTTATATCGGTGTTAACATTTTCTACATAATACATTACATTTTACCTCTTGTACCTCTGTCATGTGAAAGATTACAAAAACATTAACCATAAGGTAAATGTACTTAATTTGAAAAATGTTTTCTTTAAAAAAACAACTAAAGTGTATACCTTGGTTTCAAGAGCTCTTTCTGTGAGTTATACGTATTGATGTTTGACTTAAATTGTCTGCTCACTCAATGACTCTATTCAGGTATCAGTTCTTGCTCACTGAGGTCTCTGACGTTTGGAGAGCTTTCTCCTTGCCAATTCTGGAACCCCTCACACCATCTCGTCTGAGGACAATTGTCGATGTGACTCTGGGCTGTTTGTTTGCTGCTCTGTCTGTGGCAACGGCTGACACTGTTGTCAACGTGGTGAAACCATCTGGGCCATCACAGTCACCTGGGGTGAAGGATGAAGAAATGGACAACCAAGGGCACAGCATTGTGCAGAAAACTGTAAGGAGATGTTCAAATTGAATCTACTTCACATTGTCTTTGTTGTGTAATATTTTTTTAAAGGCAAAAGTCTCTGTGAGAAGATTTTGATTTCACTTTGCAACATGTTGAAAATTGTGAGATGTATGGTACAGTTAGTTAACCTTTGTTGTCTGTTATTTAATCTCTTTTTCTAGATCTGTCAACAAATAGGCCTATATTGTGTAATTAGACCTCTTATTGACTAATTTTCTCATGGTGTAAAATTCATGCATATTTGAGCACTTTTGAATTTAGTATTTGTTCTAATTTCACTAATGTCAAGAACAACAGTTGATGAAAGATGAAAATTGCTTTATAGACTTCAACATGCAATTGTGTGTTCTGCATATCATTGAATTGTGTGCTTCATAACTTTTTACGTTAATTATATGTCGTATTGTAATTTGAAAAAATATTTTTTCACAGCTTGAAATTTTCAGCTGGGTGTCTTCTGCCATCAAGACATCAACAAGAGCTGGTGGTAATGTGAGTAACGTTGTTTATTTTATAAAATAGTCCAATGTTTGCTCAAGTTTTTTTGTGGATCGTATATAGACCTGAAGTTTCATTAGAACAAATCATGGTACCATGTTCTTTTCTTTGGGAAAGTGTTCTAATGAGTTCAGGATTTTATCTTTGAAGCAGTATTTGCCTTAATATTAAGTCGTGGAGTACATGTTTTTGTTGATACATTTCCTGAATAAAAGTAATTCATGTTGTGTTACTGAAGTCTGTCTGTATTGATGTCATTCCACACAGGTTGCTCAGAACCTGAATCTGATCGCTGCCTGGGAGACTCTGAAGGGCCTTCAAGCAATCCTGGTCCTTACTCCAGCCATTATTTTGGAGAGAAAGGATACTGTGAAAGGAAAAGCCCCCGAAGCTCTTCAGAAGAAAGAGGCTGCTTCCGGCTTGGGTCGACCATCATCTGCTAAAGGGTATCAGCTTTTGTTATTCTCAGTGGTGAAACAAAATATGCAGAAAAATAAAAAGTATTAAGTCATTCCATATTTCCTGATTGTCATAACTCACACAATTTTCAAGATTCTAAGCCGAGTATTCTTTGAGAAACTGGTAATTTTGATTTTCTTTTAAATGTTTTGTTCTTATTTTTTTAGAAGACCGTTCATTTCATAACCGAAGGAGAAGAAGCTAAAGGAAAGCATGTTTAGCTTTTGAATAAGGACAGTATTTCTATTCCACCTTAAAACCCAGTTGAAATTAACTGTGCCGTTGAAGTGATTTTACCTTATGAAGGGAAATTTTAACAACTATTTCAGCAATCACCAGTTTCTGAGCGTGACCGCTGTTGCCTTGGCCACCAATGCCATCTGCCTTCTCAGCCCTTTGCTGGATGACCTTCAGATTGAAGGCACGGATGAAAAACTTGGGGTACGTTTTTTTGTATATTGTCAAGTTGAGGTGACATGAGCAAATGATTGGTTGTTTATCTGATATTTTTCACTGCCTTGGTGTTAATCGGCTTGAAAGTTCCAATATGGATTTCACTTCAAATTAAATTTGAGAGAGGAAACAACAATAAAGCTTCCGCTTAATTGCAAAGTTGAACACTACATTTCCCAGATCTCTTTCTCTCTTTAAATATTCTACTTACTTATCTATTTACTTTTGTTCTCAAGAATAAAACTGTATACTACATCTTACAGAGATATTAAAAGTTGAAATAGATATAATGAGTTTACCTTATGAAAATTAAGAAGCCTTCATGGAAACATGTTTGTCACATAGAATATCCCGTTGAATACGGAGGTGGGCCTCAGCTTTGATATCATGGACAACCTGACAGCGTGGGCCAGGGTGAAGGCTCTACTGGCCAGTGTCGGACTGCAAGACCTCATGTTCAGCCTCATGTCTGTGGCTTTCAAAAGGGTGAGCTGGGGAGTTGGTTGTTGTCTGAGCCCTTTGTTGTGCTTGCTGATTAGACTTCCTTGCTCTTGATAAGTTGATTCTGTGTTCTTCTAGTTTTTTAAATTTTATTTTGTGTGTTCTGTATATTTGGAAGGTGGTTTTTGAGGTGTGTTCTGAAAAAAGACATTCTCTCTGTAGCTGAATTGGTGTGACATTATAATGCATCTTTTGATGATGATATAACTTCTGAATTATTACATGTATGTAATGTTCATTGTCACCCAAATGTAATAGTGCTTTTTTGTGAGTTTTTAAATTTGTTTTTTAGTTTAGTATGGGGTTTTACTGCGCTTGCAACTGCATAAGATCATTTGAGCGCGAAACAAGTTGTTTTTTTTCTCAATAGCTAACTGCTCAGCCTGATTCTGGTCAAAATTTCTAATTAAAATTGTTAAAACGCTAAAAATTGCTTTTAATTTGTGGTGAAGGTTTTTAAAAAAAAGTTTTTTTTAGGTGTGTTTTTGTTTTCATATTAAAGATAAAAAGGAGGAAGACTTGAGAGGCATAATGTCAGCTTTTGGCAGTTTAATAAATAATGCTGGAAAAGGCTTCGTTTCTATGAACTTTTGATAGCCAGCATGCTTTACAGTTTTTTGTGCACTTGCAGCCCTGGGAATCAGATGTTTGTGGTTCTCATGTGGGTGTTTAATGCATGTATTGCCTTTTCCAAGTCAAAGACTGGCTATTTATTCATCATTTGTGGGAAACGTGTTCAATAAACAAAACTAACAGATTTTCTTCCCTTTGAAATATTTTTTTCCCCTTATCTTTTTATGGCCTAGAGTTGTATGCAATTACTAATAACTTTTTTTGAAATTGGATGAAATTTTGCTTTGTTTTCTTGTTTCTTTAAATGTTTTCGGTGTCAATTTTTATGCTCCCTTTTTGGGGGAAAATGAAGTAGCTCTGGTTTCTCATTTGAGGGGGATAATCCTTGTAGTGAGTTTTCTGTATTATAAAGTATCATAACATTTTGGTTGTCAGGCTGTGTTCTTGAAAAGAATGAAACAAGGCTCTGATTCTCAAGAGACCATAAGTAGCAGCAGCACGTCTGACTCCAACACTTTTTACGAGGATGACTTCAGCACGTCGGAGGACAGCAGTGAAGGTAAGGATTTTTTAAAAACTGTTGTTCTACACCTGAGTAAAATCTGGATGTGAATTGAGAGAGAAATGCCTATGTGTAATCTTTGGTGTAGAGTTGGTTTGGATGTGGTGTTCACTTATCCATATTCGTCTCTGAAGTATCCACAACAGTGTATGTCAGCTGATACATAAACATGCAATGTTAGAGGACTGAAAAGCTTTTATTGTCTTTTTTTCTTTTCAGTAAAAGAGGAAAAGATTTCTTTGCTTTTGCTAAATGAACATTTGCACAGGATGATTTCTAGATGACTCCTTTCTGGCATAAAAACTTTTCTAGAGATTCATTCTGAGGTAACCATTCAATTCAAGACGATATATATCCTGTTACCTGCATGTGCTGGTCATTTTTACGTTTTTGTTCAAGAGAGCAAGTGTTTAATAACTTTGTTGTGATCAGGATTTGACACTTGTCAATTATTTGACAGCCCCTGATAGAAATGTCCGAAGAGATGTGTGTTTACTCTTGTTCACTGTCTTTTTTCAATGATAATAATTATGATGTTTGTGGTGCTTAAGGAGATAATCTGTTATGACTGTCGCAGTAATGCACACGTTAAAACTGAAAAAGTGCACAACTACATTTTGTTTTGGTGCTTTTGTTGTTTGTGGTGAACAGATATTCTGATTTCTTTCCTCTCTCAGATGATGATTCGGAGCCCATTCTGGGCCACTGGATGGATGAAGTGCTCTCCCCATGTGACTCTGTGAATACTCCCCCTCCCCCGCCTCCCCCACCCCCAGCAGACGGTGTGGGTTTGGAGGGAAAAAGGCATAGGGAGTCGAGCGTCGGAGACAGAAGTCCCAGTTTTGTACCTGATAAAAGAGAACCAGAGGGGGTCAGTTCTTTTCCTCTCATGTGTCAAGACTTATTGAATATAAGTTATTTTGCATAGGTGAACTTCATCGGTGTAGGTGATTGTCTCACTTGGCGTCGAATAAATGACAATGTATAAGGAAGTTTTTCTGTTTATGGCGGGCCCACCTTGTTTGCATTTTCATGCCAGAGAGCAAGGAAATGTTTTTCTGTATTATAGTGACTTGTTCAAATTTTTCAAAACCTGTTCAAGCCAATATTACTAGGGTACATTTATGTTTAGCTTTTGGGTCTGGATTTTCACTACTCATGCAATGAGGCCTCAGATGCTAGAACACCTTTGTGTGCTCTGAAGATTGAAGAATACCAAAACAACTTAGGTATGGAGAACTGGAAAATGGAAAGAGAAAAAAAAAAGCCAGACCTTTACACAAATGCAAAAATATCTGTGATAGGGACTTGACCACAACTAAGATCTACTATAGAACCGGGAAATAGATGTCAAAGATGTAAGGGTGCAAGGTGGAAGAAAATGCCCCTTTAGTGAGCAGCAGAGTTACTGAGCGAAGTCTTAAAAGTTGTAGTGAACTGCTGTTCAATACTTGATATGAAACCTACAGATTATGTAAAGGTCTTAGGCAAATAATATTTTTTCATACAAGAGAAGGTTCAAGTAATGAGTGTTGATTATCTTCAGATTGTAGATTTTAGAAGGGTGACGTTGACAGTTTATGTTGATTTTGAAATATGTATCACGACACAGTGGAATCAGGCGCTCATCAATTTTTGGGCATGTGGAGTAATTGGTATCATCTTAAAGTTTGTTCTTTTGCCTTGCTTTAGATGAAAAAATACCATTATCTTGAATAAAAGATGGGGGTTGCTTGGTTTTTGTGGTAAAATTGGCGAGAAAATGGCCACCAAAGTTTGGTAGCTTCCATAGTTTGAGAGTCCTCAGAATCAGAAAGTTAAAATTTTTTGTGCCTTTAATCAACGCGTTTCAGTAAAATTCACACAAAAATGTTTTTTTTTTAATGGACATAAAAAATGTTGAGCCAAAAAACAAAAATTCAATAAAAATTGCCGAACTGGCATCTCTTCAATTTTATTATTTTGACGAGTGTCTGATATCACTCTGATGCCTCACATATTACTGGTGAAAAGTATGTTAACATGTGTTTTATAATTTTCCCAACAGTTTACAACTCTTGTCAGCAGTGTGATGAACTTTTTCAATTCCCACTTGCTGAATTCCAACAATGAAAATATCAGAAAAATTACAAGGTGAGTCTTTGTGTAAATTCTTATAATTGTAAAGGTGTGTTTTGAACCATTGCTATGACTTATTTGGTGTCAACCTGAGGTATCATGAGGGCATTTTAATCAAAGATACTATGGTAAGATGCTGCAGCTGCCTCTTTCCCTCTCTTAAAAAAACGTGCCAGCGTAAAATAGGCCACGCCCCCAGTGAGCGTGTGACATAGCCCCGATGGCTTGGCCCGGGGCTTGTTGGATAGAGTATGAGAGCGTCCTAGTTAATCCTACTAAAGGGCCCATTCTAATCTAGATCTAGATCTAAATAATTACGTAGATCTATCTTCCAAACTAAAGTATTGATCAATGTATTCCAATAATTTATCTAGATCTAAATTATTTTAAAAGAAAAACGTTGTTAAAGATTTTAAAATAGTCTCACTTCGGTAACGAGTGATCAAGATCAGAGGATAGTGAACCGATACAGGGCACTGGGTGCATAGGCTCATGATCTAACTACTAAACCTAGATTTATCACGAAATCTAGGCCTAGAATATATCCAATGCAATATTATTGATCATATTGATGAGATAGTATTGATGACAGGTTCTTTAGGCTAGGAATATGCATTATTAGAAATCAAAAGATAGTGTCAATTAGTATTAGATATTCCCAATGTGCCAGGGAACGCTGCAATAGCAGAATAGAGAGAGAGAAAGAGAGGGGGGGGAGGGAGAGAGAGAGAGAGAAAAAGAGAGAGGGGGGGGGAGAGAGAGAAAGAGAGAGAAAGAGAGAGAGGGGGGGGGAGGGAGAGAACTAATAGGCTTCTACAGTTAAAACGACAAACATGCACACTGAGTGGGTGACTGAGTGAGTGAGAGAGAGAGAGGGAGAGAGAGGGGGAGAGAGAGAGAGAGAGAGAGAAAAAGAGGGAATACAAAGAATACAACATAGAAGTATGTCTTATTAACTTGCTCTCTCTCTTCTAAGGGCTCACGCTCTCCTGGCCTTGACAATGGGGGGGAAGTTTACGACACATTTTCCCCAGTGACACAGTCACCTATGCACTCATTGGACCTTTGTTAGGTGCTTTCAATTTTCCTCGACTACACGGCTGAAACCAGCTCATCATAGACGGAATAATAATAATATGCATGAGGTGCTGTGTGTGCTTCTGAGATTTAAGTGATATAAATCACGTTGAACCACTTTTAAGGCAACTTTTTTCATATATAACATTTACATCTAGAATCTAGTTCTGCACCTAATGGAATGGACCCACACGCAACAAAGTACAGAGTACAAAACATTGGTCATAGCCAAGGATGCATGATGCAGAGAGTAAACAAAGCTTACAAGCTGGACTCTGATCTCTCTGGTTTAGCTCTAATCTAGACTCTAGATTAAAAAATCAATTTCACAATGTCTTTCCTTTTTCGTCCTTTGGGAATCTGAAGAAAGACAATTATTTGGTAATTCCTCTGGAATTAGAATGGCCGATGGCTGAACAAAACTGGCCAGTATGCCAACAGCATGAACGTTGTGTGTCACTGGCCGTGTTTGTTTACAAACTGTCGCACGCTCGCCGCTAGTGGCGCTGGGAGTCGATGTGCCTCACAAAATTGAGCCAGTGCAGCATCTTATCGTAGGCTGTACTATCTTTGTTTTAATGACAAATCATTTCTTAGTCTGGATTAACTTGCCTATGGATAAAAGAGTTGATTGTTTTACAAACATTTACATCCTCACATTTCACAATTTGAAGTTTTGGATAACATATAGGTAGAAAAAGAGGGGCACTACATCATGGAGGAGAAGGAGGTAGGTGCTCTTGTGAGGCTTCTCAGGTTATAGTATCTGCAGTCTCTCTATTGAAATTGTTTATATCTCCAGGGCCAGTGTCTCCCAAGATCACATTCTCATGCTGGCCCAGCTGACCAGGGAACTTGATAAGGAGTGCGCAAGACTGGACAAAGGTCAATTTCACAGTTTATGCTACTGTATCTTGTCATATATTTCATTTTTGCTGTATGTGTGTGTTATTTTTATTTTCTCCATAAAAGTAAAAAAAACAACAAAACAAAACCCCCAAAACCCCAAAAAGGTTTGAAAAGGGAGGTAATATTTATGTCCCTGTTTCTGAGGTTACTGGTGTCGTTTTTAAAGTCTCTTTTCTTTAAATTTTGCATTTGCGTTTCACGTAGAATATGGGTCAGCAAGTTTTGAAGATTATGCACTGCCATCTTCTGCTATCAGCATATGATACATTTGAATTTTAGAAGTGAGGAGTTTTATTATCCTCAACCTTCCATTTTCAGCCAAATTTATTTTTTGAAATGTTGTTATTTGACACCTCATTTGATGCTGTAAGTTTTGATTTTTGAATGGTACGAGGGGCGTTCAATACGTCTTTACTCTGACAATGAAAGAATTGTTGTACACCAATGAGACTTGGAGAATGTAATTTCTGTCGTTCGGGAACTCTGCGTGCGGAGTTTTGTGTAAATCTGATAAGCTGTGTTAACATGAGAGTAGTTTTAATGAAAATGTTTCTTAAATACCAAAATCTAATGTATACCTTGCTGAATGCCCTACTTATGAAATAATTAAATATTGGATAAGGAAGTGCAAAGCTGGCTGTCCACATCCTCCATCCCTATTGCCAAAGATCGCAAAGGTGCAACCTTCAAGTGGAATGGACATGCTGTCATGTTTTTGGGATAGTGAAAGTGTCACTACGACATGCTACTTAGAAAATGGCCATACTGTCACTAGGCACCATTATTCAGCGTTGTTGATGAAACTATGATCTACCTTTGATAAGAAAAGACAATGGAAGCTGTGAAAAGGAATGCTCCTGCTGCACGAAAATTCTCCAGAGTGCAACGTGATAATGGCTCCTCAGACAGCAAAGCAGTGTGTCTATGAAGTTCTCCTATACCCACCCTTTTCACCAGGTTTTAGCACTCTCTGACTTTTTCCTGTTAACAACTCTAAAAAAATTATCAAACAACAGCGTGCAGGAATGGTTTGAGTCCCATTGGAAGTCATATTATGCTCAAGGACTTTTGAAGGTCAAACAAAGATGGCAGCAGGGTGTCAATTCGCAGGGTAACTATATAGAAGAGTAGCATTGTGAGTCCCGAATTAAATTTTTTTGCTTGCTACTTTCATAGTCAGAGTATAGACTTATTGAATTATCCTTTTACATTTTACATAATCTACTTTTGTTTGTGGCAAGTTTAAACTTTTTATTCAAAGTCCAGGTTGTAAAAGGTGGCTGTTTTCTTTTGTCTGCAGACAAAGGCTACATCAATGTGTCTCATGTGCTCGCTCGGTTCACCCACAACCTCATTGCTTCAGATTGCCTCACAAATGAATTACAAGTAAGTCTATCAAGTGCATAAAATTGTGGATTTGTTCAGAGCTTAATTGTCCAGCCTCTAGTTCCTGTGGTGTGAAAAGAATGATTATAAGTTATTCCTTGCCCTCAACCTTAACTTAAATGAAGTAGGTTTTCTTGCAGGGGGTGGGGGGAGGGGTGTATTCTGTGTTCTGAGTATTAGGGAGAGGCTGGTTCATTCACTGTAGCTCTCTGTTGTGCACTCTTGTTGGGGATAGATTATGGTACTTGGTCTCTGTAGTTCTTATTGTTCTGGAGCTCACTATGGAAAGAAAAATCCTTCCATATTTGATTAACTTTTTTCATACAGCAGACTTAAGTAAAAGAGTTAGTATGATCCCACCAAAGAACATTAATTTGATTCCTGTTTGGGGAAGGTATCTTATTGTCTTCGTATTTCTATTTTGATATAGTGTCATATGCAGCCTTATTTAGCCTTGAGGGGCAGGATGGAAGCCGCCTATCCCTTGAAGATTTGAATTGTTTTGATATAGTATTGTGCAGAGCCTTCCTTGGTCCTGACAGGCAGGATGGAAGTAGTTCCCCTCATATGTAATGTAAGCTTCATAAACTTTTAGCGTAATTTTATTATTGTTGTTCTGTGCCTACGTCTGAATTAAAATAGTCCGTGTGTGTGTGTGTGTGTGTGTGTGCGGTGTGTGTGTGCGGTGTGTGTGTGCATAAATAGATACTGCATGAGAAGAAAGGAAGTAGTAAAAAAGATTTAGAAAATAGGTATTCCAATGTAAAGCGCATTGAGCTACTTTTTTTGGAAATGCGCTTTATAAATGTTATATATTATTATTATTATTATTATTATTTAATCGTGTTTATGGATGTGTAAAACGTTAGGTATCTTTCGGCTTCCCTTTGCAGCAAGCTTTCCTGAATGCCCTGGGTGTGAGTCCGACAGGTCCTGACCCATGGCCTCTCACGGTGTACCCGCGCAGCCTGGCTGTGCTGGTTAGTCTGCTGCTGCGCAAACAGCAACACGAACGGGAAGATAAGACGTGTCAGGAGGGGACGGCCGATCGGGCGGTCATCCTGATCTGGGATAAGTTCCTGACCAGACTTCATGCTGCTGTGGACTGCCTGGAGAGCAAAACAGAAATTATGGAGGGTATGGTGTGCTTCATAGATTTGGTGCTGTATATCTTTCTTTTTCTCTCTTTTTTTAGGCTTAAGTTATTATTTCAGCTTCCATAATATATTGACTAGAGGCATTGAATAAGAAATTAAAATGGAAAAAAATGCAATGAGCTGATGTCTTTGAAATTTCTTTATCTGTGGGTCCCTATTTGTATCTGTGGGGTCTTTTTTACTGGTGTTTTAAAAATTTTTATTCATTTTATTTGATGACTGCTTTCCTTCATGTGTGACGATGAGAGAAAAAACTGGCCTTTTTGCACCAAAACTGACAATACAATGCTCATATATTTTTTTAGATTGAAATTCTAATTTTCTATTTATCTCCTTTTCAAACTTTTTCATATCCCCTCCTGTTTTTCCTAAGCTCTATCTTGTAGTGTTGTGTACGTTCTAAAGAACCTTTTTTGTTTCAGATGTGAATGTTGAGCACCTGCAAGTGATGTTGTTCCTGTTCCATGGGCTGTCTTTGTCTCAGAAGAAATCCATCTTGACCAAGATCTGTCAAATCATCATGCTGGTGGCAGAGATAGAGCATAGGTGAGAAGGACTAACTGTCTGTTTTAGGTTTAGTTTTTAAGTTTTTTCAGGGCCTACAATCAGGTGTAGGAAGGAGATACTTGAAGGATGCCATTGTAGATATTACATTTGTGCTGTCCCTCTATTGTTTCTATTTGTCTTCCTTGCTCTGAATCACTATTAAATGACTTTTGTTATGTGGTTATGTTTCTGTTCGATGCAAGAATACTAATAATTTTGTAATGGATGTTTCAATATTGAGAAAGTTTGAAAGAAATTTCCTCCTAAAGTACCCAAGTTGTAAAGGTTATTTGGGTTCAGAATACTAGAGTATATGAACAAATTCAGCAGTAATATGGTTGGGTCGGAGCTTTTTGGAGTAAGTTAAATAATAATAGTTCCTTTTTTTGTCTTTACTCAGTGCTGGTTTTAATCAAGTTTACTAATCACAATGTTTGTGCTAACGTTAAAAGAAAAATCTCTTAGTCATACAGTGTTTAGCTAGAATACATGTGCAGAGAGGTAAACGAATTATGAAAGTGTTCAAATTTCAAAACTATGAGTTGCCTGATTACACCTACAAACCCCTGCCATCACCCTACCATTTAGCATTTAGACAGAGGAACGGGCAAGACAGATAGACAAAAACCCCATTGACAGACGGAAGCCAAGTGGTCAGTGGAAGTTAGTTTAAGCTCACAAATAAAGTCTTGCAGTTTTTTAGAACTAGATTTTCAAGTGGTTGGGTCTCATGGGATGCATTAACCCTTGCTCAAAAGCTGTTCTCTGCACCAAAGCGACCAGCAATATTGTGCTATTGTTCCCATTTTTCATGTTCTGTGATTGACTCATTACAAAATGAATGTCCCTGTGCAGATTGATTAAGTTGCCTTTCTTTTTTTTTACCCCCAGCCGTGTGGAGAGAATGGTCCCCTTGGCCTTGAGCCGTCTGGTCCTGGTGCTGGAGTACATGCTGCACTACTTCTATGACCCGCCGGCTCAGCTCATGGAGCAGGTCAGTGTCGGGAATGGAGGAGGGAGAGCGGGTTGATACTTTTGCAGTGGGATTCCATGCGTTCTTTGTCTTCTCTGCTTTTAATGCATGCTGACTCGCAGTATACCACCACTAAAATGCTGTTTGTTTGTGTATCTGACTGTCTATATATACTGCAGATGGTTGGTACACTGTTTGGTATAGCTTTCTCCCAGCTGTCATTTTTATTTATTTATTTTTTTTATAGTAGAGGGTTTTACGGCGCTCGCAACTGCATAAGGTCATATGAACGCCAAGGGGTGGGTGTCAACAGAAAAGTCCTTACAGGGAATCAGACTTACTCTGCTCACCTCTCTAGCTTCAAGAGCACAAGGTCTGCTTCGACCATCAAGGCACCTCGGAAATGGCTGTTCACAAGAGTGACGAACATACAAAAGAAGTAGAAGAAAATGACAATAGTAAGGATTAGGAAAGAAAAAGCAGCAGTTCCCTGTTGCAGATCAGGCACAGTTATGAGCGTGACATGATGAATCAGCCCATTTACAATTCTACTGTGCTTGAACGAGAAATGTCCCCCCTTTGGGAATGGCCTAAAGACACTACAGTCGGTGGCACTGCCCCGGGGGTATGTCATTTTTATATGTTGTATTTTCTTTTAATTCAAACCTATTGGTGGGCTCTACTACTTTGGAAAAGAAAAAAAATGTGTTTATTGATACTTGTTAGGAAAAGTAGGTACTATGGCAAGTTCAGTGCGTACTTAAATCAATTGATTGTTTGCATCAGCACCACAAAATATGCAATACACAATATGGGAAAAAAAAAGAACAGTGGTACAAACACACATTTTGCTCAAGGACACGCCCCAATGTCCATCAACCTAAATGCTGTTTCGCTGACTGACCATGGGTTATGTTTATGAGCACTAACAATTTATCCACTTTCCCTTCGATATTTCTATCTATCTGTCTTGCTTTTTCTAATTTCTAAATGGCAATTCTTTTGAGTATGTGCTTCTTTTGAACTTAAACTCCATGACTTAAGATGTGGCTTTTTCAATTCTAAAGGTCCAATACAACCTGTTTACGGCTCAGACTGTGAGCCCAGACAAGGAAGGTTTCCACCGGACCACCAAATACTTTGCCTGTAGGGAAGTGGAGGAGAACTTCCGCAGGAACCTGCAGAGCTCAGAGACCACTGAAGGTTTTTGGCTTCATTACAAATTTTCTGAATTGGAATCGTGTTGCAGATTTATGTTTTACATTCATTAAAATTGTCCATTCGGTTCAAATATTACAGAATATTGCATATTAAAACGATTATTCAAATTTTCTTTTTAAACTGAGGGGAAAAGTTAATATAATATGTCTTACATTTTATTTATAAATCACCAGCATGTCACTGAAAGTTGTAAAAAAAATTTTCCAGATAATAATCTTTTGAATACAGTATTTTTCTGGGAAACAATAATTAATGTAAACATCTTCATAAATAAAACTGATAGAAACCTTTTGCATGTTTGTCAATAATGTTGAGGTTGTTTACGATTTTGTTGCAGTTTTTGTCATTTTCTCTTTTCAGATTTGTTCTGTCAATGGACTTATCTTTAAGTATAAATAATGTTCAGTCTTTTCTTAATTAAGTATATCTTTTTGTTTCAACAGGTGCCATGAGACCAAGATTCTACCACCTCCGCCCACCAGATCCTATCATACAAGATGTTGGCAAAGTGGATGGTCTGGTAAGTTTGGTTGTACTGTTTTAGACAAGTGGATGTGTAGACATCTTGACAGTCTTATGTGTAGTATTTTTGCTCAAAATGTTTAATGGGTTGCAATAACAGGGACCTTGTCGTCAGTGAACCAGAAATTGAAAAGAAAAAAACAACTTCTGGGGAGAGGGGGGGGGGGAAGCAATAGTGAGCAGCCTATGTAGATGGCGTTTACTACCATTGGTATTGGTGTGAGATGTATTTCTTGAGAGTGTGTTGTATGTTGTCCTTCATGTAAATCTATTAGATCCCATTTGATGGAGAGAACTTCATCTGTTGATCTTTTGATTAAATTCCTGTTTTCTGATCGTTATTTTCTCACTTGTTCAAAACTTTGAAGGTGTAATTTTAGGGATCTCAGTATAGAGAGTTACCTATTTTAAGAGCCACTATTATCCTTACTATTTCCTTGCAATATGTGGTTGTGGTAATGTAGACTGGCGCTTAATTGTGCAATCTCAATTTCAGGCTGTGACATGCCTGTTGACGCCATCCTACAACAAATTCTATGCCTCGTGTGTGGAGCTCCTGATGGCCGGCTCACAGTGCGACAAGACCAAGGACAAACTCTCCCTGTTGGCAAGTGCTTTACTTTTTCTTGTAGCACAGATGGTTGAGAGGGGGAGGGTTGTGGAGTGGTAGGGTGGAGGAGGAGGCTCATTAGTCTAGCTGTAATGTTTTTTGATACGTTACGACAGTAGTATGTCCTTGAGCATGACTTGAAATCCCTACTGAGAAAGGAGAATGCTTTTTGACTGTTTATTTATTCACTTTATTATTATTTTTTTAACTGGATATAATGAAGTTTTATTATTTTTTTAAAACTCCATTTAGTTGTCTTGGTCTTTGTCGAATCTTGTGATGGAAATTTTCGATTGCAATAATGAGGTGTATGACTACTATAAAACCATCTATAATTTTTTAAAGTTAGATTTCTAAAACTATTGGGTCCTTTGTTAAGCGTAGAGTCAACTCTTCTTTTGTTTTTTATATTTCTGTCAAAGTTTTTGCACTCTGTCATGCATTGACTTTGGGTAAATTATCTTTGCGTTTTCGTCACCTCTGTATTTTTTCTCGTGCTGTGCAGTAAGTAAACAGTGAAAGGAGTAGAACTATGCAGTGTCTCATGAAGGAATGTCCACATTCATGACATATTAATGGTTATGTTACTTAACCTTCTTAGGGCTAAGCCATTTTTTAAACTATTTCCCTTCAGTGCTGGGTTTATTTTTGAAAAATGCTAATTTTCAACAAGTTTATATAAAAAGCTCATGTCTTTCTTATTTATCATTACTTCTAATTACAGTAGGAAGGAAAAATGTGTCCAAAATAATGAACTACCTCTCTGTCTGGTCAGATGAGGTTTTTTATGATGTTGTTGTTGGTATCCAAATACTCATAATTTTTAGTCCAGCCTGCTTGGAGATCAGCAGAAATATCGACGTTCCCTTCTGGGCTGAACCTTGCTAGATCTACGATATATCCCCATCATTCACATGTAAATCTTTTATTTGAGGACAGAGTCCTTCAAACTCTTCATCACTATCGTCTGATTCCAGAAAAATGATGGGCAAATATGTGTCTAAATCAACTGACGAATCTGGTATTTTGAAAACTGTAAACAATATCCCAGAAAATTTCCGAAAAAAACTCCATATCGATCACCGACTGCCAAATGCGCGGCCAATGGCGCTAATAAACATTGCACTGGTAGACTGTTGTCACCAGCAGTTTAAAAAAATAGTTTCTAAACTCTGTGATGAGCATGGAAGGTAGGTATGAGTCATCACGACCACTGGTCGCGATGCGCGCTAAGAAAGTTAAAAATAGTCTTTGTCTCTTAGTACTTTGGCCAGGCCATTAGTTTAATTGTGTCGCACTAGACTTTGGCTTGCACGGCTCTTATTTGAATTCCTTAAAGGATATTCTTGAACTGTGTTAGTTTGTGGAGTTTTCATTCCTCTCTACCCTTTTGGCCTGATATTATTGTAGGTGATTGTTATAATGAGAGGTTGACCTCATAGTAGCCATACTGTGGAAAAAGGGGAAACCCCTTGAAACATTTCATTCCTTATGTGGGATAGTGCAATGTGTGAAGCAGATAGCGTTTCAAGCAAAATAGTGAATTGTGGGCTGCTACTGTATTGATAACAACATAAAGAGTGTTATTTTTAGGAATGGCTATATTTCTACCCTGGACAGGATGCATCTGCCATGCACTACCACTTCTTGTTGCTATGGAGACTGCTCTCATGTCTGGCCCCCTCTGTGGACTATATGAAGATGCTGAAGGATACAAAGATGGACATGGGAAAGGCGTACGTCCTGCACACTTTGCGTTGGGGGCCACGCCTCGGCCAGAAGTTTTTCTCCACCTGGGTGCAGGTTTGTTCCTAATCATTGTTTTTTTCTCTTAGTTCTAATGGGTAATGCTTGTCTCTTGTTTGTTGTACAAAGCTTCATCAGCCTTATCTTTATCATTATTGTCGTTGCGTTTGTCATCATCATCATCATGATTGCCAATATTTTCATAAAGTGTTGGGTAAAATAAAAATAAAAAGACTTCATTTTAAAAAATGAACGAAGATTGTGTTCTTGGTAAAACATTTGCAAACATGAGCTTATAAAAATGTTTGTGAGAAGAATGATGTTTTAAATATTTGCTTGTGCTCCTGTTTCAGCCGTTCCTAGTGAAGCAAGGTCTGAGCGCGAAAGAGGCGAGTGATCTGTTGGAGTCTGCTGCAGGACTGAGCAACACCAGCAGATACGATGTCATGTTGGCCATGTCTTACATCCGAGATCAGGTGAGACTCGTGCCACATGATTCATGGCTGTGTAAAACAATATCTTTATTCTTTCCCCTAGCGCTTTGTTTCTGGTTGGTTTAAATATTTCTAATTTCGATATTTTTTGTGAAAATGTAAACTCTCCTTCTGGAGAGGGATGGGGGGCACAGTTAGATCAGCCGATATTATGCCAAATTTTGATCAAAATGACTTTGGTTCAAATGAGATTTCTAAATGTGGGTTGTTGGGGGAGATTTCAAAGCTTTCTGCCAGCCTACTTGGCTCAGTCCTATTGGAAGGTAAGCATTAAATCGGAGGTCCTTGTCTTTAGTAAAATCATATTGGTCTTTGGGGTGTTTAATATGTATGATGCAATGCCCATTTTCCTAATATTTAGTGCTGCACAGTACTCTTTTTGTCTTCACCAATGCTTTAAGTATATTAGCAGTCACCTATAGTTTTCTCCTTTCTGTAATATTTCAGTACCAGGAGAGATACGGGGAATGAATGTCCTGGGAAAGAGTGAAAGGCGGTTTATGAGAAGAATGTCAGTCTTTTTGGTGCCAAGTTTCAGCACTTGTGTCCGTCCTATCCCTTCCCTATTTTCTACTGTTTGATGGGTGCTATTTTGTGATCTGCTCCATCTATTTCTTTTCTATGTTACGATTGTCTTAATCTGTGCTTGGCAAAGATAAAGCATTTATTGTGGTGGCCCATTGTATACTAAAACAACTACCCTATGAGTGAAAATTTCCTGGTGCTGAGCATGAGACACTATCACAGAGGGCTCAAGGGTAAAAAACAGCTGAGACAGAGGCCTTGTAGTATTCTGAACTGCAAGTATTGTAGCAAAATACACGTGTTGATCAGTGTGGAAAAATAATTACCTATGCTTGTGGGCTTGTCTGCAGATTTCTCGACTACCTTGCGTTAGCTCAGATGACCTTGGCCCCCAAGATCTGCCAGGCATGTCTGACATTCTTATCCTGGATGCGATCGTTGCCAAGTGCCAAGTGTCCCTGGATGACAGCTACACCAAGTCTATGGTGAGTTTTTGCCTCTCGGCTATGTCAGTTGATGGGATGTTACGTAATGAAGCTGTCAACACAGCAGACTTTCTCCTTTGCTTCTGCTTCTGAAGTGTCTTCTACCCCATCCCCTTTTATTTCCTCTTTCCCTTCCCTATTTTTTCTCTTCTTCTTCTTCCCCTTCTTCTTTGTATTTTTCCTCTTCTTCCTCCTCCTTTTCCCCATCACTTCTTTCTCTCCCTCTTCCTTTTTATTTCCACTCCTTCCTCTACGATTTCTTCCTAGGAGAATGCAGTTGAAAAGGATACTGACAAAACAAGTGTCTGACCCAATTTGGCAGATGCGCAATTAGAGTCGGATACGGACTATATACTTTGGCATGGGATGCTGATTTTTGTATGAACTTAATAACAACCTTATAGCTACTTGTCCTTCTAGTATTGAATTTTATTCGTTCACAAATAAAAGTGCAGAACTTTAAATAAACAAACAAGAAAATTTTCTGTGTACAGCTGTTGTATGATTGCTGAAGGGTCTCACTGATAGTAATGTCATCTCATCTCATGAGCTGTAACAGCACGGATCACATATTGTTTCTGCCATTTATGATATTGAGACAATCACTTACTATGTTACCTCTTTCCATATCTAAATCTATACACTGGCATCATTTTTTTGGGAGCGTTTTTGACTGTGTCCTTAAACATGTTATAAGAAAGAGTTAAGCAATGTTTGTATGATACGCCACCAAAAGGTGAACTTGTGAAATAACATAAAATTATGAAAAAAATGTACTCTCATAGGCCGACCCTGAACTGGACAAGGCTTTGGAGTTTGCTCAAGATCTCATCCCTGCCATCTTCACTCTGATTGAGGCTTACAGTGCTTTCGCAAGGTAAAGTTCAATGTAATAGTAAGAGGTTGTTCTCATTGAACCTTACAGAACTTTGGCGCTGTAGAGTTTTTGTATGTTTAAAACACATAGGTTCCTGGTAGTGCCTTTAGGCTTTGAGTGCTTTTGCAAGGTATTGCTTGTGTAGGTTATGAAGTTGTTGAATTTTACTGTTAAAGCAGGGGATACTAATTATGGTGTACAGTGATTTCATGAAGTATGGTTTGCAACATTCTCTTGTAAATGCAACAGAGTTAAAAAAAACAACCCATTGAAGATTTGAAAGCTATTATTTCTTGGACTAGAATTATTGTCTTTGTCATGTTACCTGTTTCCCATTTCTTAGGTCTTTTCTCATTTGCTTTCCAGTGAGTGGGTGGTTGGCGGGTGCTCTAGTGTGGTTTGCTTCTTTCCTATCAAACATTTATCGTCCTTATCTCCCCTTCTTCTTTTTTATGTTTGTTACATCTTGTTTGTAACACCTCTTCTTCTGGCACTCATATGACCTTATGCAGTTGCTAGCGCCGTAAAACCTCTACTAAAACAAAAAATTTTGCAGTGAAGAAAACCTCTCACTGTTTCAGTGATTCTTTTTCTGTTATTGTTGTCACTTCTTTTGTGAGCAGGAGAATTCTAATTCTTAAACTTAAATAAGTATTAAGTTTCTTTTTTCTTCTTTTAAGGTCTTAATGTGGACATTGACTTAGGGCAGTTTTGAAGTGTGCCAGTGAATGTTTTCTGATGTGGGTTCAGGGGATTTTAGTTAATTTATTTATAAAAGGCTTTCTTTGTTTTTTGAAAAGTTGTAGTGAAAACTACCAAGGTCCTTGATTGTTGCTTCAGGTCTTGCATACTCAACAAAGTCTCTGGCTCGGATGACAAGAGCTTGACCCGACAAAGGCTGCGGGCTTTTGGACAAGTGCTGAGTATTGGCTCCAACCACCCGAGTGCGGTACGGGGCCAGGGCTCTGGCGTTGTGGGCCTTCTGCCCAGTGCAGTACGCAACGCGGTGGACAAGTGGAACAACAGCGGAGGCAACGAGTTCCCCAGCAGTGGGGCCTGGGTCAGTACCAAGTTGAGGTGGAATGTATTCGAGGTATTAGACCACTATCGCAGCAACACCATCACTTCTATCCTCAGCCAGAACAAGAACTTCTAAAACAACAACAACAGCAGCAGCAGCAACAGCAACAACAACCACAATCACCACTATTCCTTTCATGCCTCTGCTTTGGCATCAAGTGTTAAAATACCCAGTGATGACATTTGTGTATTTATGTTTTGTGTGGCTGGAGCTTCTGAAAGCAGACTGTTAACCAGTGGTAAATGTATTGAAAGTTTTTTTTTCCATTTGTATTTCAGAGGAATGCCTTTGCATCAGACCCGATTCCAAGTGAAAGTTACATGGATGCCATCCACAGTGCACACATGGTCACATTGTCAGGTAAAAATTTAAAACACTTGTGAAAGTGCTCTACAAATTTAACCCTTAGAGTGCTGATCGCGACCGCGATGGACATTGGCATAGTATAACGCGATTTATGAAAAGAACGAAGTACTAAATTTGTACTGCTGGCTGGTAGGCTACGCAGAATTGATTTCGCCCGCCATTTTTCTTGTCACGAGGTTCGATCGAGGCGCGAGGGGTTTTTTGTTTCACGTTGAAGTCGAGTGACCGTGAAGTTGGAAAATTTGCAGCCGGCGACAAACATGAAAATAGTGTCGCATCAGATTCAGATGAAGATGTTTCGCGTATTTTCCTTGAATTGGAAGATGATTTCGAGGGTTTTGATGCTAGAGCTAACACTTTGTGGAATATAACGTTGGCCTACGAAACATTGAGACTGGTCTAGATCTAGAGATCTAAATAACCGTCTGTTTTTATTCAGTCATTTCCAACACCACTACTACAACAATAACTTCACAAAATACTTTTTGCTTCACATATTCATAAAGAACTTTCAATATTCTAAAACTTTTATTCTTACCTTCATTAGAAATTTTGACAAATAAAAAAGTTATTAGCAAAAAAAAACATGTATGTGCAAATCTGGCGTTATTCCAAAATAAATTCAACACAGGGAAAATATAAGGGGAAAGAAGTCAGCGCTGTAAGGGTTAATAGACTACTCTGTTTTGAATTTGATGATGTGATAATATAATGGCTTGTGAAAAGGTTGGCTGGAATGGTTTTGCTGAAATATAAAAAGGTAGAAATAGAAAAGTACCCTTTTTTGTCCTCCCTGGATATTTTTTGACAATGGTAAGTCTAAAGATATAGCAGTTATACAAATTATATGTATACCTAGGAAGCAACATATCAACAAATTCATTTGCATAAATACATCATTTTGGTTTGTGGCAGCACAATTCCCCATTTTTCAGTTAGGATGATAGTGTTGCTCAAAGAATACTTTGAAGTGGACTTGAGTTCTCAATTCTGAAAAGAATTATTTACGTAAAAATATCCAAGAACTTATGATTTTAAGGACCAGTGTAAAAGGTTCAGGAGATCATATCTACAGTGGCAACAACTTTTTATCTAGCAAAGAGTCTTCTTGGCAAACCTACACAGTAGAAGAATAAAATTTTGTCGTGACTTTGCTAGCTATATACGAAAACTCACAAACTAAAACAAGATGGGATACAATGAGCTGAATTTGGTTAATTTCTCTACGCTATGAGATCTAGATTGCTGGCTAAGTTTCTAAAAATGTTGCTTAGGGCCACATTATGGAAGGATCTTTGTTGAAGGAGTAAGTCTACAAGTATATTGCTTCATTTTGTTTAATTTCACCTGGCTTGTTTTTACAGGTTTTGTGCAAATTCAGCATATTGACACAGGATGACATTTTATCCATATTGTTGTTTTGATGTGCCTAAAGTCTTAGATACGAGTTATCATGGTCTGTGGAAAATACTTAAAATTTGAGAGACTGAGGCCTTATTAAAGTTGTGATGTATTTCGCCAGCATCAGAAAGGAAAGGTATGTTAAAAATAATAAACTCGACGGAGTCTACTGGAAAGTTGAGATCTTCATTGGTTTGCAGAAAAGAAGTGCTTCTCTTGTGAATTTGACGTTTTAAATAGAAATCTGAATTCCATGTCTGTTGTGGGTGTTGCAGGTCAGTCTCCTTTCTGCATCAACGCTTCTCTGAGGCATGTTCTACAGTCTCTCATGAGATTTGGTGGAGACCTCATCATGTAAGACCTTTTCTTAGCCTATTGTGAGAAATAATTTGGTGAAATAATGTACTCAAATTGTACTGCCTTTACTTTTGTGTTATTGTACTCTGAATAAAACAATTTGATTTAGCTTTTTTAAGGTGGGCCTCTTTGAGAAGAAAATTGAATTGTAGCCTATATTGAATAGGCTTATTGTGAGAAATATTTTGGTGAAATAATGTACTCAAATTGTACTGCCTTTACCTTTGTGTAATTGTACTCTGAATAAAACAATTTGATAGAGCTTTTTTAAGGTGGGCCTCTTTTAGAAGAAAATTAAATTGTAGCCTATATTGAATAGTTGTTCTCAATTTTCTTTTGGAAATGCTGTTGAAAGGGTCGAAAAAAATAATTTTGCTCTACTTCATTAACTTCCAAAAAATATTTATCTGACAGTGGCTGGCACAAAAGTATGGCAATTGTGAAAAATAAAGTTAGTTTAAATATCAGGGTTTTTTTGCTTTTTGTGTGAACTAAAAAATTATGCTTTGTATTGAATTCACAGTTGGTGTCCAAAGGTATCCGGCAACACAGAGCTCCTGAAGGTGATGTTCCCCCTGATCCACGACGTCACCACAGAGTACCTGGGAGACATGGTATGTTGGCACTCACTTGTTTTTCAGGGAATATATTTTCTCACACTTGTCACAGACCTTTTTCAAGGGGTATTGTTGATACTTGTCAGGAGAGGTATTGACACTCACGTGTCAAGGGACATTTTTGCACTCTTGTGGTATGCTGGCATACTTGTCAGGGGGCTGACCGTCTTGTCCCATTTGTTGGCACACTTGTTACTGGATATGTTGGCAAACTCGTCACACTTGTCTGGGAATATGTTGGCGCTATTGTCAAGTGTTATGTTGGCACTTGTCACAGTGTATATGCTGTAAGATCAGTTTATATGGGGTTTTGGTCACCAATGTAGTTGAGGTCCTTAGTATGGGAGGGTAATGGGAGGTTGTTGAACTTGGCTGAAGTATAGGATGATAGTGCACTCATGATGGTGCACTCTAGTGATGTTTTGTGGAGTTTCTGTGGAGTTTCTATCATCGATAGCAACGATGAAGACAGATGATGACAAGTGAAGGTAAAAAAGTTTTGTGTTATAAAAAATATCATTGACGGTCTATTTTCTATTCAGGGATTGTTAAATCAATTCTGGGCTTTTTTTTGTACAGATGTCATATTCCTCTCCTTCACACACACACACACACACACATACATACACATATACACACACACTCGCATGCTGTCTCTCTTTCACCACACATGCACACATACACGCACACACACACACACACACACACTAGTATATTCACACTTGCAAATTTGGCAGCACATAAGGCTGACGTTAACCACAGATTTACCTCTTTATTACTTGAATCACATATCTCAGCTGATGTCTTTGAGTTAGTTGTATTTATGAAGTAGTATATATTTGACTTCATACCTTTCTTTATTTGCTATGAAAGTTGCCATTTGCATGGCAGGAAAAACAGTACCTTTAATATGCTCTGATTATTTGACATCCAGGTCATGAATTTGAAATCCAAGGTTTCCGATGAGTCGGCCTTTGAGGAGAAAGCATATCAACATGCCATTCAGGCTTGTGACCAGATCATTGTTCAGTTTTCAGATGCAGAGAGGTATGACGGCACTCTTTTATACATAGTCAAAATACTGTGATAAACTTAAATTTGAGTATTAAAAACTTCCTTCTCCAGTCACAGGTCATTATGATTTCTTTTTTTGTGACGTAAAAATTTATAGGTGCATTTTCATTGTTTTAGGACTGGTAGGCCATTGTATAAAGAATGCCATGGCAGGGCAGTTTAAATTTGACCTAAGGCATTATTTTTACGTGAAGATGATGTGTGTATGTTTTGTGATTCCTGAAAAATCCCTTGCTGTAGATTTGTAATTTACACACTGTTGCAGTAAAAAATTTCACTCTTTCAAGGAGTATATTTATTCCTTTCTTTTGCCCCATGACAGTGAGTAAAGGAAGGTGGAATAGACTTAGGAACTGAATGATCTCTTTTTTTATCTAGAAGATTTGACTGTTGGGTTGTTCTATTTCTTTATCGAACAATTTTGGTTTGCACTTTTTTTGACTGATATAGCTGGTATCCTTCTGGACTTGGAAGGATCCGAGTGTGGGTATCTCCATAGTAATATTCTTGATAATGGGTCGTTTGAGGAGTGTTAACGGCTCTCTACCCGTATAGCTGGGCCCTGTTGAAGCTCCATGGCGGTGGGTGGACCAAAAATTTGGGTGGGGCTTCGGTTGCTTCCACTTCTGTACCACTAAATAGCAAGCAATAAGACCTAAACAGTAGGCTACTGATTTCTCTATAGTCACAGTGAGCCACAGTTTTTTGAGAACCATTCAAACGAGAAGAGCCACTTTTGTCTTCCATCTCTTTGTTCTCAGTTAGATTCTTCTGGATGAAGAGGTTGCCTTAAAAGTGGAATCGACGTGATTTATAAATGTTTCCATAAACGCAAACATACACACACAGCACTTCAAACATATTCCGTCTATGAGCTGGATAAGAACGTGTTGTTGCGGAAAGTAGAATGCATCTAAGAGAGCGTAGGTATCTGTGTCACTGGGGGGAAAGTGTGTCGTAAACATTCACCCCATTGTTAGGGCTAGGAGAATGTGAGCCCCCAGTATAGTGTTATTTTTTTCAGTCTTCTACCTTTTTACAAGAAGAGTTTTATTACAGAAGGGGCGTGGGAACGGGCTCAGTGCTGAGCCCTAAAGACATTTGATTGGCTGTTAGGTTACTATAGTTGTAAGGGCTGATGACAATGATTGGATAAACGAGCAAGCCGCCAAACTGATCACTATTTGTTCATTGCGTGCTTTCATAACAGTTTTAACCGCTTATTTCAATATTTAAAAAACTTTCATTTACGACAGAGTTGGGGGGGGGGGGGCTCAAGCCCGTGAACCCTTCACTACCCACCACCACTGTTAAAGATGGATGTTAAATTTGGAGGTCCCCCTTCTTGAACATCGTTTAAAAAAGACTTTTCCATACCAAACCTCTTTGTGATTTATTGGTTTCAGTCTTCTGCCTTTTCTTCCCTTTTTTTGTGCCAGATGTTTTCCATATTGAAAAGGTTCTGTTTTTGGGGAAGAGATAGGGGGTTTTTTGTTTCAAAAAGGTGAGGGCTAAAGTGGTGTGAATCTTGAAAATAGGTGTATAGAGGAAAGAGATTATGGCTGAGAAGATTTTTGTGCCAGCACTAAAAAATGTACAATAACAGGTGGGCCCTTCTTGTATTCACATGATTATACTTCTCATCTCACCAGTGGACTTGACGAGAAAATCTTGTATGAATGCATCAAGTTCTTGGAGAACAGCCTGGAAAAAAGCCCAGCAAGGAAAGCCTTCCGCAATGTGTACACAGAGACTGGAGGTAAAGTTTAAAAAAACTTTTTTTTTGGTATGTTCTTCTCATTACTCATGTTCTGTAGGAGCGGGAGAAGAGTATAACTGCTCTGAGATGACTGATTGTATACTTGAGCTGTTTGCCTTGCCTTCTTATTAGATGAAGACTTTTGGTAGTCTGTTGGTAAGGTGTGCACTTGCAGTAATAATAAATTGTGAGTTTGATTCTGGGTTTCATTCAAATAGGAAATTGTAGCCTTAGGAATGGTGCTTTACTTCATTTTTATACCCAGCTTCAAATGGGTATTTGGCAGTCAGTAGGGACAGCATATGTGAATGATAGTAGTGTGAGCCTAACTGGTTGCAATGCTGTATATCCCTGGGGGACTGAAATAATTGGTTTGGATGAACAGGCTGGCCAAGGGTGTGTGAACCTTCAGTGAGAGAGCTTCTATTTGTATTTTTGGGGTATGCGTTTGACTGATTTGTGTTGACATGTCAGTCCTCATCTGCTGCAAAACTCTTACAATGGCTAAGGGTAAGGTCAGTAGTATTCAAGGTTACTTGGTACTTCCTGCTGTTCGTCCCCATTTCCTCAGAGCTCAGCGTCCAGGTCTGTGTGTTCTGACATGTTTCTAAAATATGTACTCGAAAACAGTTGGGTGGTTGGGTGGTGCTTCCACAAGGTCCTACCTCTGCATTCTACTTGTTGTTCCTGTTTGCTTGTCTTTCTTTTTATCAGCATTGTATGACAGTTACTGTGTTGATTTGCTTCTCTTTAGCTTAAACCTAAACAAATAATTACTGGAGGTGTTTACTATTGTTTGTTTTTTTATTTTTCCCCAGATGTGACTGCTCTCTTGTTGTCTGTGGCGCAGACCAATCTCAGTGACACATACACCTCACATATCCTACGCCTCTTCAACAAACTTTTTCAACTGGGTAAGGCTTGAAATCTGACAGTGCCCATGGTTCAGATAAAACTGGAATAACGATGGATAGATAATTGATACTGCAGCTTGCACAACAGTGACCATATCTGAAAGACAGTGTTTACAATTTTCAATATGTCCATAACAAAATGAGAGAGGGAAAGTTTGCAGAAACAAAATTCTGCACTTCACACACTAATTATGTTTATTAGACCACTCAAATTTAATTGTTAAAAGCCTTTGTAACGAATGTCATTTCAGTTTGTGTGTTCTGTTAGAGCAAAGGAAGTTGGATTTTAAAAAGTACAGTTGAGATTGTCTAAGATGGCCACCAATTGTTGAGGAGAACAGTGGTTGTCTTATGCAGGTGGACATCTTAAACTGCACCATTATAATGTTTTAAAAAATGCAGGGGGAGGCATGGGCTCACTTGTTGCAGGTTTGTCCATGGTTATGAACCTTAATACAAAGAGAAAAAAAAGCTTTTTCTGTGGGGACTCTACTTTATTCTTAAAGTCTAAAAAGTGATGTGCCCTGGGGTGCCAATCGGGAATTAGAGGATGCAGTCTCAGAGAGATAATCTGTTACCCTGTTCATGTTATAATAGTCTATAAAACAATCAGCAGTGATTTTGCTGAAAATGGGAAAGGTGTTACATTGTACTGCTTCCTAAGTAGTTACATCAGTATTGTTTTATTTTGAAAAGAGAGTTTGGTTTAGAATTATTTTCCTTTTTTCCCCAGCATCTCTTATTATTCTGTGTACTTATCATATGACTCTGACTTGAGTTGCACTGGAAAAAGTTTATTGATGGAAGTTATTATTCAGACCAGATAGGTTTTTTTTATATCTTGTCATCTCAACATCATAATTGCTTTATGATTACAAACATGATACTGTTTTTGGTTCAAATGAAAATTGTATGACAATTAGATATTACCTTTTCTGTGCTCATGATTCTTAGGTTCTATTTTTCAAAGCAGAAAAATTAGTTACTTTCATTTTTCTCTCTCACCAGCTGAGCGGGAGTCCAGTGATGAAGACTTACGCAGTGTGTGTCACCGCCTTACTGGTCTGGCCTCTGTGGACAAGAGGAATGTGCAGCAACTGCTCACCAAAATTGTCAAAGGCAATGAGGTATGAAAGGGAAGGTTTGAGCACAGCTGTTTAGCCTGTTTAAAAATGACTTTTGTAAGACTGGTCACTCCTATAGAAAACAAACGTGGTCAGCAATGATGGTGGTGTTAGTTGTCAAAAAAGTCTGGCAGGTGATATTTTTGGGGAGGTGGGGTGAGGTGTTTTGTATACTAGGAGTAAGTACTATTATTCTAGTAAACCTCTATTTGAGGCACGAAACAAAGTTGTTTTACGAGTGCGATGATAACATTCATATGTATGAATAAAAATAGTCAAGGATGGATTTTTTAAAAATGTGGTCACGTTTTTTTGTATGCCGTCTTTGACCTTCTTACTTCTGTTGTTGAGAGTATAACTTATCTGTTGCTGCTGTTTTTTATTGTAGTTTTAAATTTCTGGTTTGTTATTGTGAAATTGGCCATGGAAGCAGCGTTATTCAGCATAGCCCTGGACTGAGGTTTAGCATAGTATTTTCTCTTCTATTACTCAGGTCATTTAAAATAATGATGCATCTTCATCCCATTCCAACGTCGTCAACTCTTTAACATAATCAACACTTTATGCTGTATTAGGGAAGGGCTTTTAGGGCTTTTGAAAATCCCCTTTAGCGTGATTTTTTTGTTGAAGGGTTGTTCACAACTGCTACAACAAATTAATAATAGCTCACCTTTGTAAAGTGACACGTCAAGGTTTGCTTGTTTCTGTTGTTCTCACCAAACCTATTATGACATATTTTCGCGCCTCTTAAATAATCTAATAATTTTGATAGGGGTGTTAAACCTATACCATTTCATCATTTTTTAATGTGTTCTTCACCATTTCAAAGTGTTTACTGTTGTTTTTTTTTTTTTATAGAGCTCCAGCTCCGAGTCTGTTGTCAAGGAGAACAATTTCCTGCTGCAGTCTCTGGTTGACCACATTGTAAAGGAAAAAAGGTTTGACAGTGTGAAAGATGTATCCACTGCTGATTACTATATTAAATTAAAGATAAAAATTTTCTGTGTGAATTGTAGTAATTATAAATGTAATATTCTATCCTTCATGGTGTCGGTATTCTATTTTTTAGGCTGATAGTTTCTAAAACTTAAGGTCCTGAGTTTATATCCTGGTCTGAACTTGAAACTGTGTGCTTGGGAAAGACTTTTTTTCTCAAATTTTCCTCATATCACTTCATTTGGAATGGATACCAAGCTAAGATAATTAAAGATCGTGTCAGTATGTTAGCTTGTTTTGAATGCTTTCCAGGGAGCTGAAAATGTTTGGAAATGTTGGAGGGTCTGTCGGGGTAATGATAATGATAAAACTTTTCTTGGAAGGATCAGGGCTATATTAAAGAAATCTGTTGTTGTTATCTATTACCTCTAGTAACAAACAGAAAAGATTGTTCTAAACTGGCTTGGTCTAAGTAAATGTCTCCCTCCACAGCCCAATTGGAGAAGACGGTGTGAAGGTCATCCTGCAGGCTCTGCTTCCCATGGGTGCCCCGCTCCTTGAGTCGGGCAAACCGGGAGATCTGTCCACTTTCCCTGACCTCATGTTGGTCGTGCATTCCCTGGCCAGGGCCGGGTCAGGGTCCGGTCATGTCTTGCTCTTCAAGGAAACTGTCAAGTGGCTGCATTTGTGGTGAGTTCAAGAATGTGGTTAGGCTGGAAACCCTCAGCTGAAACCTCTGCCTGAATTTCTTAATGTTAGTTTCTTTAGCCCTTTTCTCAATCTCCCTTTTATGCCCATTGAGCTCAAAGTCTCTTTTGAATGGTAACCCTATAAAAAAATATAGCCCTGTTCAAGTGGTGCAGGAAAGATTTTTTAATGGTCTTATGTCTCGTAAAAGATTTTCTTCATTATTAGTGCCGTTAATAGATTTTCCTTTCAGTCCACATCTAGGAAAAGATTTCATACTTTTTTATGAAGTGCTGTTTCCAGCCCTGATATAGCTCAGACTTTGACCTCCTCCACGACTGATCAGATGGGTTTCAAACTTACATATTGCTTTTAGTTTGTTAATGCATTTAACTGTTTTGGAAGGCTCTTGCTTTATATTTTCCATCATTTCATGATTTTAAATAGAAAACCTTATGGGGGGGTGGGGCAGGCAATTGTAGAACCCCAGTCAGATTTGCATTAAGTCAAATTTTTAATGTGAATTCTGCTTCCATCGGTTGTACGCAATTGATGATAAATAGTGTGAAAATGCTCAGGTCTTCATTTGTATGTGGAATGTTTGATCGACTTATTGTAAATGACGTGAAAATACACGTTTTTATTTACACGTATACGTGGTATACACATTTATTCGCCACAATCAGTTCGTAAAGTAATCTGAATCTCCTGGTGTTCTGGAGATTCTGATTCCCCCCCCCCCCCAAACTCCAATTTTCAGGGAAGATTCTGGGGAAAACTCATATTATAATGGGTCATGGAGGGGTTGGCAGGTCTGAAAAAGACACTCGCATCAGTCATGCCTGTGTTTTTTGGGTTTTTTTTTATAGTAGAGGGTTTTACAGCGCTCGCAGCTGCATAAGGTCATATGAGCGCCACATGCCTGTGTTGCAATTATCTTTATCATAAAGAAAAGTGCATTTTTTGAAACATTGACTTTTACCCCAGAATTAGGCTTTGTTTGATTTTTAGTGTTTTGAATTATTTGTTGTGCTGGGTTGTTGTCCAACTTTCTTGATAAATACTTTTTTCTGTTGTTTTTCTTTAATATATTTGTTTTGTCTAAGTATTATGTGAGTTTTTGTCGAGTTCCTTTAGAAATGAGTTCAATTTTGTATGAAAATTAATATTTTGAGAAAAAGAATATTGCAAATTATTTAAAATGCATCCAGGGTGGTGTTTCTTTACGGTGCTGTTGCATCTTTCGTAGTCTCAATCTTAAATTGTTTTATATCTGCTACATGGTCTTAATCTTTGTTTTTCCACTCACAGTAAAACAAATTTGATGAAAAAGGATGCTCTTGAAGAGGCTGTGAAAAAAGGAGGAAAGGTAAGTCTACAATTAAAAATTTTTTTTTAGATGGAACCACGGCTCAGTCTGAACCAATAATGATAACATTCTTTTGGTTAATTTGGTATCCATTTTGGGCTAGTTTTTTGTGGTTCTCAAACAAAATTGGGTTTTTCCAATCTCCCCATTTCTTTTGCCTGTCAACTTGTCTTTTTGTTTGCAGTAGATTGGTGTTATTAAGGGGGCCTCAGTGGTTGAGTCGTTGGTGTGGTGATCACCAATGGTATTTGTGTATTTAAAGTGAATGTAGTTTGTCCTGAGTTATATACTGTGATTTTAATTCTGTTCACCTTTGTAAACTGCAGATTTGAAAGGTCAAAATAAATGGGGTTTTATGGTTGTTTTATCTGTTTTTTGGGGGGGCCTCTCCTTTACTCAGACAACAGTGTGTAAAGAGCAATTAAGTCCTTCCAAAAATACTGCGTTTTTTAAAATTATTGATGTCTTATATCATGTCCAAGCTCAAACCCACTACAGCTGGTGTAGTAGGTACAAAAGACTCAGTGTTGGTGATAGTGAAAAGGAGAAACGTGATTTTGTTGTTAAACATTGAAAGCATTATTATGTTGCTTTTGAAATATCCTAGAGTGGGTACTGCAATCATTTTGTTATTGTTATAATTAATGATTATTATAGATAATTATTAAATATAAGTATTATCATCATCGAAATTATTATTTTCAGTTCAAGTTCAAATTTATTGTCCGATACTAGTGCCTGTCATGGTGCCTCCTTTTCTATCCCATTGTTTCTGTCTGTATGTCTTGCTTTTTCTTGCAGCACTATATGACTGTTATTGTGCTGATATCATCCTTTATGACTCAAACCCTGCTAACCCTGCCTGTGTTGTCCTGTTCAGAATGGCCTGCTGGCGACCCTGTGCTGCCTGTTGTTGTACATCGGCGAGGTTCTGGGGGCCCTCAAGTGCTCGGCAGACCGGCCACGCTCCTTCTCACCTCTGCTGGATACAGAGCCACTTCCTGTGCAGGAAGTGGATGGAGAGTGGGCGGAGGAGATGACGCATGAGGATGAGGACTCGGCCGGAGAGGACTCTGTGAGTAACACTTTCTCACTGTCTTTGCGGTGTATTGAATGTTTTGTAATGTAATTAGAATTCTGCTGTCTTATTGTCTGTCCATGGACTTCTTGTTGAGCATGCAGCAAGCAGTGAACATGCTTGGATCACAAGGCAAGTGTACCTTTTTTTACTGATGGCAACGCATTGCTCTGTTGTTTGACATTATTATTGATTAGTATTGACATCATGTGGATTCATTCACGACTGTACGGGTGCACAGTTCACTTACTTGATACCTTGGTGGACTGCTGTGCAGTGGATCCTTGCTCTAATCTGGCACCGTGCTTTGTTGAAATATTGGTAGTTTGGGGAGTTTTCAAGGCTTTCCCCTCACTTAGCTCCATCCTACTGGAGATGAATGTTTGACTTGGAGGTACTGCCTCATAAATTACTCCTACTGTGTTGAAAGGGATGTTAATCTATATATATATATATATACCTACATATCAGGATTTGTTATATTATGGTCCGTATTGAGAAGTGGATTGAAGATGCTACAGATGTCAAAATTACCATTATATTTTATCCCCTGATAGTTTATTCTTGTCTTGTTTACGAAGTTTGACAAGAGAAAAGAGAATTCAGTAAAGTATTTTGTCTTTGTGCATCAAGCAACCTGACTTTGGATTTTAGATTTCATTTTAAGTGCTTTCTGCATTTTCACTTCAATGAAGAAACTGTTGATTATTGCCTCGTTTTCAATTGAATTTATCACTATTTTTACATTTCATCAGGATGAAGAAACCTTGAACAACAAACTGTGTACATTCACTGTCACACAGAAAGAGTTCATGAATCAACACTGGTAAGAAAAATGCCCAGTTGCAGTCTTTTGTAGTTGCTCTTAAGTTTACTTAAGTTTCTGTACTCATGCTTATCTGTTGACAATATGTGTTTTGGTTGGGGAAAGGAGTCATGAGATGCATGTGAAGTGATGAATCAGTATATTTTGTTAAGTGAAAGATAAGAAAATTCTCAGAGTGTTTTTGCCCTTTGAGAGTGAGACAGAGATAGATCTAAAGATAGGAGAGGCAGACCAGAAATGAGGCTGAGAGAGAGAAAGAGAGAGAGAGAAAGAGAGAGAGATTAAACGGGGAGCTCCATTAAAATTGTGTTTCTGGGTTTCATTTCTATGTTTTATATGTAGCCTGTATTGGAAGTAGTTTCGCTTATCCATGGTATTATTGTATTCTTTCCAGGTATCACTGCCACACATGCAAGATGGTGGACGGGGTTGGCGTATGCACCGTGTGTGCCAAAGTCTGCCACAAGGACCATGACCTGACCTACGCCAAGTTTGGCTCGTTCTTCTGTGACTGTGGGGCCAAAGAGGATGCCAGCTGCAAAGTAGGTCATCTTGTTAGTGGACTAAATTTATGTGAACTATCATTCACTCTCTTTGTCTGCCTTCTTGTTTGTATGTTTGATCATTTGTTGATCCGTAAGTCTGCCTGTCTTCAAAGCTGCTTACCTGTCTCTTTGTTCATCTGTTTGTCTGCATGTCTAGCTCACTTTTGTAATGATTAATGATAATGATTTGGCTTTAATGTTTTCCAGGCTTGTTAGGCATTGAGAGGGTAAAGGGGCTGAGGAGGGAGGGGAGAACAGGAAATGATGATGATAATGCTTTTTGACTGTATTCATTTCCTCAAAATTTGAATTAAAGAAAAAAAGTGGTGTATCTCTGAAAAGTCTTGAGTACCTCTTTTGAAAATTTATGTTAGTGCAGGAGCAGAAAGACAGCCAAAAAAACCCAATCAAAATACAAAATAGTATTTTTTTAAAACTTCGTGACCTCTGACCTCAGGCCCTGGTCAAGCGCACTGCTCAGAGTGGCTTGGATGGTGGGGTGAGCAGCTTGTCACAGTCGCCCTTTTCAGCGGAGGGCATCATCCAGCAGCACAGCTCCCTGAGGCGTCGTGTGTCCACCACACCCGAGGTGGAGAGCAGCAAAACTGTTGAAGGCATCAAGTCTCTGGAGCTTATCACCAAAGCCAGGGAGTCACTGGCTCAGCTCATTGGGGTGAGTTTTTTGTTGGATGGGATGTCGAGGGGGAGGGGGGGGGGATTTTTTATACCTCACTATCCAGAACTAGATGAGATAGGATGGTATGCACCTTATTTATCTTCTTTTGTAGCCGTATGATAGTTCTAGTTATACTGGGAAAAGTCGGTTGGTAATGTTTTATGAAATTTCACTCCAGACTTGAAAAATAAATGTATGTATGATGAATTTTTTTTTTAACTTCTCAACACAGTTGCTGTTTTCATTAAGTTAATGTTACTTCATAGGAGTTGTACAAGTCAATTATGTGTTTTTTAATGTAAAACGCTTTATCACATATTTATTATCATTTTATCTGTTTCAGACTTACGAAGACAAGTTGCTGAGCATATTGGTAAGCTGTGTGCACTGACTGATGCACTTGATGTCTGTTGCGTCCTTTGTCTCAGTGTTATAACTGAATCTACTGCGTGGGTGGTTGGCGGGTGCTCTGGTGTGGTTTACTCCTTTTTTCCAATATCGAACATCTATCGCCTTTATCTCTCCTGCTTCGTTTGTATGTTTGTTACTCTCTTGTAACACCTCTAATCTTCGGCACTTATATGACCTTATTGTGTTGCAAGTGCCGTATAATGCCTACTAAAACTAAACTGAACCTACTGTATGTTAGTGTTGAAGGAGAGGACAGAATCTTGTTATGCAACTGCATTTAAATCTGTAGTAGCATAACTTGTAAATCTTTGGGTCTCTTGACTCAGAAAATTTATTTTTTTAAATGTTAAAGTGGGTGGTTGGCGGGTGCTCTGGTGTGGTTTGCTCCTTCTTTCCTATCAAACATCTATCGTCTTTATCTCCCCTTCTTCTTTTTTATGTTTGTTACTCCCCTGTAACACCTCTAATCTTCTGGTCTCATGTGACCTTATGCAGTTGCGAGTGCTGTAAAACTCTTACTAAAACTAAAAAATGTATCCTTTGATTTTAAAAGTATTTTTCAATAAACCTGATATGATGTGGAAAGAAATTTATAGGCTTTCTATTTTTTTTTTTAAAACGTTCCTCCATACATGAGGAATATCAAAGGATCAGAACTTCATTATTAAAAATAGAACTGTACTTATAATGATATCTCTTTATATCTCTGTTGGTTCTTTTGTTTTATATATTCTTGTTGCTGTTTATCTAGTGCCATGTTGTAGGAGTAGATTTCTTTATTGATACTGTTTTAACTTTCATCAGACATATTATAGTTGAAGCCATATGTCATAGCTGTTTCAATTATTGAAATTTTCTAATCTACATGTCACAACGTTTGTCATTTTAAAGGTGGGACATAAATCGTAATGATGAGTTGATATTAGAAGTGGGATATCCATCTATCGGTGACTGGTGTAATAAGAAAGGCATAAAGGTGGAACCCCTAGGAATAAAGCAGCAGAGAAAGGTCAAGAGAATGTGGTGGAGAAATACAGAGGCACGTGCAAAGAAATGGTTGAAATTTGGACTCCGAGAGGAATCTGTTCTCTTTATGGAAGTTTAAGGGAAGAGAGACATGTGTTCCTCAAGAAATGCTCATGCAATGTTTCCACAGAATGCTTCTGAGACGGTGAAGAACACAGTTCAAATCCTGGAAGAAATTATCCCAGCCCTGAGTGAGAGCTACCAGGAGATGTCACCAGTTGGCAGCAGCATGCGGGCCCAGAGGGCTCTGCGAGATCTGCACCAGCTGCCCAAGCAGGTGGAAACCACCACAGACCAGCTCATGGTGAGACTGTCAACTTTGTGCTTTGGTTTCAAGTATAAAACTATAATGCTGTTGTTGTTATGTTGTTATCGATCCAGTTCTTTGTGTCATGGCATTGAGGACTGGGGTGTCTGTGGACTGCCTGCCTACCCTGAGAAGGGGCCATGCTCATTGAGGATACATGGTACAAGGGTTTTCACGAGGCTGGAAAGACCTAACTGCCCTGTGATCGTGTAATTCCGGTAGGGTTCACGTTACCCATTCCCCGCCACCAATGGCTACTGGCTATAGTTGTCTACTCTTGCATGAGGTTTCGGTCAAGTGAGAAAGCCATTGGATCGTCATGTCCTGGGTCGTTGTGCCTTTTCTAAGAGGTCCACGGTCAGAAGGCAAGTCAGGCACTCCGCTCGATCCATCCTTGCATCCAGACCTCCTCAGACTGGCTGGTTCCTTCTCAGCCACAGAAGGTGTGTTGATAAAGAGCAATAGGGGTGTTAGGAAGATTAGACACCCACTCAAGGGAGAGTAGGGGTGTGTTAGTGAGGAGCATAGTGTCTACCACACATCGGTGGGTTCTGCCTCCTGCACCTTGTGGGGCCACACCTGCTCCCATCGTGTTGTTTTAATCCCTCTAGGAAACGGGGGGGGGTTGGTTTGTTGGCGCCAACAACTTGCCACTCGCCAGAGCCGTGTCAGTGGAAACAGGGACCACCACGGGCAGGTACGGTTGGCTGGATTGGGAGAAGCTGTTTGAGACGCTTAGGCATTTCTCAATATTTAAATGAGACCCATCACCAGTCCTTGATCCCCAATGTGTAGATGCAGGACTAGTCATTTTTAAACTGGACGTAATGACTGAAATGTGTATTTTATGTATATAAAAAGCTGCCTAGAAAGTATTAGAATTCTTATCCTTTTTAAAGACAGTTGTATTTTAAGATCACACTCATGTTTTATTAAGACCTTATCTTTTATGAAGGCACCTATCTTTTATGAAGACACCCATCTTTTGTGAAGCTTAGTGTCACCTCATGGAGATGCTCATCTATATATAAAAGTGGACTTGGGAGGCTTTGTGCACAAATCCTCCCTTATTACCTAACCCACACCTTTGAAACTTTGCAGGCGTCCACAGCATACATGTGGCTAGGACCTAACTTTTAAAATTCCACGGAAACTGCTTTACCTGAATTTTCCTAAATGCTTTGTTGCGTCCTCACATAGTTCTAGACGTAGGCTAACTTACGATCCCCAATTTCACAGTCTCATTAAAAAAAAACCAAAAGTGAGGTTTCCGTTCATTAGCCGTATGCACTATTTCCACAAGTAAAAAAAGAAAACATGAGGCTAGATCTATGTGGGTCGCACACTTAAAATAGTGCTCAGTATTGTGCGACAATGTGCGATAGTATCGAACAGAAGTACGACTTGAAATAAACAAATCTGGCGGATTTTCTAAAATTACAGAGACAGAAGCGTTGGCCTACAACAGCGATCGGCAAAATAAAGAAATTTAGCTTTTTACAGCAAAACTGTCTCAAAACTGAAAAACGAAGGGCGTCCTGATCTGGAGAATATTTTAAAGAATCTTTTGGTGAAAACCGCATGTCCATCGATGCAGCCATTAAAAAACATTTTGAATAGCAAAATTCGGCCACCACAAATAGATAATAGATTTAGTAACTTGGAAACATGTGTGTCACTTTTCTCTCAAGATTTATTGCTCCATTCCAGTAGAGAGTAATAAATATAGTAGGCCACTAACTTTCAGTTGATGTTAATGCACCGATCATTCCTTTCATCGAAAGGGGACCCAGCTAGTCTTTCATAAAATTTCTCTTCCTACCTCTACTATTCCTGTACTCTTGTTATGATAGCATAACTATTATGTTCCGGAACCTTTTATGCCAAAAATTTTATTAAGAAATTTAGGTTGAATTAACTCTTTAGAAAAAGATAGATGGATGTAAAATGTCCTAAGCCATTTTTGTTGTTGTATTATAATTTAGATTGCAGTGTGTGAACTTTGTCACAACCGGTGTGACTTCTGACATGGAAGTTCAGGATTTTTTCTTAAGATTTGTTCAGGCTCTGTTACTTTATCTTTTCCAACTTAGACGGTGACCTTGGGCTCCCAAGAAGGGGCGTTTGAGAATGTGCGCATGAACTACAGCGGTGACCAGGGTCAGGCCATCCGCCAGCTTATCACGGCCCACATGCTGCGCCGTGTCGCCATGTGTGTGCTGTCCTCACCCCAGGGCAAGAGGCAACACCTGGCGGTCAGCCACGAGAAGGGCAAGATGACTATTCTGCAGCTGAGTGCACTGTTGAAGCAGGCTGACTCCAGCAAGAAGAAGCTGACATTGACTGTAAGTTTGCTGCTGGTTTGGAATGTGATGTTTTTAGTACAGGTGTATTTAATCCGTTGACTGCTATTCATATGAAATCCCCTGCTCAAGAAGTTTCAAGTCACAATCTTTAATTGACGTTTGTTCGCTTGTTATAAAAGACACTGGTTAAACTATATATCAGTAGAAAGAGAAATAAAGAGATGACTGCATTCATTGACAAGACCTGCTTAGAAGCAGCCATAACGATGTAAACAAAGTGAATGTACTGAGACTGAACAAGCAATCCCAATTCAACATGTTGGCTCTGTTTCACACGATGTGTGTTTTATCAGGAGTAACACTGGCACTTAAGAGAAATGAAGAGTTGGTTTCATCCATTGACAAGATAAAGTAGAACAAGCCATAATAATGTAAATAACTTGAAAGTATTGAGACTGAACAAGCGTTCAGAATTAGCATGTTGGTTCTGACTGTCTTTCACAATGTGTTTAGGAAAGACATCACCTCACTTTGTTTTATCGGTTATATCTATATACTGATATGACTTTGTAGGTAAAACATAAGCTTTCATGGGAGGTTCTTTCCTTATTCAAAATTTTGGCTGCTGTAGGGGTTACGTTTACAGAATGCTGGGCGGTGGATTATCAAGACATATGAAATACATTTACAGCACAATCAAGGGGTTAAATGTGTTTTATAGGTGTGTTTCCGTAGGGATGTGAAAGAAATTTAGGTGCTAAATTACCAATAAAAGTGAAGGTTTTGTACTGATATCCACTTTTGATAATTGTTTTATACTCTTATCAAAGAAAAGAATCTTCTCAGATCATTTAGGAGGCTGTTTACTCGTTGATTTCACTCTTACTTAAGCCAATACCAGACTGGATGAGATTGGTCCTAGCAGAAAGATTGATAACACATTTTTCTCAAGTGGGAGTCAAACTCATGACCTCTGCTTAGAAGATGGAGAGACTATCAGGTATACAACTGATGCAGGTATCATATTTTGTGTTTTCTATTCCTTTATATATTTCTGACAATAATTAATTCACTTGCATCCCCCCCCCCCCCCCTCCAGCGCCTTTCGTCAGCACCAGTTCCCTTCACAGTTTTGTCAATCACAGGAAACCCCTGTAATGAGGACTATCTGGCTGTTTGTGGACTCAAGGTTTGTCTCCTTCTGTTGATGTGCTACAATCATTTTAAGTTTTTCTGCATATATTTCAGTAGAGTAAAATTTTGGATACTCAAAGTACAGGCTTCATCACCACCACAAAGGTCTTGTTTGGTTCTTCAAAGGTGATGTAAGTCAATTATTCCAACAATAAGGCATTCAACCCCAGGGGCGAAGCGTCTATATAATCAAATAATCACTGCTTCCCTTTCTAATTTTGAAACATTGTCGCTGTCAAATTCATCCTTAAACGTAAACCTCATAAATTAAATGTAAAAAGACGTTCGTAACCAACAACGAACAGTATGCCTAACATTCAAAACGGTTTCACGGCCACAGAAATAGACTCCTCACCCCTCTCGGGCCACTCCATAAGCAGTTGCAAGCTTTGATTTTAAGTAAGCTTAAAGTGAGGCTGGAATAGAGTTGAAGGGAACATGTGCATGGCAGTCAAAGCTGTTTCATTGCCACATATACCCTGTTCACCCCTTTAGGGCCACAGTTAAAATCAATCACAAGCCCTGATTAAGTAAGCTAACTAACACTGGTCGAGTCTACTTCACAAATGTGAGGGGAACTAGCTCTTAATAATCTCTTGACTGCTGCTTGTGCTTGTTTTTTTTTCCTCGACTTTTTACCGTCCTATAATCAGATAGTGACCTCGATTATGACACCAGCTCCTGGCCGCGAAAGGCTAACAAAAACAGCCAAATGTGAAATTTAAAAAATAATAATTGTCATGTTCTACCAAAGAGTTAGACTCACTGGTAGATCTATAACATATAGATCTAGTACTGACATCTCTGCTTCTTTGCTTTGTGTTTATGTATTCACATCTAAAGTTAAGTTTAATTTTAGTGGGAACTGATATTTAATAAGATACTTTCCCGATTATTTTGGCGGTTGAACATACAATATGAATTCCGGATTTGTTTTCATTCACAACTCAGAGTCGCCGCCTCGAGTAAGATTCTTGTGTGATATCTACAGGCCATATCTGGTCCCATTTCACTTTGATTACCCTGTCAAACAGGTCAGCCTTCGCCCCTGTTCAACCCTCAGGGTGTTGATAGCTGAGTAAATCGGCGGTAAGTGTCGTTTGTAGTGTCAGGGCTGATATTAGTACTCTAGCTCTGAAACATCAGAGGAAAGTTTTGCATTTAATTGTTTTCATGTAAAATAATTTTTGGAAAAGTTTAAAAGATCATTATTATCAGTCTATTAATTACCTCTTTTTGGGGGCTTTTTTCACTTTCCTCATGAGTACAGGACTGCCACGTGATGACCTTCACCAGTTCTGGTACAGTGGCGGACCATCTTGTGTTGCACCCGTCTTTGGCCACTGGAAACTTCATCATCAAGGTGTGTGCTGAGAACATAGGGGCTGAATTTTGCATGACTGAGCAGTCACGTGATGTTTTGTTGACTGTCTGTTGCCCCCTTCCATAAACAGCTTGCATGACTTCTCAAAGTTTCCTTTGGACTTGAACCTCTCAGTTCCCTAAGGGACTTGAAACAGTGAGCCTGTCAGACTCGTACTGCTATCATTCACAGGTTGTCAATGTGGCAAGCTATCAAGTAACCAGGAAATTACTCAGAATTGTTTGTCAGCTGTACATAACAAAGTTTTGTTGTCTCAATGTGGAGAAAAGTTGCGCTGATTGAATAGTAGAAATGCATAACCACTTAACATTACTGTTGTGTAAGATTCCCCTCAGCTGAAATATTTCTGTCTTGTCTGCATCTTGTTAAATGCTCCTTTGGTTACTTCTGTGAGATCATTTGGAAACCTTTTAACTATTACAATCTTGTTTCTTTGAAAAAAAAAAGGTTATTTAAGCTTCAGATATGCACCTAAAAACAAAACAAAAAATAGTTTCATTTTTAGGGTAATACTTGACTTCTAAATACATGCCTTTTATCTCATTTGTTGTGTGTGGTTAGAGGGCAGCACTTGTGGATCCCTGTTTGGTTTTTTTCCTCTCTATTGTTTCTTACCGTTGATCTTGATTTTTCTTGCACTAAATGGCGGTTATGGTGTCAATATGTTTCTTTGTAGTCAACTTAAGCAAGCCTAAACCAAAAACTTATTTATATGTCTCGTCTTTTTCCTCCCAGGCTGTGTGGCTTCCCGGCTCCCAGACCGAGCTAGCCATCATCACTGCTGACTTTGTCAAGGTAAGAGCAGCCGATGCATTCTCTTCATGAGGAGTAGGCTATCAGCATCAAAGAAAAAATGTTGATGATGTCTTGACTTTTCGAAAGGTCTATTTTTTAGCTGGAATGACTGATAGAGCAAATGTTTACTGTTTCTGTATTTGGAAAACAGGGACATGTAATGCTATCTGGATTTATGTCCAACAGCTCTCACTTGTTAACACCTCTAGTTTGTAGTCACCTCACAGCATCTTTCAGTTTTTGTATTTTACATCATGACTTTGATCTATATGTACTTACTGTTTGTTAAAGAAGACCTCCTCTCAGAAGTCTGTTGTAACAAACGTGTTTGTACTCTGGCGCTTTTATCTTGTAGATTTACAACCTAGCAGTGGATGCCATCAGCCCCCAGTACTACTTCCTGCTGCCCAGCGGCAAAATTCGCGATGTGACCTTCATCTTCAATGATGAGAGCCGTGCCATGGTCCTGATGGCCTCTTCAGGTTACATTTACACTCAAACGCTGGAGGACTCCAGCTCTGCCCGACACGGACCGTTCTACATCACGAATGTGCTGGAGGTCAAACATTCTGATCTCAAGGTGAGAAACGACCACATCTCAATGTTGTCTTAAAGGTGGTTATGCCGTATTTGAAATAAAAGTGCAATTTACTGTCAAAGGTGAATACTGAAAAGGCAAGAAAGAAAAGAGGGATGTTAAGAAACTTTCAATGTCTGCTACCTTACAGAAAGATAATGCTGACAGGTGAACCACTTTTTGAGCAACAGGGTTTGATAATGATGGAGATGGGCAGTGGAATAAAACCTTACAAAAAGTTACCCCGACCATGCTCAAGCTTTAGTAGAGTTTTTCAGAACTTGTTTTTTCTTTGTGGCTTTCATGAGAGATGCAAAACCACACGCTTTTTAAATGAAAGAATTGTAAGAAAATTATCTTTTTATGTGTGCAGTTAGATTTGAGATATGTATCTTTCTAAAAGACACAGATTTGGGCCTTGACTAGGATTAGGTTTGTTGTGAATCCATAAGCCTAATCACAATGCTACTGATGCCAACTATCAGTATGTACATGGTTGTTGTTTTGTCTGCAGGATGTGAATGGGCAAGTGGCAGGCGGGGGTGTGTCGGTGTACTACTCCCATGCACTACAGCTGCTTTTCTTCAGTTACACACAGGGTAAGGAGGACAGTTGTAATAGTTGTTACTATGTGTTGTTGGTGTCTTTTTTGTTGTTGTCGTTGGACACACAGATAGTGCAGTAAATGTATGGCTAGGATATTGTGAATATGACACCAGTTTTAATCCCCAGTAGGGTGTTCTTGGGGAGTTTTCAAGGCTCTTCATACTCTTGGCTTGGTCTTGTTATGTTATAGGAACGGAAGCATTTTATTGTTTCTTAACACTCATAATATTGATCTTTCAGAATTTTGTTTTCTTCTGAACCATGTTAAGGGTGACTTTATTCTCATTCTTCTGGTTTATCTCTTAATTGAACTTTGTTAGCAGTTTCTCAGAAATTTTGCTGATTTGGAAATTGAATAAAACATGATTATTTTGAAGTGTATTATAAAGGGTTTTTTCTGTTCAGAAAAAGAGACAAAATTTATTTTGAAATGTTTTTCTTGTTCACAGGTAAGAGCTTTGCTGCCCCTGTGGCAAAGGATTTCTCAACTGTGACCAACCTGTTTCCTATCTCTTTCAAAAGGTAAGTTGTGAAGAGCTGTCTGAAAAATATCTTTGAGCATGATCAGAAGATGGCGAGTATGGCCCACGAAGATGAAATGAAATACTGAAGTGAAAAATAAAGAAAGAAAAGATAATTTTATATATAAAGGAAACTTTGTTTTTTGGTGTCTGTCTTTTTTAGTGGTATTGAAAATGGGTGCTGAAAAATTTCTTTAAAAATCATGCCATATGAAGAAACTTACTAAATTCTTTTATTCCTTCCCTCTCTGTTGACTTTTCGTCTTCATGTGTGTTATCTTTCTCTTCCTCAACAGCAGCAACGGCAGCAGCAAGGGGGGCAGCAGTCAGCCCCTTGTGTCATGGTCGGAGGTGCCGGGTCACACAGGCCTGCTGTACTGCATGGCCCAGGCCACCAACAACCCCATTGTGCTCATGGTCAAGCCACACACCATCATGCTGCAGGAGATTAAAGTGCAGCCTGCCAAGGCAAAGGTGAAAGGCAGAGAGGGTTGTTGGTTTTTTTATAGGGGGGGGGGTAGAAATGGGGTTGACAAACAGCATGTGCTGGAATTGATTCATGGAATATTTGCATCAATTTTCATTAAAGAATAGAACTTCAGTTTTTAAACTAATGTTGCAGAAAGAAGAAAAAAAGAAATCCATTGTTTTTTAATATAATGTTTCTTTTCTTGAATGCAATGTTCATTTTTTTCACTGCTTCTTTCCTTAGTCTCAAGAATTTTTATAGTCTGATTTATTTTTCAACTGTTTGCCATGTTGTTTCTATTTCAAAAGACCCAAAGTTTGAAGGATTGAGTTTCTTTCAGTGCCTTTCAAAACTGTAGTACTGACTTCAAAATTGGTATTTACAGTTGTATTGTTATTTACCTCATATTATCTAGCACGCTAGAGCACTAGTATTTGATTATGTTTCTAATGTTTTGGCAACATTTTTTCCGCTCTAGATCCAGGATGTGGTTGCCATCCGCCATCCGGCTTCAAATTCTGACCAGGTTTGTGGTTTTTACCTCTCACACCTCATAAGTTTGCTGTGGTTGCTCTGTGATACAATAGCTACTTGAACTATTCTGTCTGATGTTCACATTTGATCGCTTTTAAGGACAAGCGGGCTAACCCAGATTTTGGGGGTTTCCAGAAATCTTGACCTGCACCAAAAGTAGGCATTGCCCTTCCTATAGGAGAAGTTTGGTTTCAGTGGTGTATATATTTGTTTGGTTATAGAGAAAATTCTTCTTGTCTTTTAAAGAAAATGAACAAGGGCAAAAACTTTACCTTTAATTTTCTAGCATTTTTCCGGATAACCCCCATGTGCTTTGAAGCGAACATTTGTTGTTTTGGTCTTGTTATGGTTTAAAATCTGTAGACCGCATTTGGTTAATTAGAAATTTGTTATGTTCAGAGAGATGTGTATTCATTGCATGCTGATAAGTGTATTGGCCACATACTTTCAAACCTTTTATAGATTCGGCTAATTTGGTGGTATGAGTTAATGTTAGTTATATCTAGGAGAACCTTGCCTTCTTTCCAACCACCTAGCAAAACTTACAAAAATCTTTACCCAAATATACACATGTGATATTTGCTTCAGTGTACTTTGTCTGCCTTCTTTCTTCCTTCTTTACTCTTCCCTCTGAGCTTAGTGCTCTGCCTTTGATATGGCTGGTTTGTGTCAAGTTGAGCTCCTGAAGAAATTTCTGTGCACTCTTACATTATAATTGTCTTTTTACCTTATGGGTCCAGCATCGCACCACCATGATCTTGTTGTGTGAAGATGGAAGCCTGAGAATTTACATGGCAAACGTCGAGTCCACTAACTTCTGGATGTCGCCGTACCTGCAGCCCCAGAGCCCCATTTCAGTGCTGAAGCCTATCAAGAAGAAGAGGATTGTCAAATCTGGTACGTTTGTCTTTAACCTAAAATTGACAGATATTTACAAAACTGGGTAGTAGTGAAGAATATATGTTCTCAGGGGAGCTTGCCCCTGCTGTTTTCAGTACCAGTACCTAAGTCCAACATGTGAATTGTTGAATTTGAATACTCTGTGCAAAATTGATATTGGTGTTACTTCTGTGTGCTATTAATCATTTTGAAGGGGAAAAGAGAAACTGTTTACATTGGTATATTGTTATGATTTTAAGACTATTTAGATTCTTGTTGTTGATTTTAGAATAAAGAAACTGCCCCTGCAGCCATTCGAAATTAAATGTGAAAACATCGAGCAAGTGTCTGACTATAAGTATTTGGGTGTTACAATAGACAACAAACTCAACTGGCATGTCCACACTTCTCTCCTGCATAAAAAAGTGAACAAAAGACTATTTTTTCTAAGGAAGCTAAAGTATTTTAAAGTTGATAAAACATTGATGTCCATGCTCTACCATTCAACCATAGAAAGTATGATCAATTTTTGTATAACAGCATGGGCCGGGAACACAAGACAACAAAAAGAAAAATTAAATCGACTAATACGGAAAACATGTAAAATTTCAACATCTACATTCCCCTACTTGGATGAATTGTACATAACAGCTTGCTCAAAACAAAAATTAATTCCATCTTTTTAGACAACAAACATGCCTTGTTCCCTCAAATAAAAACATCAGTCAGAAGTAAAAGACTTAGGCTTCTGATCTGTAATAAAGAAAGATACAGAAAGTCATTTTGACAATCATCTATCAAAATGCTTCCATCTTAACCATCTTGTATAAGTATACTTTAGACCTTTAAGCATACATCAAAATAACATTGAGTGTGTATCTAGCTTACGATTATTATTGTTTATATTGCTGCTCATTTATATTATGCATGTGATTGTAAGCCTACGTGTGTGTGCGCGTGTGTGCGCGTGTGTGTGTTTGTATGTGTGTGTGTGTGTGTACACGTGGTGAAACACCAAACCAATGTGCCGGGATCTAGACAATAAAGATGTATCTTATCTTATCTTATCTTATTATTCTGCAGCATTTCATGAGCTGTTTGATTTTTATTTTCTAAAGATTTGAGAACCTGGCATTTTGCAGTTTATTATTAGTAGAACTGTAAATGAGAGTGCTGATTGAAGTTTTTTAATTTGATATTTAAAATTAGTTATCTCATTATTAAGACCTGTCTCTTTGAAATGTACACTTTATCAATTACAGTTTGACGATTTCAGTTTGATAATGATAGTGGTGCATCAGAACTAAACTTATCCCTAGATGATCTATGAATAATTGTTTCCTTTTTAGTATATGCAGATAGCTCTTCGCTCCGCTTCTTTGCTCATGATGTGATGTGCTTGTGTTTTTACTCATATTTGAAAAAAGTCACTGTTCAATTTATGATGTATTTCTGGCACCATCGTTCAAATGGTACATGTTCATTGTTTCTCAGTTTTTCTGTGATAGGTAGTAATCTTTTGTATGGTGTCTTTATATCAGGTCGACCCACGAGCTCCGTGACTTTCCCTGTGGATTTCTTTGAACACTGCCAACACTCAAACGATGTGGAGGTGAGCTTGTAAATTTTAAAAAATGCTTGATATTATTCTATGTACTGTCTGTCTCCATACTGTTTCAGCTGAATTGCAATGACAGTAGTTGTGGTTATGTGAAAATAAAAATGAATAGAAATGATATGCGTCTAATTGGTAGTAAAGGTATTCATACCTGATCATTGTGTCATTTATGATATGAAGGTCATTGTGATTATTGTTACATTGTATTGGACTGATTTGATTCTTAGTAACATTTTTCATTTGAATGGTTCATTGCTATTCTGCAGTTCTTGTTGTATTTTTCTCTAAAAGGGTTTGACGACTTTGACTGGTACAGGCAGTTAATAATTTAATACAGTTAGATTTTATATCATATGTTGTTTTAACCCTTAGAGGACTGACTTCTTTCCCCTTATATTTTCCCTCTGTGCTGAATTTATTTAGGAAAAACGCCAGGTTTGCACATACACTTTTTTTTGCCAATAACCTTTTTATTTGTCAAATTTTCTAATGAAGGTAAGAATAAAAGTTTTAGAATATTGAAAGTTCTTTATGAATATGTGAAGCAAAAAGTATTTTGTGAAGTTATTGTTGTAGTAGTGGTGTTGGAAATGACTGAATAAAAACTGCCGGTTCATTAAATCTCTAAATCTAGACCAGAGTCTAGACGCTTCGTAGGCCTATGTTATATTCCACAAAGTGTTAGCTCTAGCATCAAAACCCTCGAAATCATCTTCCGATTCAAGGAAAATACGTGGAACATCTTCATCTGAATCTGATGTGACACTATTTTCATGTTTATCGCGATTTTCCGACTTCACTATCACTTGACTTTAACGTGAAACAAAAAACTCCTCACGCCTCGATCGAAACCCGTGACAAAAAAAATGGCGGGTGAAATCAATTCTGCGTAGCCTACTAGCCAGCAGTATAAAAATTAGTACTTTGTTCTTTTTGTATATCGCGTTATACTATGCCAATGTCTATCACCACCGCCGGTCGCGATCAGCACTTTACGGAAATTCGGGCCGGCGCGATCAGCCATCTAAGGGTTAATGCTTTTGTGGATTTGTTCTTTCTTCAGTATGGTGGCAATGACATTCTGCAAGTGTACAACATGCAGCAAGTGAAGAGCAGACTCAACACCAGTGGCCTCTACATTGCTAGTACCAAGGTAAATACTGGAATACATTCTACAAACTGGCTGCTAGGGATATGTAATTTTTCTATTGTTTTTAGTAGAAAGAACAATGTACTCCTGTGCCTTACTATTTATTGATTTTTTGATTGAACACATGGTTCATAAGATTACCTAATTTTCAATAACTGAAAATGAGAGGGTACTGAAGGTTCAGATGGGAAAGTACCTGCAAACGTTTTCTCTGCCGATTAAGTGTATGTGGTTGTCCACAAGCATGATCATTTGTTATTCATAAGTATATTAATTTCCCATTTTGCCATCACAGATGATTGGTCTCTGCTGAATTTTTTTCATTTGTTATTTTGGCTGCATGAATGATTTCTCTCCTGAATATCTTAATTTGTCCCATTTTATCCCTGCCAGCCCACTGGATTCACTGTGGAAGTGACCAACACAAACAGCACCACAGTGATGGTGGGTCTGCGGGTGTTGGTGGGCTCACAGAGTTCAGAGAGAGCCCCTGCCTACGTGGAGGTGTTTGGCAGAAGTACTCACGTTCAGGTAAGATTTTTCTGTTGTCTTCACTTTCCTTGCCAGAGTTGGGCACAAGTCATCTCAGACGTGTAAGCCACTTGTAAGTGGCATCAGTTTTTGTTTTTGCAGTCATGCAGAATGCCCAGAATATTAAAAAAAAACTAATTTCTGCAAGAGCTGTCAAATCTTTTCGTTCGAAAAAAAAGTGCAGAAAAGGCTCAACTGTTATTTAAAAAGTTTTCAAGCTTCCTCTGGTAATATTGGTATCACCAAATGGTTTGAAAACTTTTTCTGGTTATTTGTTTCACGTTTTACACAAGTTTCATTTTTTTCACCGTTAATATATCTAAAAGGGTTAATTTGCATGTTATATATTCCGAATTTTGAGTGGGTTTCAGATCACCATGAAAATGATAGAAAATAAAAGACACCTGGACCCATATGTGGCTTGAATGCCCTGCCTGGAAACACTCTTAGATGACGAATATTCCCAATTCTTTATGTCCACTTTCAATATTGGCAGGTATAATTCGTGTAGGTATTCTATATTTGTGAAGTGTGCTGACAAAATGAGTTACTTCTCGAAATCCACAAATGGAGATATTGGCCAAAAATCAACTCTAGGGTCTAATTTGAAGATTTTCTATTGATGCCAGATTCCTTAAGTAGAACATGCCCTTTACTATTTCATACTTATAAATTTTAAAAACTTCACCCATAAAAAGCATGATGTATCAATTTCCATAGGGCTTGTATTCAAGAAGTAACTCATTTTGTCAGCATGCTTCACATTTAATCATTTTATTTGTGCTTATTGTAAATATGCCATGATAATAGTCTTAGTCATTTATCAAAGTCTTGAGTAAACCGAGAAAAAAAATGGCATAAATTTATGTCTTTTCCTGAGCCCCATTTATATGGTTATGCTGCCTTTTGTCTTGGTTTTACAAAAAAAATTTTTAGTTGTTGATTTACAGAAAAGTTCAAAAGCAAATATTGTATTATTTCTTCAGTTGAATTCAAGACCAAGATGGTTTGACATCCCTTTCACCCGCGAGGAGTCACTTACAGCAGACAAGAAGTTGAATGTCTTTTGTAAGTATTGACAGGGAATGTTTGTAGGACTATTGCAGTCTTTCAACTTGTCTCAGGGCATAGCTATTATGAAGTTTTCTGTTTTGTTTTTGACTACAATTTTGTGTGTATAAGCTTTCATTGTAATTGATTTTGGTTGTGCATTTTTAACATTGTTGGTCCTGGATTTTTGTGTTGTAAGTTTAGTAATTAGTACTTGCAGTTTTCTTCATGGGTTTTATTTAAGTTAAAAAAAACCCAACAAAATAATAGTTTTCTGTAAGCATTTAGAAGAAGTTTGAGAACATCTCCTGATTAGAGATTAAAGACAAATCCTGTAATGAAACTGATATTAACATGAAAAATAGTTAAATAGCAAAAGCAAAAAAATGAAAACAGGAAGCCAAACCAACAGGCAAGATATTGGTGCTGAGACTTGAGAAGTTCAGGAAAAATAGTCATCATTTACAGATAGAAAATTAACCCCAAATACTGATATTGAACATTCGAAATGGGATGAGGGATGTAAATCAGAAGTGGTTCGCTGTCCCACCAATAGCTCTTGTACATGCTTACTGTGTCTTCCATCCACCTCCATTTTGTTTGGTTCTGTCAATGAAGGGTCTGGTGGAACAATGAAACCCATCAGTGTGCAGCCAGTCGTTGAAATAGCTTAGTTGTGTCTATGAGGGTATTTAGCCCATGTTAGACAAGAACAAAAAACAAACAGATGTTCATGAGATCTGTGGATATTTCAGTTGGCTGTAGTGCGGACCCCAACTCCATCACTATGGTGGACTCTGTGAAGATCTACACCAAGACAAAGGAAGTGTTTGGCTGGCCGGAGGAACAGGAGGACTTTCCTGAGCCTTCTGTGGCCTCCTCCACCACCTCCAAGCTCACCAGTTCCTCCAACGGGGCCAGCAACGCTGAGGCTGAGAGTACCCCGGCTGCTCCACTCCCCATGACTGTTGCTGACAAGTGAGTTGCAGAAATAGAAAAAAGTACCCCAAGCTGGCTGGGGGGGGGGTGGCGTGGCTGGGGGGTTAATAGGGAAATATATAAATGGTCCCACTGACAGAGGCCCAACTCCTCTGGTTGATTGCCATGAGCCATTTTTGTGGCTTTAGGATGGCACATTTTTTGCTCCTGACTTACTGTTCAGATCTGTGAACCGAAGTGTTTTTGAAAGTTAATTTCCTCTCCACTCCCGTTTCATGATGGATGGGTGGTTGGTGGGTGCCCTGGTGTGGTTTACTCCTTCTTTCCTATTAAACATCTGTCAACCTCCCGGAGCGGTACTACTGACTGAAGTGTCTTTAGGCCACTCCAAAGGGGGGACATTTACATGTTCTTATGCACAGTAGAATTGTAAAGGGGCTGATTCATCAGTGTCATGCTCATAACTGTGTCTGAACTGCAACAGGGAAGGGCTGCTTTTTCTTTCCTATTCCTTACTATCATCATTTGTCCTCTACTTCTTTTGTATTTTTGTCACACTCTTGTGACCTGCTATTTCCGGGGTGCCTTGATAGTCGAAGCAGACTTTGTGCTGTTGAAGTTGGAGGATGAGCAGAGTAAGTCTGATTCCCTGTAAGAATTTCTCTGTTGACATCCATCCCTTGGTGCTCATATGATCTTATGCAGTTGCGAGCGCCGTAACACCTCTACTAGAACTAAAACAAAACATATGTCCTCCTTTTCTCTCCTACTTTTTTTGGGGTGTTTTTTACTCTCTTGTAACCCCCCTAATCTTCTGCACCTTATTGACCTTATTGTGATACAAGTGCTGTAAAACTTTCCCTAAAACTAAACTGAAACATTTCATAATGCGAAACAAGTTTCTCTTTCTATTGTATGGTGTTCCACTTTGTCTCTGAACAGAATATGTTTTCGTCGTTTTGGAAAGTCTCTGCAATGCTGTTTCCATGTCTCTGCCATTTGTTAGAAGAAGGACACATTGGTAAATACTATTCTATTAGGGATAGTGGAAAGTGAAAACTTTGTTGTATTATCTTTCCGGTGTCTAATGAAACAAGGTGCACAACACCAATTTAGTCAGAAAAGTAACCAAAAAGACTTGATACGAAGCTTCTTTTGTGCTGTATTGTCAGCACTTTATCCTTTTACCAATGTACCTATTTGCCTATGTTTGTCCTTCTTCAATAAGATGGTTTATCTCCCTTCTTAAGCTCTGGGCAATATTCTTTCCCTCCCCTGTAGTGCAAATATTGTGCTTTCCAGTTTGCTGAGCAGTGCTCTTGAGGTTTTGGATGGTGCCTTCACTTTGGCGTCTCCAACTGATGAGAAAGATGGCCGCAGAGAAAAGACGCTGGCTCTGGCAACATCACTGCTCACCCTGACCACCCCAGATTTGGTTGAGATTCACACCAAGTCCCTGCTGGCTTCTCTCTTCTCCAACAAGCTGTCTTATCACAACCACAAGGTACGTGGCAATCTCTTGGGTAAGAGCGGGGAGACAGATGTGTGACAGGTCTGGAGAGACAAAGGCAGTCAGATGACCACAGGGCACTTCAGTCTTTGCTTATTGAAATGGTTTCTGTGAGGCTGATAGCAGGATGTGAGTTCATCTTTTCTTAAAACTCAGTAAGGCTTTTTAAATGGCTGGGCCTCCGAATTTAACATCAGTGTCTGTCAGGCTTGGCCAATTGAGTGAGGAGCAATTGAAACTCCTCGAAGAACTTCCAATTCAAGTACCATTTTATGAGCTTGAACCAAGGTCATTGGCATCATAGTCCTGTGTGATGCCAGCTAAACTAACATTGAGCCCACTACTAGGTGCATAGCGAACTCATGGGTAGGAGAGGGGAGAATAATTGCTGGTCGTTTTTGAGAGACACAAGTGACAGAATTAATCAGATGATAGCACGATAAATACTTTTTTTGGTTATTATTTTATGTACTCAAAACTCAAAATTAGAGAGGGGCAAATTATTCTTTGTTTTGATACAAAGTATTTGTCAAATTAATGCAATAGGGCCAGCATTTGTACTTACTGGTCAATGGTCTACATCCTGTGATAGTGGCTTGTATCTAATATGTATTCTATCTCGTTATTTTGTCTCATTTAGATGCTGAAAATGTCTCTTTGCTGCTATGTCTTTTACTATCTTTTGTTTTGAGATAGGTCTTATTTCCCCGTCGCCACCCCCAGTCAAGTTAAGTAACATTTAGTCACAGGTTAGCAACAGAATATGGCTGTAAAAAGTCATCAAAGGGAATTAATTGGAAAACAAAGAACATTGCATTCTTGTTTTCATCCGTTCCTGATGTCTGTCAAAGTTTTATTTGCTGAAGTCTTAATTAGAAAAGAACAGTGCTAAGTCTATTGATTTATTTAATTTACTTTCATAGTTTTATTTGTGCACAGTTTAGAATTTTAGAGTCTTAAAAACAGAATGTAATAGCTTGAGTGTAACAATGGATATTTCTCTCTGAGCAGGATCAAGCCCAGCTGAAGCACGTCTTGTCGTGCCTTGCGGCGCCAGACATCACAGGGTTGGACGTGGAGGCGTTCCAACGCATGCTGGTCACTGTGCGCTCTGTCTCTGTGTCCAGGCCCAACAACCTGGTCAGGTTTGCCGAGAACCAAGGTGCCTCACAGGGTGAGCTTTGTCTTTACACTCTTTTTTTTTTTTTTAAACTGTGGTGGGTTATAGATAGGCGGCCACTAAAATGAGAACCTTTTTCAACAGTGTTACCAAAGACTCAATGTTTATCAAATTCATTTCCCTCTGTCTGTTGTGAAATGGTTATGCTCCTCTTTGGGCGCAAAACTTGCAAAGGGAACATTTTGTAATCAGTCATTAAGAAATGAGATATACTTTATCAGCCTTTTCTTGAGAAAAGTTAAGTGTGCTTTTTCCACCTTCTGTGACAGAAAATATACATGAAAAGCATAATATCAATACAATCCCTCCAATAAACATATATGAACACTCTATGCTCACACACAAACAGACACAGACACACATACATACTCTGACTTAAACTCGCATACGCACACGCACAGACATTTCTAAAACAATACGAGGGGGGTTCAATAAGTCTTTGGTCTGGGTATGAATCCTGCCTTTAAACTATTTAGACCAAAGATTTCTTGAACCCCCTTCGTATGTTTTTTTTGGGTTTTTTGTTGGTATTCTGTCTTTAACCATTGTTTGGATGAAAAGGTATTTTGTAGTGGTTTTAGAAGTATGCAGTTAGTTTTATTGTGAGCGAACACCCAAATCAGTTTTTGGGATCAGTTTTTGAGACTTAGTTCTATAATATTTTGCTCAAGACATGTCTGTGTAAGAGATATTGACCTTTTATATGAAACTGTTCACCTATCCAAGGCAAATTTTGAAGCCATCAACTAAATGTTTTTAAAAATACAATGAAAAGGTGTTCTGTTACCCTTAGGTTATGAAGTGAAATATGTTGCTTGATCAACAGTGGTGTTAGCATACCTAAATCTGTTGTAGTGTTCTCTGCTCTGTGTAAAATTGCTGACTTCACATATGCTTATCGTGACCCTCAGCCCTGGAGGTGACGGACCTGGAGGAGGAAGCGGCCTCAGAGAGCGATGAGAAAGTCTGTGTCCCTGGCCTTTATGCCCTAAATGAGACCGAGAAGACACATTTCACAGCCAGGCTCGTCGATGCCTTCTGGAGGCTACATGCCTCAAAACCTGCCAACTCCATGCTGGCTCCTGTCTGCTTGCCAGGTTGGAAGCTCCTTTTTTTACATATATGCAATTACTGATACTGTCAATTCATTTATTTATGTTAAAAGTGGTATAGGGCACCTTTAACTTGCCAAATTTTTTGTGGTTTGAGTGTTGGGAGAAAGTTGTCATCAAGTATTGGGAGATGAAGAAATGTGGAAATTTGTAAGTTGTAACTAGTTCATATATTTAATTTTTTAAAAATTGTTCAAGGAATTCCTGTATATTATTAGTTTTTTCTCTCAGATGTTGTGGTTACTTTAGAACAGAATGTTGGTGCCTCGTGGTTTAAAGGAAAGTCTTGGTCTTGCCATATTTCTACCCCTCAGGCTACATCTCTCACCCAGCTAGTTTTTACATGTTTTAACTTTCCTTGTTGGACTGCAGAGGTTGCCCTGGCATTATAAAAGTAATTCGTGTCAGTCTCCTTATAAACCGCCCAGTGGCAGCTGTTTTCTGACTTTTGTTATAGTCGACTATTTATATTGAAAATTAAAATGATTGTTACAAGTTTTCAATTCTACATAGCTTTGTTGTGAAGGTATAGGAAATCTTAGAAATGTAAACATTTAGAGACAAATGCTGAGCAAAAGTATTATTCCTTTAGTTTATGGCCTTTTTTTAAATACAAAATTAAAATTCGATACCTCAAAAGTATGGAAGATTTTTTTAAACTGTTATGTACATGGGGGCTTGATGCCCTCAGTGATACAAGTATATGTGGGTATGTTCAGTGTGTCCCCTTACCCTTCCCCTTTACATACTCACAAAAAAAGATTTGAGAGCAAATCGCTTTTGTGCCGTTGCGATTTGCGTAGTCTTCAATGAGGCGAAAACATATGATGAGACCTCTTGTTTTATCTTGCCTGTGTACAGGTCTGTCCAGCATTGATGTGACGGTCAGCGCCCTGGTGGAGGTGATCCATGCCTTCACCCTGTGTGACCCTGAGTGTGTCCAGCTGGCCACCAAACACTATATGCGCATGTTGCTCTGCACGGTGAGTCTTGTTTTTTTCCTCTTTTTTTTTTTTGACGCAGTGGGTATAAGACATACATAGGTATTTTCAAAGGTAGCGCGTTCTGTTCAGGTTGACAAGTAAAGAGGAAAGAAGTCAGAGATGACACAATGAAAGTAAACATCAGAATATACATGTGAGATTAGATATTCACATGTTTTATTCCTCAGCAAACTGGGTTGCACTTGCCTCCTATGAATGTGTATTGGGCTTATTTGTTGGTGACATTGTTTCTAGTAATTTAAAGTAGGTCTTTCTGAAGATATTAATGTACTAGTTGAAGGTAGTCATTTCTGAAACATTAGTTTGCTTGTGTTCCATTGTTTAAGGGTGCCGATTGGTTTACTTTTTAATGACATTCCCTTTCCTCTCAGTTTCTTGTCTTCTAAAAGTGCTTTGAGTTTTGTAGCTAATGAAAGGTATGTCGACTGTGCCCAACTTATCAGAATTTCGTAAACCTTCATGGAATGTATTTTTCTTCAGGATCCTGTGGTGAGCTTTGCCTGTCGTCAGGCTTTGATCCGTGTGCTGAGACCCCGACACAAGAGGAGGCGTGTGTTCATTCCTTCGCCTCCACACCTCACACCTCAAGGTAAGTTATTGTCCTCTGCTTATACTCTTATTGCAGTGATAAGTTGCCAAAATATGTTTTGTTACTCCATGATTTATCCGAGAAAATTCTGAATGATTCATTCGAGAAAATTCTGTTAAATATCATGTTAATTTTGTTTAAAAAATAAATAATTATTCACTTCTGTTGAGCATATCACAAAACCATTCTTCAAAGTTTTCATGGTATTATAGTCTGATGTGAAATTTGACAATGACCCCATGATACCAAATTGTTCTTTGACATATTTTTTTTCAAACATTCACTTAAGAATACTCGTCGAACAAATCTTCCCAAAAAGTGATGTACTGTATCTGATTGAAAGTCATCTGTTTGCCTTTTGAGGGGAAAATCCATTATAAGGCACTGCTACAGATATGACAGAGATTCTTTGTTTAAGACATTACTTGACACAATTCATTGTAAATGGACTGTTTGTTCTGACATGGGACAGTTTGTTCTAACGTGCAGATTTGTTCCTTCTTGACATTGTTTATTTATTCTGACATGTCACAGTGGGTTCTGACATGTCGCTGTTTATTTGTTCTGACACCACACAATGACTCTCCAGGCCCAGAGGAGATAGAGGATGAAGACAGCAGCAAGGCAGAGAAGCCAAGCACGCCTCCTGCTGCCATCTACCTGCCCCCTCACCAGGAGGAGGAAGCTGAGGTCAGCATGCCTGTCTTAGAGCCAGACCAGGAGCCTGAGCCGGACGACATCTACGAAGTTGTGGTCAGTGAAGTGATTTAATTTTGTTAATCTTACTTTAAATTACTTACTATTGTTTTATCTAGATTATCCACTGACATGTCGTCAAAGAGTTAAGGGCTAGTTTTGTGACAGACTGATTATGTGGTGATAGTTTCAGGGACTGGTTTTCGACAGTGTGATGAATTCGCACTGTGATGGTAGTTTAAAAGACTGGCAGAGTTGATGACTGTTGTTGTGACAGACAGGCAGTATAAGTGGTCAGTAGTGTTACAGACTGGCAGGCAGTGTGGCAGACAGGTAGCACTGTTGTAGTGTAACAGATAAGTAAAATTGGAGACTAGTAGTGTAATGGTGTGTTGCGAGCGCTGTAAAACCTCTACTAAAACAAACAAAAAAGTGTAATGGTGTGTGTTTGACTAGTAGTGAAGCTGATGGGCAGTGTGGTCAGTTGTCTTGTAGAGCAGTTGTGTGATGGTAGTGCAATGGAACACAGTGTTTTACACTTGCAAAGTGATAGAGTATCAGTATGTTCAAGTGTTAATGAACTTTTTTGCCCAAAGCAATCAAATTTTTAGTCTCTAAACTCACAAAATGGAGTGAATGTCGAGACTGTAGGCTGTTTTAATCTTCGAGTCTACTCTTAAAGTTGATGTAAGATTCCCAGCTACTGTTTTGCTAGTAATTTAGATCCAAATAGGTTTACAAATATTCACGAGCAAACTTAAGTTTCATGATCACTTCAAGTACTTTATTTGTAACCTCTTCTTGCTGTCTGTTGTAGGACAACAACATGATCATGGAGGAGGGCGGAGGTCAGGGCAATGGCATCCCAGGACTGGAGGACCTATGGGGGATGGATGCAAACTTCCCACCCATGGTTGAGATCCCTCCGGATGCTGACGATGAGACTATGGTGGAGCTGGCTATAGCTCTTAGCCTGCAAGAACAGGTAATACATGTATTTTGATGTAGAAGCTCAGCACAGGAAATTTGTTTTGGTTAAGGCAACATGGTTTTGGGAGAGATGATGACTAATTATGATAGTTTACTTTTACACTGGGTATTTTCACTGTGAGAGTAATTCTTTTACTCGCCCAGAATCAAATTGACATTTAACTTTGGGGGCTTGCCCATACTTTAAAATTCTCGTGTATTTTTCACAAATTTTTCCTTTTCATAACGATTTGATATACCTCTTCTCCAAATCAGCCAGCTTCTGGTCTTTATTGTACCTATTTGTCTAATATGAGTTTGAATTACTCTCAGGGTGGTGGCCAAGTGGCTCAGCTTCCAAGCGGCCTGGCAGGCCAATTGGCCAACAATTTGGGCATCAACCTGGGCCAGGCGGCGGGCAACTTGGGACTTCAAGGCTTAGCCATTGCACCCACAGCCCAGGAGGAGGAGGAGCTGGAGCTGGAGGAACAGCCTCTGTCCGACACAACCGCCTCGGCCCCAGCTAGCGACGACGAACTGGGCAGCACAGCCGCCACAGACGGGTCCACTCTAAGGACGTCTCCAGCTGAACAAGGCGGCGGCAGTGGGGCGGGCTCAGAGAGCGGGGGCAGTGCTGTGGATTCTATTTCTGGTGAGATTGTGTTTGGTTTCTTTTTTTGTGTCAACTGATAGGTATCACGGATGTATAGTCTTGAGATAAAGCACTTTCTGTCTTGCCCCAAAGTACTTTGTTTGGTTCTGGATTTGTGCAGGCATAGCAGTGGAGTAATGAATAGACACCAAAATTCATCAGGAGGCTCAGTCCAGCTTATGGTAATGCACTTAATTGCTCACGTTTCCACATAGTGATTGACCGCAGGGGCATCTTAGATGTCTTGACCACTGGCTCACTCCACCCCTATCTGTTCTTTGATTCTTTCAGTATGTCACTTACTTCAGACGTATACCCATTCTTAGATATAGCCTTGTGGGCATTCGAGGACACGAGCAGGTGGATCTCCTGGCGAAGGAATCCCTGTCCCTTCTTTTGGGATCAACGACAAACGCTCTCCCACAGACTGACTTAAAAAAATAAAATAAAAAACTACACCTCCAGTCTTCACAACATCATGCCCAAACTGGGTCCATGAAAACCTTCAGGTCTCTCCAGAAGAAACAAAGTCATTTTAACTATTAAGTATTGGACACACCTGCCTGACACATAAATACCTCTTTCATGGAGATGAAAAACCGTTCTGTATCGGATGCGACACAGATTTTACCACTAGATACGTCTTAACAATGTCCAGGCTTTAGAAAGACCCGAAGGAAGTAGTTTAAATGCAAAAAACTGCAAGATCTGTTCTCTGTCATTGGTTCCTACAGAATTCTCGATTTTATGAATGCCATTGGCCTTTTCAATTAATTGTAGATACCGTTATTTTAAGAATTATTTAAAGTGTTATTTTTAAACCGAAATTTTACCTCAATTTAAAAACATTTTAATGGAATTATTTATCTAAACCAAGCCGTGCTGTGAATTGTAGTGAATGTGCAACCAACTAGTATTCCTTCCGCATGCTCACATAGCCTTATGCAGTTGCTTGCGCCGTAAAACTCTATTAAATTTTTTTTTTTTTTTAAATGTTAGGTATTGTCCTCTTATCTCTGTCTGTTCCTGCCTCTCTTTCTCCGTAATTGTAATGTGCCCTGGAAAACTGTCTAGGCAAGCCCTTGTGACTGTGAAATGTGCCCTTCTTGGAGCTCATAAGCTTGCCTAGTTCTGTATTTTAGTCTACTTTGGAGATGTCTAGAGTATAGCACTCAAACATTAATTCTCAAATTTACATGTGTAATTTTTACTAATTTTGTCATCTTTTTAATTTTTTCCTTCTTTGAACTTTTTCTAACCCTCTGGCTAAGTCTTCCTCCTTTGAACCTGCCTGTTTGTAGAGTTGTCAATAACTCAAACAATAAAGGAACCAATTTGACCTGTTTCCAGCAGCTAGCGGTCGCAGCAGCTCCTACGGCTACCACACTAACGAGAGTCTCCCACCTGGTCCGCGGAGTGAAGCCAGCAGCTATGGCACTTCGGCTGGATACCTTGCCATGGCTAATGATACCTACGAGCAGGACACAGATACTTCACACAGGTGAGCGCAGCAACAAAATGAAATCTTTTTTGTTCGGTTATCTCATTCAGTGCTACTGACAAGAATTCTCGCACAGCTGGTTTCTGCCTGTGTGCATTTGATCAGAATTCTTTCAAAACCCCCATCGTCTCCCTATGAAGCTAAAAGTTCAAATAAATGATAGTTCTGCCTTTGTTTTTCGTCACATGAGTAAAGGGAAAATACTCTAAATATGCTTACGATCTTTTATAGTGTCATTTTGACAAATAGCATGGAATTTGGCTTTTTGGTGTGTGTTTCTTAGGCCTAGTATTCTTAAAGTTTAGCATTTTGCAATGTCCTCCAGTAGCGAAAAATGAAAGATCGGAATCCCGAAATGATTTTCCAATCTGGAAACTTTATAGTTGTTGGATTTTTATCATAAATGTTTTCAAATATCCTGTTCATCAAATGATAGTGTTGGCAGTGACATTGATTTTGATGACAATATGAGACAACAAATACTGGTACCAGAACCATAGGCTTATCGCTAGATCTAGATTCAGACATCACAGCTATTTAGAAATGTATATACACATTAGCATAAAAGCTACACAGTTGCAAGATGCTACTTTCAATTCTGAATAAACAGCAGAAAAAATGTGATGACAGTTGAAGTAGCTTTTTATTATACTCTTTTTTCCAAGTTATCCTCATCCCAACAGGTTCACTGAGAAATTGCTCAGCACAGTAGGGAAGTGCATGGGTTTTCACTCAGAGCTGAATGAATTAAGAGAAAAACAATTCCTGTTTCCCTTCTAGGGTGCGGAATTACTGTTTTAACTTACTCGTACTTTAAACAGGTTAATTTTGAGACAGAGAGTTAAGTACAATTATCTTTAATATAGTTACTATGTCTGTAGAACTCCAGGAGCTTTGCGATATGATATAACTTACATTGCTGACTTTTCAGACTCTTGTAATATACAATTTTATTGTTGACTGCATATCAACTATTATAACCAGTTTGTAAGAAATAACTTCCAATCATATGGCTTTTCTTTGTCAGGGCATCAAAAACTGCTTTTTAGTAAATACAAGCATCTAGTTTTAATGATTGTTGGATTTCTAGTGCTCTATTCTGCAGCTAGAAAGAAGAATTTTGTATAGTGATATTTTCTTTTTCTTATTCCTCAGACTTCACAGCCTAAGGTTGAACATTCTGGAAACGCTCCTCAAGTATTTCCCAGAGGTTCAGAATGTTGGAGGAGTTAGAGCTATCCCTTTCATGCAGGTATGGAGCTGCTCCTTACTTTTATTGATTTTCTAAGGGACATTTAGTTTACAATGGTATATGCACAGTCATGCGTGAATACACACAAATAATAGTTCACCTCTATAGCATAATACACAGTATCATACCAGTCCCGACAATCATACTAACATGCCATTGCTGATTGCCATTGTGCAGGACCCTATTTTTGAACTGGGGGTTATCACATATTGCCTTAGGACACAATCCAGTCACCATCATCCTGAACACTTGGTCACCGTCTTGTGCTTGATATTGTGAGCCTGAGATTTCACCTCCCCCCTCTTTTTTCCATTTCTTATATCTGTGGTCCCAGTTTTTTGTTCAGTATAATAACTTAAAATTGGCCCTAGGAAACAGGAGTAGATTGCTAAGAAAAGCAGAAAGACTTTTCATTAGAAGTGGCGTGCCGACTCTGACCTTGTTGCAAGAGGAATGTCTTTAAAAGAAATTTTCTTGTAGTGGAGGCAGAGTGATCCAAATCTGAGCGATGTGCGTAAATGTATGACTGTCCGGTAAACTGGCACTCCTGTAAGTGGTTGAGGAGACTTACTGTAAGAGCTTTTAGTATCATACTGCGAGTTGAAAAGAGGATATTCTTAAACCTGGATTTGTTTGGGGAATTTTCACAACTCTTCTTGCCAGGTGGTTGGGTCGTATCAGATGTAGACATTAAAATGGGAGTCCATGTTGAAAGGTATGTTGATCCCATACTTTACTACTTGTAGATTAACTTGTGATGGGACCCGCACTGTGCCCGTTTCATTGTCTTTCTCCTTTTGTTTCAGGTGCTCCTGATGTTGACCACTGACCTGGAATCGGACGAGGACAAGGATAGAGCAGCGCTGGATGCATTCCTCACCACCATTGTCACAGAACTGCAGCTTTCAGGAAAGGTTCGGTCACTTTTTTAAAATGAAGGCTATGTTCTGGTTGTTGTTTTTTTCTTCATCTTGGATGCGAGAGGCTAGTTTATAGAAAGTGTAGTTTTTTAAAAGTGCAAAACAATGGTAATACTAATACTTCATTGAGAAATTTCTCAGGAAGTTGTAGAAAGCCTTGCAAAGGCAAATAATGGTTAAGTTTTGCTTGTTCTTATCTTTGAAAAAGAAAAGTACAAGAAAGGGTACAAGGTAACCATTATATAAGGTAGTAAAATATTATCTTATATTTGATTCTAGAAATCAATATAAATGTAACAAAATTGAAAATAAAAGATTCCATATGCAGCTGAGAAGTGTGTTCTGATATTTAATACTTAAATTTGTTATGTGGATAGAATTATTGTGATTTTTTAAAGCTTTGTGCTTGTTGGTCACTTTAGGTAATGAATGTTATTTTAATGATATGTCAAAGCATTGTGGGGAAAAGGGGCTTTAAACATTATAGTTACCAATCATCCAACTTGTCACCTTTATATCTGACTGCACAACTTGAACATCTAATTAATCAATCATATGCTGGCTTTAATACTTCAGTGACACCTGGTATGCTGTCTGGATCACTTTTGTGAACACTCTAGTTCTGAACCATGGACTGATTTTAACACCTTAATTTGCAGTCAAACCTTTTGAGTGCAGTTTGTTAAAATCATTGTACTTGACTCAAGGGAAAAGAAGTAGTGTTGGTTTAGATTTTGCCTCAAAGAGTTTGGGAAAAGAATAAGAAGGGAAAATGTTTTTAGAAAAGTTTTACAAAGAATTGTGATTCTAAGATTTTATACACTGAAACATTAATGTCTACTTTGACAATTTTGCTTGTCTGTTCTTTAAATGAACCTGCAAGTTTGCTTATGGTCTACTTTTTTATCTCTATATTTCAGGATTTGGATCAGATTTCTGACCGTTCAGAACATTTTGAAGTGAAGCTGATCCTCCTACGACTGGTCAGTGTTTTGCTGTCTCGGTCAAGATCGGGATCGAAGCATTCCACTGAGGTCAGTACTAAACAATAAGTTCTCTCTTTCATTTTAAGAAAGGTCAGTTAATGTTAAAAAAACCTAAATCAAGAAAGATGCATTTATAAATGCAATCTATAGTGCTCTCCACTCACTAGGCTTGGTCCAATCAAAAATGGATGCAAAATATGATACCTTACAGTGAATGGGCTCTATAATAATGCAATACAGGACAATGCTATAGCCTACTTTACAATATCATGCAGTACAATGCTGTGGTGTTTTCCTTCCCCAGTCCACCTTTGTGAGCAGCAAGACAGCCTCAGCACTCTTGCAGTCTGAGACCATCCCATATTGCCTGCAAGTTTTGAAGAATTTGCTTCCTTACTGGAAAAACTACAACGCTGATGAGGTACACTGTTTTGTTGATCATGTTCAATGGTTTATTAATTGTGTCTGTAATATAAATGCTGTTTAGTTTTAAGATTTGTTCTGGAGTGAGAACACCATCTACATGAAAGAGCAAGCATGACTGTTTTATGATTTTATTTCCTGTAGTATTTGGTACAAGCATGTAGAGTTAATGTTCATTATTGTCAGTGTAGTTCTCTTGATGTGAAAGTCTGGTGAAACAAATTTTTTTGGGGAAAGATGAAAAGTTGTTTTCAAATCACTCAGTTGCTTTGTATTTCAGCACCTTCAGGTTTAGATCACATGAAACAATTAATCATTTGTATTGACCAAAGATTCGCGACTTTCATCACACACAGAGCACACATAAGTACAAATCCTCTACTTAGAAAAAACGGGGGGAGGACATGAAATTTTGAACATTCAGATTTATGCATATAAAAAAAATTAAAAGTTTCGCTGACGCGCTGTTATTTGTAAGTCTGTCAGAGAGTTGTGTGAGCGAGCTGTTGTTATTTTCTCGCACTGTTTTGTTTTCAGGATGAAAATGCCAGTGTTCCTGGACAGTTGCTGAAACCTCACCCCTCCCACTCTCCCCCGGACATGTCACCTTTCTTCCTGCGGCAGTATGTGAAAGGCCATGCCAACGATGTGTTTGAAGACTATCCTCAGCTGTTGACAGAGATGGTCCTTCGTCTGCCATACCAGGTATGATTTTGTACAGCAGAAGTCTGTTATAGGTATGTAAGTGGGTTAATGCCCTTATAAACACTGTGATGTCTTTTATAGAGTAAGCGAGATTTATATTAATTGACAGAGTGACTGTTCTGCTGCTTTTGAAGTCTCGGATACTCAATCTAATTTACCTGTGGTCTAGATATGGTTTCGTTTGATATGGTTTCTATGTGCAGCAGACCTGTTTTCGGTGCTAGCTTTCTGAAACGAGTCAACTATTTTCTGGAAGAAATTGAAATTCTAAACATATTCTTTTATTGTTTTATTTGAATCTACATTGTTTTGCTCAAACTGAAACTTCAGAACACCATAAATAGCCTGAACACTTTCTCATGTATTCCAAATGCACTGTAACCCCCCCCTGTTTTCATATTTTTATGTGTTTATTGAATGGTCAGATAAATTCTGTTATGGATTTGCTAATGCCAGTCATATGCACGCACGCATACACACTCACACACCTACACACACATGCGGGTGCACGCCCATGCTCTCACACACACATACACACACACACACACACACACACACACACACACACACACACACACACACACACACACACACACACACACAAATGCACATATGCACATGCACATGCACACGCTGGTGGAAGGGTGAAATTGTTAAGTATTCTGAGAAACTATCATCCCTCTATATAAAAAATATGATTTAGTTCTTTTTAGTTTTGTTTTGGCACTTGGATAATTGGATAATCTTTGGGTTTTTTCTAAACTTCAGTTGAAGAAAATTGCTGATGACCACAAGCTTCAAGGAGCTGTGTTTGACAAGAAGTGGCATGATATGCTGTCAGAGGTGAGTTGTTAGATGGTGTATCATTTTTTCCTCAATAATGCTTTAACTTTTTATCTCCTGCAAGCCGCTCTCAGTGGCTCACGGTCAGAATCACTGTGCCGCTGAGCCACTGACAGCGGCTCGGGCACATTCCTTTACGACGACTTAGACCTCAACTTACTTTTCGGTAGGGCTGTACCCCGGTAGCAAACACGCTCGTGCTCGCAAGCCCCTAGTTCAGGTCACAAGCTTCAAATCACTAGGTCAAATCATCAAATCAAATCACCAGCATGATACGTTGAGTCTAGCCTAAGCTTCAAGTACCTACACCAACTTGCAATCCGCGAAGCCACTCGTGTCTGACCCCCTCTTCCTTCCCCTCTCTGCTTGCAATCTGCGAAACCACTAACGTCAGAAAGAGAGAGAGAGGGAGAGAGAGAGACCCCGCTCACAGTATCACTGCGCCACAAACTAGTCTGTTCGATTAATCGAAAGCTTACGAGCAGAGGACGGCACGCAAGACTCAAATCCCGATCGCAGCTAAGCAAAGCACTTGGTCCCAAGACCTGCTTTGCGTCTCGTATTGCTTTGTGCTAAGGGCTTGCTCTCGTGCCAATAAATCTGTTTTGAGTCCAACTACCGCTCTGGCAGGGCAACACCGCTCGTCAGTACAACACCGCTGAGCCGCAAGATCTACCGGTAATCCACCCCGCTCGCGGCGTGAACTCTGGACGTGGAGGAAGCGAGAAGCTGTGCTGGTTTTGGTGCAAGGCGAAGAGGGCTGTAATAGCCTAGTGCAGACCATTCGCGACCTCAGTGCTTTAACAGTGAAAATGTGACATCTTCGTAGGCTCACATTTTGTTATGAGCTGTTTTCACTGGTATTAAAATTGGAGATACGACAAGAAAGCACTGGGGTCGCGGTTTGCTAAACTATTTAGGACGCAGAATAAAGGTGTGAACACTTACAAACAATTTTTAACTGACAAAATAAATCAGTATTGTTAGCATCCTGTGGCTTGTAATTTAATCACTCGCCAAAACTACACTTCCACTCCCACCCCGACACTTAGAACAAGTTGAAGTTGAAGAGAAAGCATTGGGGAGGGGATGACAATCGTGATTTTGTTTCTGAACAATGTAAAAAAACTTTTGATTTGACTGTTTACCTATCACATTGTTAATTACATTGTAGGCCTATAACTTTTAAAAAACATCTTGCTGCACTGTAACTGATATTATGTATGTATTGTGCATGTTCTATCATACAAATATTAATTATGATGTCTAATTACGCCAAGAAAATCAATAAAGCAAAACGTAATCCTAATACTTCCCCCCACCAAAATTTTTTTTTTTAAATCAACAAAAACTGAACCAAAAAACCCCCCAAAAACAAGACAAATAAAACCCTGTCACGACAGGAGGCGTAAGGGGAGGGGCGGGTTCTACGGAAAGCGAGGGGTGGCGAACACCTCTCGCTTTCCCAGCCATACCACCTCCTCCCCTCCCCAAACAGCGCCATCGCTGGAAGTGTGAGGGTTATTTAGGGCTTGTCAGCGTGCGGCACGCGGGCAGAAGTATCGCACGCTCAGTAAACAAGAGTTTGTGACGTCACGACACAAATCAGTAAGCCCGTCCGCCGTCCACGAGTAGCAAATCCGGTAGTGGGCAAAGCTCAAGCCTGCTCGCAAGCCTCTGGCACGAGCCGTCAGTTGCTCGCAAGCCTTCGATTAATCGAGCAGACTCCAGCCCTACTTTTCGGCCTGATAACAAGTCTCTTATACGGGAAGTTCATTTATTAGATGAAGAACTATCAAAATAGGTTTCCTGGTTTCAATTTTATGACCCATTTAATGACGATTTTGTCATTTTTAGCTTTACGACCAAAAAAGGGCCCTAGCGTAGTGGGTTTACCCCCTCGGAGATGAAGAGTTAAAACATCCCTGTGTGGGGAAGATAATGTGTACAAAATCATGCCCTGTGCCTTACAAAGCTACGTTAAGAACGTTTCTTTTTAGTGCTTGTAGGTTAATTAAATTAGCTCAGTGGATAGAATTAATTTTCTGGCCACTATGGCATTGTGATGAACTTGATCTGGCAAGGAGAAGTTGAGGTTTGAGTCTTGAGTGGGGTCCAAATGGATATTGCTGTCCTATCTGAAACATTTTTCCTCAACCTCACGTCTTGATAAAGATCTAAGTCCTCGGTCTTTGAAATGAACTGCATGGTATTTGATGGGGATTTATTCTTATTCTGGATGAAGTTTTTTAATATGTTTTTTTAGCTCCACTTAATTAAAATGATAAATGCTTTAATTGTTCTTGTTGTATTTGTAGACAAAAACTGACAGAACTGTGTTGTTTCTTGGCTGGTAGCACGGGGAGTGAAATAGCTTGTTGTTTATTATTATGTTGAAGAAAGATTTGTCAGTGACTCTCCTTTGTGTCTGTTGTTCCAGTACATGTTGACCCAACAGACGCCGTTTGTCAAGAGGCAAGTCAGAAAAGTAAGTACAGTGAATTGTCATGTGCTAAATCTTGCTATAAAAATGGCAGGTTTCAGGCTTAGACCTAAATGTAACAAACCAACCATAGTATTCCTTATATGTCAGCCTACCACCATATCTTAAAGACAGTGTTAATGTGTTAATTAATTTAAACTCAAGAGCAAAGAAATCATAATGGCTAGATTCGTAAATGATTTGAAATTATGAAGGATTTTTTTCCCGATCTAAACAATATGAAGGGACTGTGTGTTTGCATTTTTTTGCACCATCTTATCTCCTCAGATGTTGCTTATGGGCCTTCGCTGCCATGTTCTCTTTCAGCTAGAGACTAGTTGTGATTTCACTCTACTATCAGCTACAGTCTTTTATGGTTTGTTCCCAAGTTCTAAACTAATTTTTCAAGTGTAGTAATGTTCATCTTGCAAGTATATCCCATTGTATTGTGAATTAAGAGAAGAGATAAGATTAAATTATCTCTATTTCATTTCTCCCCTGTCTGTCCCCATCAGCTGCTCCTGTTCATCTGCGGCTCCAAAGAGAAGTATCGTCAGCTGCGAGATGACCACACCATCCAGTCTCACCTTCAGCAGATGATGGAGACGTGCAAGAGAGGAGGCCTTGCTGATGGAGGAGATGTGCCAGCACACAGCATCATCTTGCCCTATGACACCCTGCTCACCATGGTAAGAGGAGTTTGTGGTCATATTTTGTATTGAAAACCATAGATACAGGGTGCATAAAAGTAGACCCAAAATGGAAAAAATAATAATTAATCCACAGACAGGAGAATGAGGCTAAAACAGCACCTAGACATGGATGGCTGGTGCTTCTATAAATAAATTGTTGATGGTCAGGCTTTATTTTGTACAACATACAGAAAAAAAAAAGAACCTTCTTCCTTACCTCTCTTGATTTGATTTTCCTACCCCAGATTGAACATTTGAAGGTGGTGTGCGACATTGCCACCTCTCGACCCTACAACTGGCAGCTGTACTGCCAACTGAATGCAGGTATGTTATCCTTACAGGGACACACAATTTAGCCAAAACTGATGCACCTAATTTGAATTGTTGGACAACTTTACTTTCTTACTAACTTCTGCCATTGGCATATTATGACCGGTGTCAGTAATGTAAGCTAGGCTTTTTGCAGTTGCATACAAAAGACAATAACTCAATTCCCACATGGGGAAGTTTTATTATTTCAAGTATCGCAATCTTTCTGATTGCATGCTGTATCCCTCTTAGTCCGGGTTGGCACTGACAAGTAAGGTAGAAACATCCTGCCTCCTAAATGATCTTAATTTTAATTGTAAGGGCGGGGGTGTAAAATAGTCAGCCATTGGTTGGGAAGGGACTGAGGATATTGGAGTGTAGGCTACTAATAACCTCTCCCCAATTGTTTCTATCTTTGGCTACTTGTTTCAGCTGTCCTCTTTGCATGTGCACATGAAGGATGAAATCAGGTGTTCTTGCTTTGTGATACTTTACGCTTGACAACTTTACAGGGATATAAACTGCCAGCATTTGAATTCTTATATATTATTTTTTTTTTTATTTCCTTTTTTTTTTCACTTAAAAGACTTTTTCCTCTGCAGATGCATTTGTCATCATCAGACATTGACGGATGAATTGTTATATAATAGCATGTTGTGGTGGGTTTGTTTCAGACACACTCCCATACCTGATGCAGGCTAGCATTCTCCTGGATGAGGGCGTGGCCCCCACACTGCTGCAGCTGCTTCAGTGTGCCATCTGTGGGGTCAAGGGTCATGGCAGTGCACAGGGTCACAGTGGCTCTGGGAGTTCTTCCACCTCCCCTGTGAAGCAGAGAGGGAGAAAGGACCGAGACTCTGTCAAGATTAAGATGGATGGTGAGTCGATGAGTCTGCTGTATTTTTTGTAGCCTGTAAGGGTGAGACTTTTCTTCCTTTTTTTCCCCCTCATTTCCTCTCAGTGGCCTAATGTCATGTTTTCTTGTTTTTGCACAATTTTTAGGTGTATTCTCCCTAGCCGATTTTCAATAATTTGTTTCTTGGTGAGTCAGATGCTTACTTGCTGTCGATTTAGTTCTAAATTATCAGTTTGAAAAATGTAATATTTAAGTTGTGTGCAGCATAGTTGATTTTCATGAGCAGATTTATATCATCCTTTCGTATGCTTTTGCTTGTATCAAGTTTTTTTTGAATTGCTTATGGTTGTAGAGAAATGGGGAAGACAAAGAAAAATGGGGTTTTTGGTTTGGTCTTTTACAAACATTGCTCATGTTGGTGATGATTGTAAAAAAAATTTTCTTTTTACTTGCGTCAGAACTTGATGGCAGTGGCTTGGGCCTGAAGAGAGATGGGGAGGAAAGTCGTCCGTTTGACGAGACGCTGTGCCAGGAGCTGGTGAAACAACTCAACACCACGCTGGACACCAGCCTGTTCATCAAGTTTGTCAGGACCTACCTGCTGGACTCCAACTCGAGCGGGAACCGCTGGATGGCTCATGGCTTACTGCTGCACATCTACAGGTGAGCTGCAAAGGCAAAGACGCGTTATTATGCAATGACTCATTATTTGAAAAAAGACTATTCTCATTAGAAATTTAATTGTGATATATGTTGTAAACTTTTCAAGGAGCTAATTATTGTAATAAGGTACTGGTAGCTGTTATAAGATAAGAAAAGGAAGATAATTTTTGTTGTTGTTGTCCCTGTGGTGGAAGAAAGTATTCAAAGTGGGACTTCACTAGCTTCTGGAACACAAGAAATGTAAATACATAGCATCATGTCAATATTATCTAAAAAACATGCATGTGCAAGCATACACTTCAACACGCACACGCGCACATTACATGTACCCCATGCACCCAAGTTCTCTCAGTCTCTATAGCTGAAAAAGTTTTACGATAGTATTGAAAAAGCAAGAATGAGAGCTCTTGTTTGTTCATGTGTTTTGTCACTGGTGTATAATTGTAAAGATTTGTGTGTTGTTTTCTAAGCTGTGTAATGTCTTGTAATTCTATCTTATGTAAATTTGCTTTATGTAGAAACGACTTTATTAGGTTTATTTTCTAGTGGGTTTTGTTTGCGATCGACAGAAGATGTTTTGACTCTTGTGGCAGCGGCATCCGCTCAGATATTAGCCTGCTGAAAGCGTTATGTTTATGTGAGTAATGTATTCTTAGGAATTGCTGAAACTCAAGGCATTATTATAAGGCATCATAGTCTTTTTTCTTGACAAACGTCTTCTCAAGAAGTGCTGAAATGAGGTGTTTTATTGTAATTTCTGTATAAACAACATCCTCTCCCAGGAAATATTAACATTGTATACATTGTAATGCTATCTCTGTGTTAATGTTATTCTCCCAGGAACTCGAGCCAGCAGGAGCAGCATGCACTGCTCAACTCCATGTGGGGTCTCTGGCAGGAGCTTCCCATCTTTGGGCGCAAGGCTGCGCAGTTTGTGGACCTGCTGGGCTACTTCCTGTTAAAGACCTCGGGACTGCCTGAGAAAAAAGTGAGTAGCAGATTTTGAGCTCCTTTTGTTTTCCTGTTTGTGTTGAATGATTTTCCCAGTATAGTTTTACATTATCCTTGTAAATTAAACAGGAATTGTTTAGTGTGAAGGATTTATAAGTGTCTGCATCTGCCATTTGCTTTTTCTCAACTTACCCCAGGATAGGGTAATGCCCTTTGGCCATTAGTAATGCTCTAGAGGGGTGGAAATCTTAATAAGATCTACCTTCTAACTGTATTGGGTGATGTATAGTTTGGGGTGGGAAGAAGACGTAGTTGCAGAAAATCCTTCTGGTGGAAGCATTAGAAAAGAAGGTTTTGGAATAGTGAAAGGTTGCTTTATTAGATGAGAAACTCGTTTTTTGAAGTTGTAAGTAAAATGTCTTCAACAGTTCCAGTACTGATATCTATAAAGGAGCATGTTTGATTCAGTGTTTAAGGATTGACATATCTTGTATACCTTGAGTAGGAGGAACCTCTCTTTGCACAACAAAACAAAGTGTCTACATCAGCACTTTTGGTCACATCCATATCATTAGGTGTAGAAAGCAGAGAATACTTTTTTAAAGGGCAGAATGTATCCTGTATACAATCTTTTTAACACTTTGGTACTGGAGCTGACACAGCTGGCTCTCGACTGTCTTTATAAAATGTCCTTCATGTGTCCAGCTTCCTGCCACCATCACTTCACACCTGCACAAACATCAGATTCTCTGCTTAAATTAGTCCAAACCCTATTTGTTGTCCTCAGGTAGCTGAATATCTTCAGAAAGCTGTGTCCCTGCTCAAAGGAGAGAACCAAGTGTTGGCCCATCACCCAAATGCCACCATCTACAAGTCAGTGTTACTTGCTATCTCTTCCGCAACATGTTTCTGCTTTGCTTTGTCAAAATTAAAGTTTAATTGTTTGTTTATAGTTTTATCTCTGAAAAGGCTCAGGCAACTTTGCAATAATATCTTTGGCTTGCTGATCATTCAAGTGTACAATTCAAGGTAATTTTTTGTTGTCTCTCAGTGGTTCATTGTGCTAAGGAAAACAGTTCTCATATAATGGACCTTTCAGAGAGTCTCAGAGATTTTGAGAGGTTCTTCATATCTTGTTAGTGTGGCAGTAAGAAAAGAATACCCACATTATGAGTTCTGTTACACACCGCGTGTCCTACGTCTTCGCTACCCCTTTCTTGTTTCTGTTTGTTTCCATGGTTTTTTTAATCTGCTGAACAGGAGTGAACTCTTGTCAACGTTTTTTCCCGCAATCAAACAATCACACGAGCGACCCTTATATCTGTCCCATGTGTTTCAGTTAATGAAGCTGATGGAAATCTTTCAAATCTAAATTTATAGGGTTTATCTTCTTCTAGAAAACCTGATCCATGTATACTTTATTGATCCTTCTGTTTATGTTTTCTCTCACTTAAGCCAAATGTGTAAACACTCAACATCACGCATATTTATGCTCACACACACACACACACACACACACACACACACACACACACACACACACACACACTTGCATACATTCAAAGCCCGAGCATTATATACACAAAACATTCAAGGTACCTTAATGCAAAGCATTAAAAACATTGTGAGTTAATACAAAAGTGATAGTGGCTTCTCATCTAAAAAATAGTAAAGTTTGGACTTTTGTTGGTGAACCACTGTCTGTATGCTGTTGCTGTTGTTTTATAGGTACACACTCTTACACTGGTGGACACACAAATATACGTAACCTTAACGTTTCTTTTCAAGCTGTATTCTTCATAAAAGTTTCTTTTCTTTAACCTGTGCGTAAATGATTGTGCTAATCTCTGAAGTGGTATGTATTTTCTGCACTCAGCATGCTCCAAGGACTTGTGGACTTTGATGGCTACTACCTGGAGAGTGACCCTTGCCTAGTCTGTAACAACCCAGAGGTCCCGTTCCAGGTTGGAAACTTGTTTTGTTGATGTGTGGTGTCAAAGATGAGGCACATTTCCTGCTTAATGTAAAGAATTGCTTTCTTGTTGAATTTTGACTGCTGTATATTGAAGCATCTTTTAACTTGTATTGAAGCTTGTTGCACATTTAAGTTTTATGATAGTAGTCGCTGTCTTAATTTTCTTGTCTTAAATGTCCAGAATGTTGTCTGAAAGAATGTGTGTTTAATGTGTATGAGTTTTCTTTTTTTTTGTGAGGGCGTATAAGTTAGAGAAGAGAAAAATAAGAGAGAAAGAGGTGTCGGGGAGAAGTAAGAGAGATTACACTTACAAAGAATTGCTATTGAAAATAGAGACGGCAAGTGTCTGTCTGCGATAAGACAACAATTTGTCAACATGTGGACCTCTGTACTCCTCCCCAGATGCTGAAGCTGTCGGCCGTGAAGGTGGACTCCAAGTTCACCACCACCACTCAGATAGTGAAGCTAGTGGGCAGCCACACCATCTCCAAAATCTCTCTGCGTATCACAGATCTCAAGAGGACCAAGATGGTAGGTTGTCTGTCCGGGGCTGTGAGAGGGAGCTGTGAGAGTCTTTCGCTAGGATTGATTGTACAGGGTGTCTTTAAAAAAAAAAGGACCCACTTAAAGGGCAAAATACCTCGGTCATCTCTGCATTAATTTCAACAAAACTTTGATCAAATCGGTGGACTGCTTCAGAGCTACCTGTCAGGGCTAGTTTGCACAGTGAGGGGCGCTTTCGTTGTTGGAGATAACATCTTTCCCACTTGGGAATCAAGCTCATGTTTTTAGCTTCAATGCCAAAAGTCCTAACTATTTCACCTGAGATGCTACTGTTCAGTGAAAGTTATGCTTAAAAGGGAAGTTAATCGGGGGTTTGAATCAGGATTTATGAATTTTGAGCCCGTCTGAACATATCGAATATATACTGCACAATAACAGTGATCTTGCTTGCATGCCTTCGAAATGAGGAATTGGTGAGATTGTTCTCCAATTTTATAAGGCAATGGTTTGATGTAAACTTTGCAGCAGTTTTGATCTGATTTTCTTTTCATTTCAATGCATAGTTAAAGTTTTACTTGGTTGTTTAGGTTAGGAGTATGTTTTTTTACACGTTATGTTCTCTTTTCTGAGAATAAGTTCCAGTTGCATTGCTAGTGCATTAGTTATAATATGTCAAGTGCTCTAACCTCTATCATATGCTTTTCTGATTTTTAAAAATCAGATCATTGAGAACAGTTGCACTGTTACGTCACTGTATTGTATGGATTTACAGACTGTATGGTATAGATTTGCAGCCTGTTTGGTCTTGTGCCTTTTTAGCTTTCCTTGCCAAAAGGACTGTGTCAAAGGGGGTGAAGAGCCTAACTCCTTAACAATCCAAATTCACAAGCACTGCATTAGGCACCTGAGCAAAGGTTGTTGGTGTTGTAGTTCAGTATGACACTCAGTGAACTAGCAATGCTCCTTGTTAGTGAAGGCTATGTTGCGCAACTACTTTAAAGAAAAGACTACAGACATGATGTATGGACCTTGTATTACGAATGTGCATACTCTGAACTATAAGGCTTTATGTTCAGAGATGTACAGGAAGTATGATTTAAAGAATGGGATTTCACCATGCATTTTTCCTGAAAAGAAAGTTTTAATTCGTCAGGTACAAACTTTGAACATCTTCTACAACAACCGCTCAGTCCAGGCTGTGGTTGAGCTGAGGAACAGACCTGGACTCTGGCACAAAGCCCGCAAAGTCAGGCTGGTCTCAGGCCAGACAGAGGTCAAGGTAAATGCTTTTAAAAAATTTCTTTTGTTTTGATGCAGTGAGTTGGAAAAGAGCACTTTTGAAAATAGTTCACTATGGTTTCAAAAGATATTTTATGTTGCTGAAAAAAATTCATCAATTTGAAATACTTTGCTCAGCTTGTAAAGCAAAATCAAAAGCAGTTAAGATTTTTATCTTATGACAGTGTTTATATATGATGTCTCACTATATTTTTAAAGAAAACTTTTTTTGTACAATGACCTTACAGTTGCTAAAGATGCACCAAACTGTAAGAACCATTTTATGGCAGTGGTCATAATGGCCCATGAGGAGCTTCATCGGTAACATGCAACAAGAAAACATCATCAGTTTCACTGTAATGCCACTCTTCAGTCTGTGCATTTCGTCAAAAATTTTTCATGATTCTTTTCGACTTCTGTTCTAGCTGATCTCTGGCAACAACTTGTACTTCTCCTCCCCTCACTCTTCATCAAAGTGCCGAATAATGGGTCAAAGTTTCCAACTGTATATGGCCCATCTTTGAGCCAAGAGTGTTGCTGGATTGACGACTAGGATGTTTAGTTTCAGAAATATAATTGTCAATTTTGAAATTTTGACTGGATTTGAGCTCAAAATTAATTTCAGATGTGTAAGAAATGTCAGAAAGATTAAGATTATACAAGTCATTTCGATTTGGTTCGGGGGTGGGGGGATTGGGACATGTATAGGTTTTACATTATTACATGACATGCACTGATTTCATATTTCTGTTCAGGTGGAGTTCCCCATCCCTATCGTAGCGTGCAACCTGATGATTGAGTATGCAGACTTCTACGACAACCTTCAGGCCACGGCTGAGACACTGCAGTGTCCTCGTTGCAGCGCCAGTGTCCCAGCCTCGCCAGGCGTCTGTGGCAACTGTGGTGAGAATGTCTACCAGTGCCACAAGTGCAGGTAAGTTTAAGATACTGTGAGCATATTGTCTACTCATGCCACAAGTGTGGGTAAGTTTAAGATATTGTGAGTTTATTGTCTGCCCATACCACAAAGGCTGATAAGTTTAAAATATTGTGAGCTTATTGCCTACCCATGCCACAAGTTAGGTAAGTTTAAGATACTGTGAAAATATTGTCTACCTGTGCTATAAGTGCAGGTAAGTTTTGGATAATTTTGAGATGATACATGGTCCACATACAAAGCAAAAGTGTCAGTTTGTCATTTTCCTCAGGAAGTGTCAGAGAGCTCTCTACCATTTTATTTTAAAAACACGCACATGTTTTTTGCAAATTGCTTTTTTCTATAATGTTATATGGAGGGTTGTAATCTGCTTTATGTATATGATGCTGTCTTGACTTTTAGCCTATGACAGTACTGCTGAACTGAAAGTTTCTCTTCAGCTTCAAAGCACCAACTAGCAAGTAGCCTTTATCAGTGACATGAAGGTAATGTCTTTTTAAAGTGAATTACAAGAGTTTATAGTGTTTAGAGATTGGAGTTTGATGACATGTTCCTTACGTCCAGATCCATTAACTATGATGAGAAGGATCCCTTCCTGTGTAACTCATGTGGGTTCTGCAAGTATGCCAAGTTTGACTTCACTCTATTGGCCAAGCCTTGCTGTGCTGTGGACCCCATTGAGAATGAGGAGGACAGGAAGAAGGTAAAGTTCTTGTCATGTATAAATTCATTTTTTGTGGAGTAGAACATTTGGAATCCAAAAGTTTCATGACGTTTGCTTTTGATTCAGCATGCTGTGTGCTCAGAACACACATCAGTGGCCAAGTGTGGGGCCCTTCAGTGTGCTTGTGTCAGTACTGTAGCTGCTTAGAAAAAGAGCAACTGTCTTCATCCCTTTTTTTTTGTCATTTTAAAAGTTACCCGAAATTTTCTTTTACAGAATGTCGTTCATGACATACATCTTGTGATTTTGGCCTGTGGGCAATTGCCATATATCTATGCTTGCTTATCGTGTTGAGAGGTTGTCATTTTAAATTCAGTTGAATTCTTCAAATGTGTATTAATATTTCATATTTAAAGTGACAGAAATCTTTTTTTTTTAGCTGAGGAATTATGGGGTCCTGCCCCTTAGGGTTTCTGTGTTAGGTTCCGCTTGGGTATGTTTTACTGTTCGGACAGTATTCTCCCAATATTTTTGTGCCATTGAGTTATGGAAGATCTGTTGGTTTTATATTTTGTGTTTTGCCTTCCACAGGCTATCTCTAGCATCAACTCACTGCTGGAGAAGGCAGACCGCATCTACAAACAGCTGCAGCTGCACCGACCCTCACTTGAGAGTCTGTTGATCCAGGTGGCTGAGCACGGCTCTGACAGACCCCCGTCCTCTGGCAAGGTAGGGCCAAGCTACTCTTGTTTAGACTCAAAACTTTGAAAGAAATACTAAGTGTTTGGCGGTGCTCTATAGGGAGGGAGGGGGGAAGGGGTTGGATGGTTGGATAACACAAAAAAAGGAAGTCGGATATTATGCTAGCCTTAAGTGTTACTATGAAAAAGACAGACCTACTGTACGTAAGGGAGATGATTTTAATACTTGTTTTCTGTCCTTTGGATCACTTAAATGTATTGGCGTCTATAGTGTAATGGTTAAACTCTTCACTGTTGCATGCAGAAGATGTGAGCTTGGTATGCTATACTCATAAAGTCAGGGAAATGTCAGTACGAACAGGGAGCCATCTGCTTCAAGCCTGCCCAATGCTAGAGGCACTTTGAAGGAAATATTGGCCCAACCCTAGGCAGAGAGACCCAAAACTATGGTATGAGGGCCTGGAGGACCTGCGATGAACAGCAGCCTTCGCACCAGAGACTGGGGTGTGCATTTAGAGATGAACGACAAGAAGAAGAAGAATGCTGTATTCAGCTCTGCCTGGGTTGGCCCTGGGAAAGGCAGGATTAAAATTCCTCTTCTTCTTAAAGATTTAAATTGTATTGAAGAGGGTGTAAAATATTTTCAATATTCATGATGTGATGATCACGTTGTATTCAGTGAGGTTTTCATTCCTCCCCCCATCCAGGAAGTAAATGGAGCAGCAGCCAGTAGTGTGAACAAAGCTATCCAGCAACTGGCTCAGAAGTACTGTGGGGAGTGCAAAGCTGCTTTTGACGAGCTCAGCAAGATCATTCAGGTGAGTACTGAGAGTGCATCAACACAGCACCAGTGCAGAGAAACCAGTACGATGAACACCCACAGATATGAGATTGGCCACGCTTCTTCAGGCTTGCCTCAGTGATCTTTAAGTCAAAGGAAGAGTTCAGTAGAACTTGCTGGGTCATATTGAATGATAAAAGGATGAGAGCTAAAAATTTAACAAGAAGAAAAAACGGAGGAAATTAGAATATGAGAAACAAATTGAATAAAAAAAGACAGAAAGAAAAAGTTTCAAGCACTTTGGGATGTTAATGATTCGAAGGATATGACAGTCGTTATGTTTTTTCCTCTTTTTTGTATACTTCATTTTACTGAGTGCCTTTCAGTGAGCATCTGTGGTATCATGGTTACTCTCTTCACCTAACAAGCAAAAGATGTGAGCTCAATACCCGCATGCAGAGGGTATTTTATAAAGTATTTTGACTTTCTTCCAGGATTGTCCCTTATTGCCCCAGACATGCAGGGTCGAAGCAAAACGCCTTAGAATGTTTTAACTCATGTCAGAGAGGTGTGAAATGTTAACACCAAACTGAGCTTCACTTCACATTGTACTTCACCTGACCCCTGTTCTCCGAGGCTGTTGGGGTTCTGCCAATACCAGAATCCTGGTCTTATCACCCATACCACTCCCTCACTCAGCCTGTCGTAGCCAGGCTTTTGCTCGCAGACAACTTTTGTCCAGTTGTTTGCTCACACATGTGTAAATATTAACATTTTAAGATTTAAAAATGAGTAAATGACTCAATTTTTATTTCCGTCCACAGAAAGTGATGGCCTGCCGCAGAGAGCTGGTGGAGTATGATCAACAGCAGAGAGAAGCAGTGGCCAGCAAAGGCCAGGTGCCCATGCCAACTGGAGCCAAGCCAAAAGCTATGACGTCAGAGATGAAGAGCAGTAAGACAAGTGTGGCCAAAGACAAGAAAGAAGGGTAAGTATAACGTGGATTCTGTGAAATTGTTTCTGATATCAAGGACGAACTGGGGTGTAGAAATTTTTTTAATAGTAAGTGATGAAGACAGAGGGAGGGGGGGGGTGTGGAGAGTGATAGACAGATTTCAAGACCCAAAAAAGTTTATGATTGCCCCATCTCCTTGAGATGAATGTTCCACCGACTTATTGGCTGAGAACGTTTATTGTGTTTCTGTCAGCATTTATTTGCTCTTAATCTTCATAGTTGGGGAATTTGACAATATTCAAAACAAATGAATAGAGATTTGCTGCTGAATATTCCTCCTTGCTGAAGACTAACAATCTGTGTTATTGTTTTCTTGTCAGGCTGAAGACGGGCAACTGCTATGGTTGTGCCAGTGCAGCTGTGGAGCACTGCATCACTCTGCTCAGGGCCTTGGTCACCAACCCAGACATGCGGGAGACCTTGTGTAGCCAGGTGAGCCTCTTTATGCTCTATATGTGTGTGTATCTGTGTGTGTATCTGTGTGTGTGTATCTGTGTGTTTGAGTGCGCACACATTTGTGTGTGTGAATGCACATTTGAGTGTGCTAGTGTAGATACATTTTTGTGTGGGGCGTGATGCGCTCATTTGTGTGCATGAGTGTTGGCATTTGTGTGATGTGCAGAAAGTTTGGTATGAGATATCTTCCCCAAGGACACACACACTGTAGAGAGACGAGCTAGTGGCCTTGTGGTTGGGAGTCAGACTATCTGATCACTAAACTAAGGAGAAAATCCTTATTTGTTATTTTTGCTCACTTACGTCTGTTTCTGGGTTCCAGGGTATGATACAACAGCTGATAGACCACAACTTGCGCCATGGAGCCTTGTCTGTACGCACCGAGGTTCGCACCCTTCTGTGTCTGCTGACACGTGACAACCGACGTGGCACCGAGGAGATGAACAACTTGGTCATGACCAGGATCACGGCTGCCATCAAAGGACACCAGTCCAACCCTGATTTGGTAGATACTGCACACTTTACAAAACAAGAAATTTTGTCTGGAAGATGAGCTAGGAATGTTGATCTGTAGACAAGGGTGTTATTGCCCTCATTCTTCCTTTCTTGGGAAGTCGTATGACAAAATAGTTTACCTTCATTTTTGTATTATGTGTTCAATTAAGGTTTTGAAAGCATGTTGCTCATATTTATCCAAGTTTTAGACCCATGTTCAATTTTTGTTGACATTTTTAAGAAATGAGATTTTCATCTTTCAAGATGCGTCATTAGTGAAGATTTTAGAGAGTTATTTGTTATTCATTTAGTTCATTTGTAAGCATTGGTCTCATTGGCCTCAGCAGAAGCCACAAATCATCTCAATCCTTATTTCTGATGTATTGTTCATTGCCAGACGTCGACGGAATAACTAATTATCAGTAAGCATTTTAATGAAGATCCACTTAAGTGGAGATAAGGTATGATTTTGAGCAGACATATTAATATCAGAAGCTGTCAGCTCATTTGGGACAAAAGTAGTCATAGATGGAATGTACATTTTATCTAAGAAGTCCATATCTGAAGTCGTTTCTAGTAGTGTGAGTCATGATGTGTTTTGGTGACTTTTCCCAGGGTTCCTCTGTCCGCCATGAGATTATGCTGCTAGCAACCTCACTTCATCAGGACGACTCATGCTGGGAGCAGAGGACAAGATGTGGTGAGCTCTTCTTTCACTATCATGCTTGTTTCTATGTTGTACATTTTAAGTCTAATGTAAAATTTTTTTAAATAAACACTTGTTGGAGGTTTGTTAGTTTGAATTTTTGGGGGGAGAGGGGCACTCTATTATTTAGAAGAAGAAAAAGAGGTATATAAAATCAGGATTATTTTGTCTCTGTGTCAGTGATGCGGCTGTTCCTGATGGGGATGCAGCTGCGTAGCCCTGTGATCATGGAGTCCATCACTCTCCCGTGTCTAAGGATTCTGCAGGGTCTGGTGCGGCACAACATCATCAGCTTTGTCAATGGCAAAAACAAGGTAGGCCTCGGTAGTGGGTTGTTTTTCCATACTTTTGTTTCTATTTTTGTGTGTGTGTATGTGTGGCATGTGTGTGTGAGTGTGAGAGAGGGGGGAGGGGGGGACAGTAATTCTTACTTCATTCGTTTTCCCCCTGTCGTTAATGTCTGTCTGGCTTTTCCCCTTCCTTATCTAGCTCTATCTGTCTGGAAAACTCTTTCCCAAAACATTTGAGGGACACAAAGTTAAAATACGTTAAAAAAGATACCCTATGAAATACGATCTTGATAGTAAGTCCTTCTTATTAAGGGGGAGGGGCAACACCCCCAAAATCCCAATTCGGCTCAAATTATGAAATTTTAGTTGTAGGCATTTTTAGCTTCCTCAGCCTCTCCTACAACTATTTCATCGCATAAGAACCCCCCAAAACCGCATTTTCCCCCATACAAGGCATGTTCGTCATCACCATTTCCTCATAAAGCCAATATTTTCTTTTTCTTTCACTGCTGTTTTCTCAAAACACGACTTTTCTCTATACTTTTTTGAATAACTCCACCATTTTTCATCCAATCTTCATGAAATTTTCACAGCATGAAGAGAAGATGTAATACTAAAAATTTGTCTGTTGAATTTTTGATATATGGAATAGATTTTTGTTGGTGGTGTCTGGAATTTGGATTTTCACAGATTTTTTTGCAAATTTGAATGCTACCTCAGGAAAAAATTCATTAAAAATGTTCTAATTCGTTAAGGACAAAAACAACAGACAAATATTTAGACCTAATGTTTGATAACACGCATGCAAAAAAACCCAATCAATTTCCATCTGCAATAAATGCAGTATTCGTTACGTAAGACATGTCAACAAAATCCAATACGACCGCCGTATCGATGGAAACAAAACTTTTTTCTCAAAATTGATTGCGGATTTTAAGATTCCTTACTATGCTTGTTATATGTGTGAAATCTGGTAAAATTTGGTCCAGTAATAAGCGAGATACCCTTCAGGTGTAGGGCCCCCCTTAACTCTTTATCTCCGAGGAGGGTAAGCCTGCTATGCTGGGACCCTTTTTTTGTACCGAATCGAAAAATGACAAAACGTAACTAAATTGGTCATTAAATCAAAACAAGTGACTTATTTTGATAGTTCTTCATCTAATGAAGGAAATCCAGATTAAAGAGACCTGTCATCGGCAATTGCCGAAAAGTTATTTGATGTCGAAGTCATAAAGTAATGTGCCCGAGCCGCCACCAGTGGTTCACCGGCACAGCGATTCTGACAGCGAGCCGCTTGGAGTAGCTTGCTGAAGATAAAGAGTTAACAGTACTCCTTGGTTCATAATGTGATGTGCGCATTGTCATTAATTGTGCTGTGACAGTATGAATGTTTGCTTTTGTAGAATTGTTATTCTAGAGAACATATGTGTGCATGCTCATTCACTTGTATTTAGTGTTAAATGAAGGTATTGTAAAGGGCCTAGAACTGTGTGTTTAAGTTAAAGGCAGTGGGCAGTATAGAAATGATCTTTATCATCATCATTATTATTATATTATTATTATTATTATTATTATTATTATTATTATTATTTTTATTATTATTCTTTCATGCACCTAGAAATAACTATTTTTGATTATGAACAAGAATTAAAAAGGGAAATGTGATTTTTATCATTTTGATATGTGCTTCACTTTGGCTGGAAGAAATATAATTGAAGGAATATTTGTGTCTGAAGGAAAATGAGAAGGAGGTGTGTGACTGGATGCCAGCCAAGTTCCACATGGACGTGAAGAAGTGGCTGGCTGGAGATTCCCGCTATTCCTACCTTAACTGGAAGAAGAGACTGCCTAAACAAGGTGAGACCTCATGCAGGCACTAGTGAAACTCACAATCATGTGTCTATAAAGCAGGTGGAAAAGACGATACTCCCAAACAATTTTGTTCGTTGTTTGTTAGGTTGTAGTATTATTGTTGCCGTGGTTTGTTTATGCTCCAATCGACGTGATAAAGATCATTGTTGGTGTCAACAAGGCTGTTAGGGTTACACCTTAACAGAAAGATAGAACACTGGATAATCTATCCTTCCCAAATGGCAATCGAAACCATGTTAGATGCGGGCACGGCGAAGGACCTGACTGTTGTACTTGAACGGCAGTTGTTAACCTTTTAAAAATTATTTTACTCCTTGATGGTGTTAAATTTACAAATGATATTACATCTAAGTAGTTGGATGGAAAAGATGAAGGTCCTGGATATTGCATTTCCAAGTGGTAGGATTTTCAGGCCGAAAGTGTTTCTGTTTTCAAAATTGTACTGGTTGGACTAGAGCTGGTTGAAATAATCAGTGGGGTGTAAATCAGTTATTGTTGAAGGTTGCTATTATTTGTGAAGCCTTAGACCTCGGTGGAAGTTCACATTTTTTTCCCTGTTTGTAATCAGCAGCAGAAGCCCCAACAGACTCGAGCAAAGACAAGCCAGTGCTCCCCCAGCTTGAGTCTGGCAAGACCAAGGGCATGAGGTCGGAGTACCTGATGGAGAAGTACGCCAACCGCTGGAGGCAACAGATGTGGAAAGTGCCTGCTGTGACACTGAAGCTCACTCAGACAACATGGCTGCAGGTGAGAAAACACTTTTTCTGGTGGGTTGGGTTTTTTTTTACTTCAAGTTTAATTTGTTTTATTATTGTATGTTTGTTTTTGCAAGATTTTTTTTATAGCACTTGTTTAAAGTCGTTAAGAGACTTTAAAAAGTAACCTGAATAATACCAGAATTGACAGTTGAGACGTAATGCTGATGCCCACGTCATGTTTTCTTTCTCCAGCAAGCAATGTTTTCCCCGAGCTCTCGTTCTGCCAGGCACACGGCTTGCAGCGTGATTGAAGCCATCTCTCAAGTGTTCAGCCGAAGGAAGGAAGTCATTGACATGCTCACAGGGTAGGGGATGTTCTCACAGAATTCACAAATGTTGCTACTCTGTGCTGCATGTCACTCTGCCTTGCACTCAGTGCAGTTTGCATTTTCTTAGCCTTGCATTTTCTTAGCCACATTGGCTTAATTAGCTATATGTGCTATTATCACGTTTTGTTCATACAGAAATCTTTTGCTAGTTCACCTTGCAACGATAATAGGTTTGTTGGTTTTTTCCCCCAAAAGTATGGAAACAGGACTTTAAAGTTGTTTCATAAGCAAACATTAATCAGTTATTCTCCTCCCCATAGATCTTATTTCCTCCTGTATGTAGTCCACCTTTCAATAGTTATTCTCCTCTCCTTAGAACTTATTGCCTACTCTACATATTCCACCCTTCACACATCCACACCCCCGCCCCATTTTAAACACACCACTCGTTGCACTTGTTCAGGTGTCTGGACGAGGTGGGTCGGAGCGGAGAATGTGCCACGGAGTTCCTGATCCTGTACAAGAGACTGATCAGCCAGGACAAGTGGAAATGTTACCTGGCCATCAAGGGAGTCATGCTTCGGCTGGCACACCTCATCTCAAAGGTGAGGCTTGACATTCGTGGCATTGCTGAGTTTATTTTCGTAAGAGTTACTTATCGCTCTGGGTAGTTCTTATCACACATGGGTTAAATTAGATAATTGATTTATTAGTCATGGCAGGACTTGTAATGAAGACCTGTACAAGACAAAACACTCTTGTCCATATTGTTGGAACAGAAGTTACTGCGACTCACTGGATAGAAACACTCATTGAGACACATTTAAAATATATTTGAACTTCGAACCTCGGACTTTCTGGTATTGGTCAATTTCAGATGTCCGTGCCCCAGTACTGTGATCATTGATTGTATTGTAAAAAGATTTTGACAGGATCTGTCGTAATTTTATACACTTTTCTTAGCATCATGGGAGGGTGGGG